TCATAACCACCGTGGCGTTGCCCTTGTCTGCTGGTAGGATTATTATGCTGGTGTCTTCTTTCAGGTTACGTAGTGCTGTCTGTTCCTCTTTGGGTAAGTTGCTTTTGGGTGGCTTGCTGGTACAAAAGCAACTTACCCAAAAGCAACTTACCCAAAGAGGAACAGACAGCACTACGTAACCTGAAAGAAGACACCAGCATAATAATCCTACCAGCAGACAAGGGCAACGCCACGGTGGTTATGAACACATCTGACTACCAAACCAAATTAACCAACCTACTCCAAGACTCCACATACAAACCCCTAAATACAGATCCCACCACCTACCTGGAAAAAACCACCAGATCCAAAATAAAAGCCTCCCCCATTAGCGAAGAGATCCAGCAAAGAATCATTCCCAGAGAGAAATCATCCAGATGCCCCAAACTCTATGGTCTCCCCAAGATACACAAAGAAGGAACCCCACTCAGACCTATAGTCAGCTCCATAGGCTCACCTCTACAAAACCTAGCCAAATTTCTTGCCAAACAACTACAGCCCTATGCAGAATCCATCACCTCACACGTAAAAAACTCATTCCACTTTATAGAGATCATAAAGAAACAAAACTTACAGCCCAGCGACCTACTCGTGAGCTTTGATGTCATATCCCTCTTCACCCAAGTGCCTATCAAAGAAGCCTTGACAGCTATCCAAAACAAATATAACCCCCCCAAACACATCTTAGATCTGACCAACCACTGCCTATCCAACACATACTTCATCTATAATGGACAAAAATACAAACAAACAGAAGGAGCACCCATGGGATCACCCCTCTCACCTGTCATTGCCAACCTCTACATGGAACACTTTGAAACCCAAGCTCTAGAAAAATCGGATCACAAACCCAAACTCTGGCTCAGATACGTAGACGACACCTTCATAATCTGGCCACATGGGAAAGAAAAACTGGACAACTTCCTCACACACCTCAACAGCCTACACCCCAAAATACAGTTCACCATGGAAACAGAAGCTAACAACCAACTTCCCTTCCTGGATGTCTTAGTCTACAAGAAATCCAATGGCTCCCTAGGACACACCATCTACCAGAAGAAAACACACACAAACCGCTATCTGCACGCTCTCTCACACCACCACCCAGCACAGATCAACTCTGTAGCCAAGACACTCATCTCCAGAACAAAACGCTTAGCTGACGAACAACACCTAAAAACCGAACTACACACTCTCACCAATGTACTAACATCCAATGGATTCCAAAGAAATAAGATTACAAACCTAATCCAAAAAGAAACCCCCACTAAAATCCAAGACAAAGAACAAGAAAACGGCAAAGCCCTCCTCCCATACATAAAAGGCACCACAGACAGAATCAGTAAGATCCTCCATAAACACAACATCAAAACAGCATTCTGCACAAACAGAAAAATATCCACCATCCTTAGAAACCCCAAAGATAAAATTGAATTAGAAAATCAAGGAGTATACGAAATCCCATGCACCACTTGTCCCACCACATACATCGGACAAACCAACAGAAGAATAAGTGCACGCATTGAAGAACATAAGAACTCAGTCAAAAAAGAGGAACCAACATCTTCCCTGGTCCAACACCTTAAAGCCACAGGACATGAAATTGACTTTAAAAATACCAGAACCATTGCCAAAAGTGAACATTTTAATAACAGAATAATCAGAGAAGCCATCGAGATAGAAAAACGCCCACACAGCATGAACAAGCGAGATGATACCTCCCGCCTACCAGCCATTTGGAAACCCGCCCTTATTGACAAACGACTCCCTAATACAAAAAATGATACCAGACCCACACTCACAAAAACCACACAGGATGTCACCACCACACATCCACGCAAAAAGCAAACCCAAAGCCACACCGATGATGAGGCACGACCACAAACCAGAAGCCAGACCAGAGCTGCATCATTAGCCACTTTAAAGCCCTCCAATCCATACATGAAGCAAACTGACACCCTCCATGAAAATGAGGCACGACCACAAACGCGAAGCCAAAAAATAGCAAGGCAGCCCAAAATCTTAAACCCCTCTGCAACTCAGACTAACCTGAGCACAACCAAACAGAACACTCCCCCAGCCAATCAGAGCACAGCCAACCCCCCAGCCAATCAGAGCACAGCCAACCCCCCAGCCAATCAGAGCACAGCCATGCCCCTAACCAATCAGAACACACCTCCACCCAATCAGAACACAGCCAAGCTCCCACCCAATCAGTTCATACCCCCACTGGCAGTTAAAAGGAAGAAACAGCTAAGACCACACATTGCTGCTCGAAGCACGAAGCTGAAAACACCAGCCTGAAGATGACGAATGGGACTTCGTCGAAACGTCGCCAAGACACTTCCAATTTTACGCGGGAGAAAACCCAAACAACCAAAGACCTACATACAAACACCCGCGAAAACCTCAGAAAACATATATATATATATATAGAATTTCCTGATTATTCCTTGAAAATATACAACATATGAAGCAGAGAAGGGAAGGTGAGGTTTCTTAAGCAAATTTCCCCTCATATAAACATATGCATGCACAATTTGAGTGAAGTTTGGTATCTTGGTTTCTGCCTTGGCTATTGCCTTATAATAGTTACTGGATTTGCCAATCTAGTTCTTTGTGTCTTGAAAGCATTTTTAAAAGCTAAGCTGAAAGGAGGGCTTTCTTTTTCCAGAAGACATTTGACATGTAGAGTATTTACTAATATAAACATGCAACATTTCAGTGTCAACAATTTCTAATGTCTCCAAATCATATTTATATATAATATGTTCACCTGGTGCCTATTTTCATTATTGATATATCACTATGGCCGGAGCTGCATTTCAGTGGAAATGCTCCTAGTCAAGAAGTTTCATCACATTGTATTTAAAAAAATAGAGCCTATTTTTGAAAGACCTTTGAAGATAATTTGTAAAATTTGTAGTGCTGGGAATTAGAAATGATGCAGTTCAGGTAAGAGAATAAATACTGGTCTTCAGTAAAAACAAGATGCCAGGCACTTTTGTTTTCACTAAAAAGCCTGGGGACCAGTGGCTTAATAGTACAGTGGTAAAATATTGTTCAACTGAGTATTTGTATTAAAAGCTCTTAAGGAATTGCTAGTTGTTCCATTTTCTTTTCTCATAAGGGTTAATTTATAGGAAGTTATTCAAGTCAAGTTATTGCTTGGCTTCTTGACGTGGAAAAGTAATGCTTTCAAATAGTGACTGCATAATTTTAATGCTTTCTGAAAGTCTGGATACATACAGTATTTCAAAGGTACCATACAGGGATAGAGAGACAGTTTGGTGCATGTAGTGATTAGACATTGGAAATTTTGAATCTAGTTCTGCCTTAGGTCCAACGTCAGCTGACTTTGGACCAGATACACACTCTCAGCCCTAGAAAGGATGTAAATGCAAACCACTTCCAAAATCTTGCCAGCTGCAGGGACTTTTCCAAGCAGTCACCAGGAGTCAAAGTTGATTTGAAGGTATACCCCCCCTCCCCGGATCATACAAGAATGGCTGAAAATGGAAGCCAACTGTGCTGATGGGCAAACTGCATATATTATAATTTTATTATGATTTCTTCATGTTGATGAAATTTATCTAATATAGAGCAAAACAATTCAGTTATAATTTAATTGCTATAATGTTTTCAGCATGTAAATATATATGTTTCTTCAAAATAAACTAAATTTCTTATAATTGATGTATTTAAATTGTTCTAGCTTGATCTGAATGATATTGCAAATTAGACTATGGTGATTTCACAAACAACAATATTTTAATCATGCAAGTTGAAATATATGATTACAGAATTATTTTGAAAATGTTGCAAATATACATGTCCCAAAATTCCACATGGTATCCAGCAAGGTTGATTTTTGAGTAATATGGTTTTTTTGGCAACAGTCCAGCAAATGCTGCATAAGTTTGTTTATTCAAATATTATGGCCATTAGAGATTTATTTTTCTAAATTAGAATAAAATAGAGTAATTTATGGCATTTTAGTTGTTACTGAGTTTTAGTAACTCCATTCCCTTGTCACTCTGGCCTAAGGCTAGGAATCATGGGATTTGTGGCTCAGCAACCCTAGACTTGGAATATAACTGAAACTGTATACAAAAAATTGCATACAATTTACAGGACATTAATAATGTGTTCAATAAGTAGGCATTCAAACATTGTATATCAAACCACAATTTGAGTACTTTTGGACAACTAAACAATGAGTTAAAAGTGAAATGTGCATAAGCATAACACGTAGCTTGCATTAAAATTCATGGAAATTATCATTAAAATATAGTCTTAAAATTTGGAAAAAGAATGAAGAATTGCTATGTCAAAACTTGAGAAATAAGATAGTTTATCCATATTTCCAATATTTACTCTTCAAAATCATTTTTATTTACACTTCCCACGTACACATATATTACATCTTTCTAATATCTGTATTTTTGTTATAAGTTTCATTACTGATACGCTTGACTTTTCTCCTAGAACATATAAATCAACTAAGTTGTATCTCAAAATCTTTTTTAAAGAAATACAATTTTGTACTACAAAACTCTTTCCAGCTTAGTTCTGAGCATTATATGTCTTAAAAACATAGTCTGAATTTCACTTCTTTAAAAAGGATGAGACTTAGATAAGGAAATTATGAAGTAATAAGAAAAAATATTAAGCTAAAAAAACAAATCTGGATTGAAATTTTCTTACGAGATTAAATGTCTATTGCTGTTTTTTCCTATTATAAATACAAAAATTATTATTTCAAAAATGGAGACTTAAATCCACTTATACTCATTAATTTTAGTACATTTGCAACAAGACAGTTGCAACATGGAGTTTACATCCAGAAAACTTTATAGGTTAATAGAATAAGGGATGATTATACTTCTCTAATGTCATTAATTAATTAATTATAATAATGGCACTTCTAAATTTTTATTATCTTTGAATATCTTTTACAGTTGGTGAAACAAAGGCTGCAGATTTAATTCTGGAAGAGGAATCTACTGAAGATATCAAGACCAGCCCAGAGGAATTAAATGCCAAATTAAATGAAGATGAGGTACAGAAAGACACAGAAGATGCTGATAAACAGCTGGCATCAGAAGAAAAAGAAGATCAGCCTGGTGTATCTCCATCAAATGATGTTGGATTTAAAAAGGTTTTTAAATTAGTTGGATTCAAATTTACAGTTAAAAAGGATAAAACAGAGAAAGCTGAACCTGTTCAGCTATTGGATGTAAAGCCAGAGGTTGCAGAAGGGTCAAGTGACGTAGTTGGAGACTATAAACAACTCATGACAGAGACAGTGGGAGAAGCCACACAAAGTGAAATCACTGCCTCTGTAGACAAGACTGAGGAAGAAACTCAGGCTGAGGAGATGAAAGGAGAAACCTCTGAGAAAGTAACAGAAAGCCCTGTGGAAGCAGAAAGCAAAGAGGCAGAAATCAAAAACAATGGGATTAAATCTCCAGATTCTCCAGTAAGCCCATCAACTGCTGAAACTGCATCACCTCTGAGAAAGTTTTTTACTCAGAGTTGGGCTGGGTTTAGAAAAAGGACAAGCTTCAGAAAGCCTAAAGAAGAAGTGCAATCTGAGAAAGAAAAACAAGAACAAGAAATGGAGAAAGAAGTGACAACAGAAGGAATAATTGTTGAAGAAGAATTAGAAAAAGAAAAACTGACACCAGAAAAAGACGGGACAGAAGTTTCTTTCCAAGCCAGTGATGAAAAGATGGAAAGTGACAAAGAGAGAAAAGAAGAAACACTGGTCAAAGTTCCATCAGAAACTGATCTGAAAGAGGCTGCCACTCCCACTGAGCAACCATCAGCAGAAGAACCGGCTGAAAATATAAATAAAGAAATATCTTTTGAAGCCAGTGATGAAAAAATGGAAGGCGAGAAAGAGAGAAAAGAAGAAACAAAAATGGTCGAAGTTCCATCAGAAACCGATCTGAAAGAGGCTGCTACTCCCAGTGAGCAACCATCAATAGAAGAACTGGCTGAACATATAAATAAAGACATTTCTTTTGAAGCCAGTGATGAAAAAATAGAAAGAGAGAAAGAAAGAAAAGAAGAAACAAAAATGGTAGAAGTTTCATCAGAAGCCAATCTGAAAGAAGTTACTACTCCCAGGGAGCAGCCACCAGCAGAAGAACTGGGTGAAAATATAAAAGAAATGGATATAATCTTGGAAGGGGAGATTGACTTGGAGTCCAAGGAAAAATTGGAACAAGTGCAAAAAAGTTTAGTGGGCATAGAGCAAAGTACTGTTGCATTGCATGAATCAAAAACAGAACTGTTAAATGAAGTATTTGAAGAAAAAATAAACCATTTGGATTCACTGTCTCCAGTAGCAGTAGAAAAGCCCGAGGAACCTTTTGAAATAATAGAAGAAAAATCAGAACCAAAGGCTCCTTTGGCCACAGAGATTTTTGATGAAAAACCTAGAGAGATAAATATTGATGTTACAGCTGTTGTGACAGAAGAAGAACCCCAAATAACTAAAAAAGAACAACTAGTCCTTGAACAGTTAGTGGAAACAAAGGATGACTTTCAGAAAGAACAACAGTTAAAAGTCACAGAAACAGTTCTTGAAATAGCGAAGGAACACTTCATCCCAACCGATCCAAGCAGTCTTGATACAGCAGCAGGCAAGCCTCCGGAAGGCATAGTAACAAGTGAGGTAGAATTGCTGTCATCTCAAGAAAAAAACAAGATGCAAGGCAGCCCTTTAAAAAAACTTTTCACGGGTCCTGGCTTAAAGAAATTGTCGAGAAAGAAACGTAAAGGAAAGAAAGAAGCTAAACCAGGGGAAGCAGCAGAAGAAGCACAGCAGTTGTCTGATACTGCAGAAAGTCCAGATGACCCAAGGGGAGAGAGTTCTGCTTCTTCTCCTGAAGAAATAACAGAATCCATAGAAAAGGCTTCCGATGCTGTACAGATTTCTGAAGCTGAAGAAGGGGTTCCTTCAGATGCAGAGAAGAAAAGTGTTACCCCTTGGGCATCTTTTAAAAAAATGGTGACTCCTAAGAAACGGGTTAGGAGACTTTCTGAAGGTGACAGAGAAGAAGAACTTGGTAAGACAACCGAAAGTGCACCTAACGATGAACAGGAAGATATTAAAGAAAATGGTGAGGAACAAAAAATAGAAAAAAGTGCAGATGAGCCCAAGAAAAAAGTTGATACTTCTGTATCATGGGAAGCTTTAATCTGTGTAGGCTCATCAAAGAGAAGAAGCAGAAAATCTTCCTCTTCTGATGAAGAAGCCGGACAAAGACTTCCTCAAGATGAACAAAAATTAGATGAGAATGGACCAAATAAAGAAGCAGTGCACGACAACACCATCTTTACTAATAACTCACATGAAAGTGATCAGGGACAAGGAAGTTCTTCACCAGAACAAGCAGGAAGCCCATCTGAAACAGAGGGAATTTCAACATGGGAATCTTTTAAAAGACTAGTAACTCCAAGAAGAAAATCTAAAACAAGAATGGAAGAGAAAAATGATGAGCCCATCACAGTTCCATGTTTAGAACAAGCTACCTTAGATGGGGATACTGGAAAAGAAGAATCCTGGGTTTCATTTAAAAAATTAATGCCTGGTCGTAGGAAGAAAAAGTCTGATGGAATACCAGAACATGCTCCTGTTCTAGAAGCTGGAGAAGAAATGACAGGAACAAATGAGGAGGACTTTGATGTTCCAGCTGTGGTTCCTTTATCAGAGTATGATGCTGCTGAGCAAGAGAAATTTGAAGCTCAAAAAGCAAGGCAAGATGATATGGATAAGGAAATTCCAAGTCAAAATATAGAAAAGTCAGAACACACATCAATAATTCAGCAGGTCAGTGAAGGATTAGTTCATGCAGTTACTGTCTCAGTGCTAGAAGGTGAGAGAGCAATTATAAGTATTGAAGAAAGATCACCATCTTGGATACCAGCTGCTGTGACCGAGTCCACTGAACATGTGAAGGATGATGAGGAACAGGCTGAGCAGATTTCTGGAAGTGGAATTGTTGAGGAAACAGTAGCAGTAACTGAACTTGTGCCACAAATGAGAAAGGATATTAGTGGTGATAGTATAATTGGGGACCTGGAGTTAACCTCGGAAGCAGTTACAGCTCGGGAAGAAGCTTCAGTCATTGAAAAGACAACTGAAATGTCTTGTGCTAAAGAAACAACTGAAATCTCTTGTGCTGAAGAGACAACTGAAATGATTTCAGCAGTTTCAAGGCTAACTGAGTCTCCCGATACTACAGAAATAGCTACACCAGTGCAGGAGATCGAGGAAAATGAGCAAGACCTGGAAGAATTAAATAAAGAAACGCAGGAAATGTTGCAAATCGTTGCTGAAAGAATTAAATTGTCTGATGAAGAGGGGAGTAGAGGGAGTCTAACAGAAGTAACCATTCAACCAATGTCAGCTGAAGAAGAAATTGAGCAGAAGCTGATGACTTCAGAAGGAATCCCTTCCACTGAATTTCCAAAAGATGTTCAGCTTGAAACAATGGAGTCTCGGGCTTACAAAATTGTGCAGATAACAATCCAGAATGCAGTTGCCCAATGTCAGCAAAAGTTCATGGTTCTTTCAAAGCAGAAGGGTGAAACTGCAGTTCTGTACCCTGATCCTGAAAAAGTGGCATTTCCAGAGAAAATAGATCAGATGCTAAAAGAATCAGCAGGAAGATGTACCAGAGAAGGTGCACTCCAGATAGGTGCATCTGGATCCCCTCCAGAAATGGAGCTGCCAAAATCTTCCTCTGATGAAGAAATTGAGGAAAAGGTGATGATCTCACAAGGAATCCCCTCTACTGAATTTCCAAAAGAGGTTCAGCCTGAAACAATAGTGTCTCAGGCTTACAAAATTGTGCAGATAATAATAGAGAATGCATTTGCTCAGTTTCATCAAGAGTCCATGGCTCTTTTAAAGCAGAGGAGTGAAACTGCAGTTCTGGGTCCTGACTTGGACGCAAAGGCATTTTCAGAGAAAATAGATGCACTACTAGAAGAATCAGCAGGAAGATGCACCAGAGAAGGTGCGCTCCAGATGGGTGCATCTGGATCTCCTTCAGAAATGGAGCCGCCAAAATCTTCATCTGATGAAGAAATTGAGCACAAGGTGATTACTTCAGAAGGAATTTCCTCTGTTGACTTTCCAAAAGATGTTCAACCTGAAACAACAGAGTCTCAGGCTTACAAAGTTGCACAGATAATAATTGAGAATGCAGTTGCTCAATTTCAACAGGAGGCCACGGTTCTTTTAAAACAGAAGAGTGAAATTGCAGATTTGTATCCTGATCCTGATAAAGTGGCATTTTCTGAGAAATTAGATTCAGTACTAGAAGAATCACCAGGGAAGTGCATTAGAGAAGGTACACTCCAGATGGGTACATCTGTATCCCCTTCAGAAATGGAGCTGCCAAAATCTTCCTCTGATGAAGACAGTGAGCAAAAGCTGATGACTTCAGAAGGAATCCCCTCTACTGACTTTCCAAAAGATGTTCAACCTGAAACAACAGAGGGTCTGGCTTACAAAATTGCACAGATAATAATCCAAAATGTAGTTGCTCGATTTCAACAAGAGTCTATGATTCTTTCAAAGCAAAAGAGTGAAGCTGCAGTTCTGTATCCTGATCCTGATAAACTGGCATTTTCAGAGAAAATAGATTCAGTACTAGAAAAAGGGAAATGCATCAGAGAAGGTGCACTCCAGATGGGTGCATCTGGATCCCTTCCAGAAATGGAGTTGACAGCACCTTCAGCTGATGAAAAAACTGAGCAAAAGGTGATAACTTCAGAAGGAATCCCCTCTACTGAATGTCCAAAAGATGATCAGCCTGAAACAATAGAATCTCAGAGTTTAAAAATTGCGCAGAAAATGAGTGCAGTTAATCAGTTTCAACAAGAATCCATGGCTCTTTCGAAGCAGAAGAGTGAAACTGAAGTTCTGTACCCTGATCCTGATAAAGTGTCATTTTCTGAGAAAATAGATTCAGTGCTAGAAGAATCACCAGGAAAATGCACCGTGGGTGCATCAGGATCCCTTCCAAAAATGGAGTTGCCAACATCTTCATTTGATGAAGAAACTGAGCAAAAGGTGATAATGACTTCAGAAGGAATACCCTCTGCTGAATTTCCAGAAGAATCAGAAAGAAGATGCACCAGAGAAGGTGCATTCCAGACAGGGACATTTGGATCCCTTCCAGAAATGGAGATGCCAACATCTTCATCTAAGGAAGAAGCTGAGCAAAAGGTGATGACTTTAGAAGGAGTCCCGACATCTACTGACTTTCCAAAAGATGTTCAGCCTGAAACAACAGAGCCTCAGGCTTACAAAATTGTGCAGAAGATAATCCACTATGCAGTTGCTCAATTACAACAAGAATCCATGGCTCTTGCAAAGCAGAAGAGTGAAACTGCAGTTCTGTATCCTGATCCTGATAAACTGGCATTTTCAGAAAAAATAGATTCAGTACCAGAAGAATCAGCAGGCAAATGCACCAGAGAAAGTCTACTTCAGATAGGTGCATCTGGATTACATCCAGAAATGAAGTTGCCAACATCTTCAGCTGATGAAGAAACTGTGATTAATTCAGAGGGAATCCCTTCTACGGAATTTCCAAAAGAGGTTCAGTCTGAAACAACAGAGTCTCAGGCTTACAAAATTGCGCAGATAATAATCCAAAATGTAGTTGCTCAGTTTCAACAAGAGTCCATGGCTCTTTCGAAGCAGAAGAGTGAAACTGCAGTTCTGTGTCCTGATCTTGATGCAGTGGCATTTTCAGATAAAATAGACTCAGAGCTAGAAGAACAATCACCAAGGAAATGCACCAGAGAAGGTGCACTCCAGATGGGTGCATCTGGATCCCCTCCAGAAATGGAATTGCCAAAATCTTTACCTGATGAAGAAACTGAGGTAAAGGTGATGACTTCAGCAGAAATCCCCTCTACTGAATTTCCAAAAAGTGCTCATTCTGAAGCAATAGAATCTCAGGCTTATAAAATTGTGCAGACAATAATACAGAATGCAGTCGCTCAGTTTCAACAAGAGTCCATGGCTCTTTCAAAGCAGAAGTGTATTACTGTCGTTATGTACCCTGATCCTGATGCAATGGCATTTTCAGAGAAAATAGATTCAATGCTAGAAGGAGCATCAGGAAGATGCACCAGAGAAAGTGCACTCCAAATGGGCATATCTGGATCCCCTTCAGAAATGGAGTTGCCAACATCTTCAGTTGATGAAGAAACTGAGGAAAAGATGATGACTTCAGCAGGAATTCATTCTACTGAATTTTGGAAAGATATTCTGCCTGAAACAATAGAGTCTCGGGCTTATAAAATTGTGCAGATAATAATAGAGAATGCAGTTGCGCAGTTTAAACAAGAGTCCATGGCTCTTTCAAAGCAGAAGAGTGAAACTGCAGTTCTGTATCCTGATCCTGGTAAAGTGGCATTTTCAGAGAAAATAGATCCAGTACTAGAAGAATCAGCAGGAAGATGCACCAGAGAAGATTCACTCCAGACAGGTGCATCGGGATCCCCTCCAGAAACAAAGCTGCAAAAATCTTCATCTGAAGAAAAAACTAAGGAAGATGTGATAGCTTCAGAAGACATCCCCTCTACTGAATTTCCAGAAGAATCAGGAGGAAGATGCACCAGAGAAGGTGCATTCCTTATGGGTACATCTGGATCCCCTCCAGAAATGGAACTACCAAAATCTTCATCTGAAGAAAAGGCTATAACTTCAGAAGGCATCCCTTCTACTGAATTTCTAGAAGAATCAGAAGGAAGATTCACCAGAGAAGGTGTACTCCAGATGGATACATCTGGATGCCCTCCAGAAATGGAGCTGCCAAAATCTTCATCTGAAGAAGAAACCAAGGAAAAAGTGATGACTTCAGGAGGCATTCCCTCTACCGAATTTTCAGAATCAGCAGAAAGATGCACCAAAGAAGATGCACTCCAGACGGATACATCTGGAGGCCCTCCAGAAATGGAGCTGCCAAAATTTTCATCTGAAGAAGAAACTGAGGAAAAAGTGATGACTTCAGAAGGCATTCCCTCTACCGAATTTTCAGAATCAGCAGAAAGATGCACCAAAGAAGATGCACTCCAGACGGATACATCTGGAGGCCCTCCAGAAATGGAGCTGCCAAAATCTTCATCTGAAGAAGAAACTGAGGAAAAAGTGATGACTTCAGAAGGCATCTCTACTGAATTTTCAGAAGAATCAGCAGAAAGATGCACCAAAAAAGATGCACTCCAGATGGGTACATCTGGATCACCTCCACAAATAGAGCTACCAAAATCTTCATCTGAAGAAAAAACCAAGGAAAAAGTGATGACTTCAGAAGGCATCCCCTCTACTAAATTTTCAGAATCAGCAGAACGATGCACCAAAGAAGATGCACTCCAGACGGATACATCTGGAGGCCCTCCAGAAATGGAGCTGCCAAAATCTTCATCTGAAGAAGAAACTGAGGAAAAAGTGATGACTTCAGAAGGCATCTCCTCTACTAAATTTTCAGAAGAATCAGCAGAAAGATGCACCAAAAAAGATGCACTCCAGATGGGTACATCTGGATCCCCTCCACAAATAGAGCTACCAAAATATTCATCAGAAGAAGAAACTGAGGAAACGGTGATGTTGACTTCAGAAGGCATTCCCTCTACTGAATTTCCAGAAGAATCAGCAGGAAGATGCACCAGAGAAGATTCACTCCAGACAGGTAAAGCTGGATCCCCTCCAGAAATGGAGATGCCAACATCTTCATCTCAGGACAAAGTTGAGCAAAAGGCGGTGATTTCAGGAGTCTCAACTTCTACTGAATTTTCAAAAGACGTTCAGTTTGAAACAATGGAGTCTCAGAGTTACAAAATTGTGCAGAAAATGAGTGCAGTTGCTCAATTTCAACAAACACAGGAGGCCATTTCTCCTTTAAAGCAGAAGAGTGAATTATGTTTAATGAGTTTTAATGAGTTTGGAATTCAGGAAGTTATACAAGTTGATCAGCAAGTTTCTATGGCAGAAGAGAAAAATCATGAAATTCAACCAACAACTGTAAATGCAGAGACAGATGAAGCCATTGAAGTAGCAAAAGAAATGTCTTCATGTTCTACAGTATCTGAAGATATAGAAAATTGGAATTCCAGAAAGAGAGATGTTGATCTTGAAACCGTGAAAGAGATTGTAAATGAAACAGAAAATAAGAAATATGATTCAAAACCTCAATTAAAAGTGGATGTAGTTCTTTCAACAGAGACTCAAAACATCATGCTAGGAAGTATTGTCTCAGGAGATCATCCAGTAGGATTTCTTGAAACTGAACAATCAACAATAAAAGATTTAGAAGTTGGGGCAATAGATGAAAATCAAGAAAAATTAATAGAACATCAGACTCAGAAGACGAGAAAAGAAGATTACAGCCAATTGACAGAATTTCCTGAGATGCCTAAAGAGGAAGATACCACATCTGGTGACAGTCCTCAGCTTCATACAAAACTCAGAAAATTTTGAGGTTTTATGTAAGTGTTTAACTAAAATAATTCATCTGCAGTAGTTTAAATAAGAAATAATTAGTTCTTTTCAGTTTCATCAACAAGATAAAACACAATATACCGTATATTCCGGCGTATAGGGCGACCAGGCGTATAAGACGACCCCCTAGTTCGACGCTGAGTCGCAAGACCATCGATGCCGAGTCGCATGACCATCGACGCCAAGTCGCATGCCTAGAAAGTCGTCTTATACGCCAGAAACTACCTTATTTCTGGCATATAAGACGACTTGGCGTATAAGACGACCCCCGAGTTCGGAGGCTGTTTCGACGCTCTCAAAAGTCGTCTTATATGCCGGAATATATGGTATTCATATACTTCTGATTCTGAAATCAATACATAATACTAATTAATTACACTAAAAATTAATTGATTTGAAATGGGGAAGAAATAAATGCCTAGATAGTATTTTGGATTTCTGCTTGAGGGACCTGTCCTAATTTCAGTAAATAAGGTTTGCCACAGAGTTTGTTGAGGAGGGAGACTTCAGCATAGTTTTTCCAAACTTGTTTCCCAAATGTGTTGCACGGCCATTGCTCCACCTTCCCTCCTACTATAACTAAAGGCTTCCAAGATTAAGAAATTGTACTAGATGTTTTTCACTTGCTGTGGTTATCTGATTTCCACAATTCTACTTTATTTTCCTAGCGTATTTTTTCTTTGCGGCAGCCATGTGATATTAACACCATCTGCACCTGCAATCTTAAAAATTTTCAAGATCCTTACAACATTTGTGACTTCTTTTTCATCAAATAATATCATATTTATACTTGGATCTCCAGGTGCCGCCATTGCTTTTTCTTTACTTCCCTGTCTTGTTTCCATCCATCCATTGGCATCCCCTGACATTCATAATTTTATACTATATTTATTTACCCAAACTCAGTCCTTTTTCTTTCATTATAATACAGTTATTGCCAATCTGTGAACAACTTTTGTACATTCAACAAGCTTGGTGATATCTGTTCTTATATCTGTAACATACATTTCATTCCAAGATACGGTTATCTCCAGATGGGCTGGTAGATATTGACCACTATTACCTATCAAAGTTTTGGCCACTGGAGATTTTCACATTACAGTTTCTTAGATGTTAATAAGTTAGAGAACATGTGGACTAGGTTATCAACCTTTCTGGCAAGAGTGCTTACTACAGCATTCTCTTCAAACATGTGAAATCAAGCACACAAGAATGCTTGAAACATTGGAAGTGGTCTATATGAATTGCTCCCATTTAACAGTAGAAAAGGAGCAGGAGGAAAGGAATGGTTGAGAAACTGTTAGATGCACCTTTATTTACAAACTATGGCTTGTTTTTTTATTGAAGAATGTGCTGTGAGACCTTTAAAATAGATGTATTCATGTTTTAGAGTTGTAAGCATTTTAGGCTATTCTGTTGTTGTTACTCAAGCTAATTAGCACTTCAATCCCAATGAATTCTAAAGCATGGGTTCCCAACCTATGGGTCACGTCTCGCTACCGGGCCGTGGTTTACTGGCCACCAGGCCACAGGACAAGCTGGCCAGTGCACGCAAGTATCTGCGCACACTCACCCCCACTCGTGCTAGTGCCCATGGACCTGTTTGCGCATGCGTGTGGGGGCTACTGGTGGGGGTTAGCACCTGCACACATGCACAAATGGCCGCTAGCGACGTGCAGGTTGTGCGGCCTGTTTGCGCATGGGTGCAGGGCTAGTGGTGGCGGCTAGTGCCTGCACATCTGCACAAATGGGGCCACTAGCGTGTGCAGGTGCACATGGCCCCGTTTCCCTAGATGTGCATGCGAGCACACGCAAATTTGCCAGCTTCTCCCTTTCCCTCTGGCCACCAGCACAGAAAGATTGGTGACCTCTGTTCTAAAGGATGTACACTCCAGATAATGTATTAAAGATTAGAACAATCTGTAACACAATATTTAACAATCCTTCACCTTGTTGCATTGAGTAAATGCTATCTCAATGCATTCAGAAACATTTTCTCGGAATAGAAAACCTCCAATCTCCAACCCTCTTCTGTCTCCAAGCCATTTAAGGTTTTAATGTTGACAACCAGCACTCTCAGCTACATCCAGAAAACCATAGGCAAACAGTGCAGCTCTCTGAGTAGTGCTGTTAACTAGGCAAAATGGGATATACCTAGTTTCATATAATCATATATAAGTTGTCTGTCCCTTGTCTGGCTTCCATCTCCAATGGGCAACTTTGAACAGTACTGATGGATAGTAATTGGCAAAAGTACAATTACAATGACAAAAGTACACATCCTTATTAACATATCATGATTTGCTAGTGCTGTAAATTACTAATTAAGATGCTCTGATTGTAAGGCATTCTTGATTTTTTGTTGTTGTTCCAACAGTTCTGCTGAAGACTGCTTCTTACATTTGGAGGGACCAGTATCTGGAGAAAGAAACAGAGAGGATGGATTCTGCTTAAACAGGCTGAGGATCAATGATTTTGCTGTGAAAACATGTCCATGCTTTCAAATGTTTTTCTGAGGAAGTCACCTGACAATCCTGAGCCACCATCAGGAGCTTGAGCCACCTCCTTTAGTTTTGATTGTGAATACTTCCTTTCACAATATTCTTTTACCTTTATTTTTGTTATTGATAAAGAGATTGGGGTGGGATATTGAATGGGGGCAGGAAGTATTTCTGTGGAAGTATGTCAGTCTCTTTATCTGGAAAGGAAGTTGGCGTCTTTTGAGATTCCCTTTTTACCAATGCTTCTCAAACTGGATAGTAATTGTTTGTGTATTTATGTTTCCTCTTCTTTCTCCGTAAAAAATGGAAAGAAAATTATCTCACTTGTTTGGGCCAAGAGGTATTATGAGTGACCCATCACTAACATAGATGGCTCCAACCAACTTAACATTGGTTTCCCATTTGCTTGGAGGAGAATAAATCTTTTATGATATATTTGCTATTGCTTTCAGAAAGGTCATTGCCAAACAATACAACTTCTCTTGATCTGTTAGTAAATTGTAAATCTAATTCATAGATTCATGAACAGTGAGATATACTGTGATTTCTTTAAAGTAATTTAAAAAAAGATTTGGCTTACATTTATATTTGCATTCATATTCAGAATAAATCCATTATAAGAAGAGTTAGGATGTCTGGAATAAATGCGCTCAACTCATAATGCAAGGTCACAATAAGTTGCGCATACAAAATGGGAAGACTTCAAATGATCATTACAATATTCTTTCAGAATTTGATCTTCTAATCACCAAGTTGTTTAGCCAATCAAATTAAATTGCACTTTGTAGTCTTCATATCTACCCAACGGAGCTTTTTCCAAGGCCTAGCAGGCTCATTGTCCTACCTGTATTATATTTTATTTGAAATGTACCCAGGAGCCTATAAATACATACTTTTAAGAGCTGCACAATGGAAAATAAAATGGAAAGATCATTGATACGACTGCACCATCTAGTGGCGGCTAAATACATTTTATAACTTAGAATAAATAAATTTCCGCTAATAATACTACTTTTATTCAGCTAAAATACGGAATGGCAAATATTTCATACAGTTGATTCTACATAATATCTGGAATAGCTATAAAAGGCAAATATGACAAATAATAATATGCAATCCTGTACATGCATTGTGACATTGCAGTGGGCTGTTTTGTGCAAGTTAATAGTAAAAGATGTTACTCCTTTTGTACAAAAAGAAAAAATCACTTATACTAAGGTGAGTAGGTATCTTTGATTTTTTTTTAAAAAAAATCATCTACTAGATCTGTCAATATCAAGATATAAACAATTTCTTTTTAAATTATAAATGGCTGTTTCTTTTAGCACATATTTAATTCAACCTTTCTATTTTAGTGATTATCTTCATTGATACAGGAACGGAGTGGAATCCAGGTACCCAAAGATCATTTTGGTGTAAGGAAATCTTTTGCACCTTTCTCAGTTTTAAATGTATCAGTCAGGGAAGACACAAGGGATAATAAGCCCTGTCTGCTCATCAGAAACGATTAAGTGGCGCCAAAGGCAAGAAGAAGCCATAGCAGCAGTGAGTAGTTTCTCCCTGGCCAGAATGGCAATCATAACTTAAATCAGCCAATCAGTATCCATCTAGAAATTCAATTTGATCTCTTTGCTTCCACAAGTAATATTGGAGTAATGGAAAAGTCTGATCTTTCCATCACACTGACCTCATCAAAATACTTAAAAATTGTCAATCTGTTCAAGTATGTCCCAATAAAAAGTAGTTTTTTCATTCCAATATGTGTACACTTTTCACATCTAAACAATGAACACTTGCATATGCTGCTACCGGTTGGTATGTGCTCTTTCTTAGACAGGACAGAAGAGCATAATGAAACAATTTCTTCACTCCAGTTGAATGGTATTTCATAAAGTTAATTTTATCTTTCAAAACCAATGAATAAGTTAACCTACAGGCTCCTTTTTCTGAAAGTTAATAGTATAGATTACACACGTCTATTTCCTTCTGGACCTCTGCCTTGTCCCACAATTCCTTAGTGTGATAAAATAGGTAAGAAAATTTAATTTACTTGAAGATGGAAACAAGGAGGTATTGTTGCTCTCTCAATTAGATAGTCTATTTAGTAGCTTATAATATTTAAAATGTTCATTAATAGGTGTCCCAAAATTAATTAGTGTATTCTTTATTATATCATCTTCCCTTGCTACAAATTTTGTTCTGGGTGCAAAATACTAGCTTTGTCACTTTCATTAGTTCTTTTATTAAATACAATCTTGTGGTATTTCATAAAGTTAATTTTTATCTTTCAAAAGCCAGTGAATAAGTTAACCTATAGTTCCTTAGAACATTTCCTTTCTGAAAGTTGATAGTATAGATTACACAAATGTATTTATTATTAAGAAATATAGCTCTATTTAATTTCAATAAAAATTAAAATATAAAACTACAATCACTACATACAAGTCACTATTTAGCATTTTTTTCTTCAGGCAGACATTTTTCTTGGGGAACAAGGGTCCTCTACATCATCTAAAAGGAGAGGCAGAGCCAGCAATGTGACTCATCTGCCTTTATTTCTGTGTTGTATCTTTTTCAATAGATCTGCTGAAATTAGAATATACAGTATATTTCTGGAATTTATTCTTGCCTGACTAATTTTCTTTATGTGATCCACAAAAGGTTTATTATGTACAGCCCACTTCAAAATAAGATTTGTTTTAGTGCCACTTTAATTTTATAGCACCCGTTTAACAGCTAATGGGAAACCAATTATTTAAACAAACTATAATCTGCTTATGAAAAGCCATATTGCAGCAAGTGAAATAACAATACAAAATACAGTGGTGGCATGACCTATGTAATCCTGGATTTTACCTTTATATCTCCCTTTATAGCTCTAAGGTTGTTAATAGTTGTGTAAAGTTAAACATTTAAATAAAATCTGGTAATAACAATGTAAATAGTTATTGACTAGAAGTTGAGGAACAAGTGCTTGATTGGGAAGTTTTTTTTTAAGATACTATGGCCTTTCTAAGCGATGCCAAGAGCATAAATCATATAACTAGTCATTTTTCTTGCAACTGATGGTCTCAATACAAAAAATAAGGCACCCAAACAATTTTTGTCATGGTACAGGGAGCATGTCTCCATTCACAGATATTGCTTTGATACAGCGTGTTGCTTTGGCCTCAAAAATACTTCAGACAATCCTGCAAATTGTAGCTTGTGCCTCAACTCCAAGCTTTTGCAGTTTCTTCTAATTGATTGTATTGGATTATATTTTGATTTTCTATGTTGTTTTTAAGGTAGATTTTCATGGATTAAATAAAATTCAAATAATTCATTGTTGTGTTGTGACTTCTTGGGTGTGTAATCCCTATGTAACTGTAGTACTGGCATCTGTGCATAAGCAAAAGGTTTTGGATGCCCTTAGAGCAGGGATGTCAAACTGCCGGCCCACAGGCCAGATGCGTCAGGCCGAAACTGCGCCTACCCCAGCTCCGGCAATGGGGAAAAAATTGCAATATGTCACAACACGTCACGTGACGTTGCAGGTTTGACACTCCTGCCCTAGAGCTTTAGTTGAGAAATAGTTTTTATATTTTTAAAAAAGGTGATCATAAATCACATCATTATTCATGACAACCTGCTCCAGATGATGTCTTAACAGTCTAGGCAAGGAGGTCTGGAGAACTGTTTAAAGCCTCCCAAAATCTCTGCCACCTCCTGAGACACCCTGTGCTCTGCTCCTTGCCTTTCAGGGTCCCTTCAGGCCTCTGCCTTCTCCCAAGGGAGCCTAAAGTTGGGCAGCAGAAGCTGCAGGTGTAAAGGGGCTGTTATAGTTTGTAGGCCTTGGCCTGCTTCCCATCCAGCCACTTCAGGGACTTGCAGGATTCAGCCTGTTCCTCAGCCAGCTCCAGGGCCCAGCAGCACTTATTTATCTTTCTGGGTTTTTTAGAGGCATCAGGCCGTTATGATGCGAGGCTCAACTTTTTTACAGAGGCTGACTTATGGCCACCTCATGCCATTCTGCAAGCAAGTTACTATTCTTGTGAGCCTCGGGGGTGGGGGTGGGGGTGAGGTCCATTTTTTAAAGAAAGCTCCACAAACGAAACCTCCTTAAAAACAACCCCTATAGGCTTGCGAGAATAGTACCGCTTGGAGAATAGCACGAGGTTGCCATGAGGCATCTTCTCTTAAGAAAGCTGAGCCTCATATCTCATCGTGTCCCTTAGCATTGGCTGGACTGTTAACAGCCCCCTGTGCATCAGTAGCTTCTGCTACCCGGCGTTAGGCTCCCTTGAGTAGCTGAATGGCCAGGTTGGGAACATGCCAAAGGCCTGTGGGGAACCAGTAAGATGGATGGAAGAGATAGTGAGGGGGCTGTGCAATGTCCTTGTCAGTCATAAGAGTGAAGAATCGCTAGGGCAATGCAACAGCTGCAACTTTAAGTCAGGTTGTTAATGAAGGACTGGACTTAACCTCTGTGAAGAATTACGGCCAATTTCTCTTCTGAATAATGATTACAAACTTTTCACATCTATCTTAGCTGAAAGACTTTAAAAAGTTTTACAGGATTACATATAAGAATACTGGATTACATGTGGTGTGGTTTTTTTTACCCAAAAGACAATTAAAAAACAATGTAAGAGTAATCTTGGATATAACTCAACATTTACAACAATGTAGCAACAAACAGGCCACATTAATTTTTCTAGATGCAGGAGAAACCTTTGATAATTTGAACTGGGGCTTCATGTTTAAAGTAATGGAAAGGATGGATTTTGGATTGGGCTTTACATAGAGTTTGAAATCCATTTATACATTCCAGACAGCTCGGATTATGGTGAATGGGGACTTAACAAAATCATGTGAAATCCAGAAAGGAACAAGACGGGTGTCTTTTATCCCCTTTATTATTTTGGTGTTGAAACTGTTAAATAGGAATATTAGACAAGACAAAAGAGCAAAAGGATTACAAATTAAAGTGCACAACTATAAACTTTGTGCTTTTGCTGATGATTTGGTATTGATTGTGCAAGACCTGTTAGAGAATATTGAAGAAGATTAAACTATTTGGAGAAATGCCAGGCTTAAAAATAAAGAGAACAATATTGACTTAATATGAATGTGGAAGATCGCAAGAACTTGGAAATTAAAATTGGTTTTAAAGTTGTGAAAAAGGTAAAATATTTGGGAATGATCCTTACAGACAAAAATTCTAAGTTATATTAAAAACCTATGTAAAAATAAGGAGATAAAGTTGGATTTAAGCAGACGGCAAAACTTTAATTGTCATTAATGATAAGAATTTCAGTAACTAAAATAAATATATTACCCTAGAGTATACCAATATTGATTAAAGATTCTTCTTTTGAACAGTGGCAGAAAGATATATCTAAATTCATTTGGCAAAATAAAAAACCAAGAATCAAATACAAGCTCTTACAGGATTCTAAAGAGAGAGGAGGTCTGAGTTTGCCAGATCTTAGATTATATTATGATGCTTGTTGTTTGGTATAGTTAAAACATGGAATAACTCTAAATATCTAAGATTGTTAGATTTGAGATTTGGGTAGCATGCCTATTTTCACTTTTACAAAGTAAAAGTTAACGTTGGTTTTAAGATCATTAGGCAATCGATTGGGCATGTATGGTGGAAATATAAAAGAAGATTGGCTGAAAAAGTGCCACTTTGGTTATAGAACATACATAGAACGGTAGGATGTAAATGGATGACATACTGGGACTTACTAACATTTGAAAAAAAGGAACTCAAGATAAAGACAAGAGAACACTTAGTAAGTGAAGGATTTGATGATTGGTTTAATTATTATAGAAGTTTTGAAAGATTTAAACTTGATAAAATAGTTTTGTTATCACAGGAGTTAAATCTGAATTGGATCTCAATTTATCTCAAGACGACTACTTAGATTGCTAAAGTATACAAAATGTTACTTGAATCTGGAAGGTGAACATGTCAAAGACTGTAGGGTAAAATAGATGAAAAATTTTGGATATAACAATGCTAATGGGAGAATTTATGGACTTATGGATTAAAATTTATTTTGAATTATAGCTTAAAATATTTTTTTTAGAAAATGAGGTACTGTTGGTATTTGACTCCAGACAGGTTAGTAAAAATGTATAGAGGGACTTCTAACAAGTGTTGGAAATGTAATCAAAATCCAGGTACATTTTACTTTATGTGGTGGTCTTGCAAATATGTGAAAACATTCTGGATAAATACAATAATGACAATGCAGAAGATATTTAAAATACAAATATTAATGAAACCTGAAGTTTTTCTTTTAGGTATTATAAATAAACCAATCAAAAAACAATTTGAGATGTTATTTCTTTACATGGTGACCACTGCAAGGATTGTACTCATTAAGCACTGGAAAGGAAAAGAGATGCTGACTGTGGAAGAATGGATTTTAAAACTGACTGTAGTACCGTAGCAGAGATGGCAAAACCAACTGCTTTGATTTGATACAAAAGACTAGACAAGAGATTGGAAGCCACTTGTGTACTTTATATGAATTAAATACAATAACAGATAGGTAACAGAGGGATTTGAAGATTAGCATAATACTCAGGAAAAAAACCTGTGACTTTTTTTACGTTTTTAATATATATATATATATATTTAATATATATATATAAAATACTTATTTTATTTAATACTTGAATATTAAATAAAAATCTCATCTGAAATATTTGTTTATATATTTATATATAAACATATATTACATACTTTTCTCATTAAATAAGAATGAGAAAGCTTATTATTAGTTGTAGAGCCATTATTTAAGGGGAGGAGAATTTACTGTTTTTTGTAAATTATATTTTATTTCCAGCATTCAGCTAGGATTTTTTTTTTGTATGCTTAATGTTAGACTTATTTGCTGTCTGAGTCATTTTTTTACCTCTTTTTTGTACTTTTTTTTTAAACTGTTGGATGTATGTTTTCCTGTTTTCTCTGTTTTTGCATTTTATTCTTGTCGATGAAACATAATATATATACAGTATGTATAAATAAACTGGGTTGTAATTAACTTTGAGAGGGTTTGTTGTAACTTTGAATGATCACTAAGCGACTGATCATAAGCCAAGAACTACCTATATATAGTCTAAAATATATGCTCCATTATTAAACTAGACATGTCTTTCTCTAGGATTCTGTGTCTTCTTTAATGTATCACAGGTTCTATATTTGTACTCTCATGTGCTTCACAACACCTCTTCCCAATCAAATCTAAAGCACTGCACACTTATTTATTTATTTGATAACTTATTTTGGAGTTGTGCAACAGGATAAATCAAAATCTTTTTCCATTTGCAGCCACTGCTCTGAGAAAACAGATGTTTCAGGAAAACTGCCTTATGGGAGGACTTTAAAAAGGAACTACAAATTTCAATAACTACTAGAGACTTCTGTTCAAAAAGATTTGTGGGCTGGTACTATGCCATTGTCCTTAAAATAAATGAAAGAAAAGTTAATGGGCAATGTATTACTGCTCTGCACGGTCTGATTAGCAAAACTGTTTGTTCAGATGATGTAACACGTTCAGCATGGGATGTCATTGTTTAATTAAGATGCAATTGGATATTTTACCATGGAAAACATTGTTGAATTTCTTTCTTACTATATAGTTTGACCTAAGGAATTAAAAAAGTACCTGACTTTAAGCTACATTTGGTCATCCTGAAGCCATAGAAACTCTTAGAATGAAAGGCTTTTGATCTTTTCAAATTAAACTGATACTTCATATTGTGCTAGATTGGCAGTGCTTACATTAATCTTCAGATATGAAGCAGGTTTTTATCTTAACTGTCTGTGAAAAATGAAACCACTTTAAATATAAAAGATGACTTTAATAAACATGTTTAAAAGTGATATTTTTGTGATTTTAAAAAGGAAGAGTCTTTTTATTAGTATTAAAGAACAATTATATCCTTGCCAGAAACTGGCCATAACTACAATTCCTTTGGCAGACTTCAAGAAGGCCTATTACTGGGTAACATTTATGGATTGTCTTTCCAGAACTGATGCTCCACTAGTGGTGCTAGTGGGGCAACAACTAATATAAAAGAGGTATGTTGGGAGCAGCCGTGGATTTGTAAGAGTTTGCAGAGTTTCCTTTTTTCCCAGCATATCCACAATGTTGGCCCCAAATTATGGTAATTGTGGAGCTGGTGTTATTATTCCCCCATTAGAATTAGTAAAAAGGAAAATGCAGTATTATTTTTCCCCAATGATAAGAGTGATGCATTTGACAAAATTCCACATAAATATTTTCTTCATTACTGGTAGTGATTAAAAATATTTTTGTATTAATCAATAAAGAGTCAGTTTGGAGAGCATGAGTTCTAGAAAAATTGACTTTGGGCTACTCAGTCTTTTAGTTCAATCCATCTCACAGGACAATTGTTCTGGGGAAAATAGGAGGCAAGAATATTATGTGTACTGCCTTGAGTTGGATAAATTAAAGGTGGGATATAAATATAATAATCATTGTATCAGGCCTTCTAATCCATTTTTACTAATTATTTTATTTGATTCCTGAATTAAAAAATATCCCCAAAGTGCAGTTTGAATCCTATTTGGAAACAGTTGCTATCCACTGAAGCTCAACTCACATAGAAATATTCAGGAATGAACATAAAACATTTTAAAACATCTTAATCTTCTTTTACATTATCAAACCCCTAGTACAAGGACAGCACAGAAAACATATCCTACATCTTCTGCCATCTTTAGATCCCATTTCTCTACTGTTTTTCTGAATCTTTTCAACTAGGTCTTGCATTCTCTGCATCTCTAGACCCTAGGTGACTTGTCTCTTAACTGTTTTTCAACTGCCATGGAATACAAGTGCATCATTAGAAGATCAATTGATGTCATCACTGACAGACTGGGGTTTGGAACATAACAAAGCCCATCTTTAAAAGTCAAAATGCTGTTATTCCCCCCATGCAGCCAGTTAGGTATTTTGGATTCCCACTCCTTACAAATTCATTATATTTGTGGGAGAACACTCTCCTTATTGTTTTAATAGGGCTGTTTCCTCTTGAAAGATACAACTAATTAATACAATTGTCCTCAGATCGGATTATAAAGATTAAAACCACTAGATACTATCAGTTTTTGAGTACTATAATATATTTATGGGACGGTTCCTCTTAAATACTGCCTGTCTATCCAAGTAGAGGATCAGCTTTTCCATTACTGGCAATCGTCACCTTACTACTGTAACTGAATCTGGAATTATGCTCGCAAATCATGCATTAAGAGGTCATCATGTGACAGATCCAATTTTATGACATTTTTTGTGGCGGTCTTTAAATTGTTAGGATTGTTAAGCAAACTCATTTTCTGCAATGGATATTTTTTTGCCATTTTTTTTTTTTTGCTGAAAGTAAATGCTGGTTTCTGGGGGGGGGGGAAATGTCACAAATTGTGATATGACCATGGGATACTGCAAACAGCCATAAATGTGAGCTGGTTGCCAAGAACCCAATATAGGTAGATCTTGATTTATGATCACAATTGAGCCCAAAATTTCTGATGCCAAGTGAGACAAGTGAATTTTGCCCCATTTTTCGATCTTTCCTGTCACAGTTGTTAAGTGAATCACTGCAATTGTTAAGTTAGTAACACAGTTATTAAGTGAATCTGGCTTCCCCATTGCATTTGCTTGTCTGAAGTTTGCCGAAGGTGATCACCGGGACATTGCAAATGTCATAAATATGAGTTGAATCTAGGTCCTAACTACCTTTTTGGGGATTAGTTGTGTCTTTGTTTACTAAGTGACTGATCATAAGTCAAGACTACCTGTACTCAGAATGAAGCAGCCATCTTGAGTGACAGAGGCTGAGGAGCACAAAATAGGAGCAGAGTGTTGAAAGTCAGAAATTCATCTGACTCTATTTGATGAGGATAAACTGAAGGGAATGACTTAAATTTCATGAGCTAATTGGAGTTAGTTGGATTTTTATTGATCTGATGCATGTAATTGAAAGAAAGCTCTCATGTAGTTTTGTGACTGTAAAGTGGTTTTGAAACTGGGGCTTTTCCCCCTCTTCATATATAATGCTTGAGTAATTGCTAAATCTTGTAAAATATTATTCCAAATGAACCTTAAAGTATGTTTGTTAAGAGAAAGTTGAAAATGTACTAGAATTTGTTGATTTTAGAAATATTTTTTTAAACAAATTTTATTGTTTTTTTTTAATTAATACAAAGTGCTCGAGACACACTGTGGGGCTGGGGTAATCGAAAATCCAAAAACAAAACATATATAAGTAATTCAATCAATACATCAAATATTCCCTCTCTATTTCCCTCAAATAGCTTATATATTTAAACTAGTCTATTTCTACCTTAAATTTCTATTAATCCTAAACCGAGGTGGCGCAGCAGTTAGAGTGCAGTACTGCAGGCCACTTTAGCTGACTGTGTTCAGCAGGTCAGCGGTTCAAATCTCACCGGCTCAAGGTTGACTCAGCCTTCCATCCTTCCGAGGTAGGTAAAATGAGGACCCAGATTGTTGGGGGCAATGTGAAATATATATATATATATATACATTGCTTACTGGTGTACACCACTTAGAGAGTGCTTGCACTTAAAGCGGTATATAAGTCTCATAAATAAATAAATAAATAAACCTGTTTTAAAGCTTTATGCAATTACAAGACCATAATCAAATTTAACTTCAAATACACACATTATCAGTTCAGGTATCCCTTCTAAATATGTCCTAATTCTTTAATTTCATCATAAATCTTATTTATTTCTTCTTCCACCAATATCTCCCAATTAAAATAAAAATTAATCTATCCTATATATATCTAATCCATCAATCCATCAATTTTTTGTTAACAAAATAATAACCTTAAATCATTTGAATCCCTTAGACAAGGTTCTGTTTTCATCCAATTAATTATCAAACCTAATATCATCCATGTTATCAGAGAGAACACATCATCTTTTTTTTGTACAAATTTTATTTATAATACAGTTAAAAACAAACAAACATTGGATTTAACGTGACATTCCAGTATATACATTCTTATCAGATTATTCCACTTTTTACAATCAATTCTTCATCTCTACATATACATCTAAGTTTTATATACAATACTTGTTCTAAAATAACATATATTTCTATCTTAACATTCATCTTTAATCCCGACCGTCCTCTTCAAATTCCTCCAGCAGTAAAATTTATCCCAGGTTTCATAATAAACTGATCCACATTTGTCTTTTAATATCATTGTGAGCCTGTCCATTTCCGCACATGCTAATATTTTATGTATTAACTCTTCCTCTGTGGGAATTTCCTTGCTCTTCCATTTTTGCGCAAAAGGATGTGTAGCAGCAGGTAGATTGTTCCCTTGTCGTATTTTTCTGTCGTTATTCCCAACAAGAAGAGTAGAGAACACATCATCTTATTAAAATCACATTCAATTAATTATTAAGTCAATCCCAAACTAAAACATCTCTTCATTTTTCTTCATTCCATTATATAGTAATTTTCATACATTAATCACCCATTTTTTCTTATTTCTATTCAAAAACTTAATCCTTAACTCAGTCCATAGTTCTAAAATGCCTTATATCCAATATATATAATTTTAAATTTCTCTTTTCAATCTTATTCTAGGCTTTTTTTTTTTTTTGCCAAGCAGGTTTTCACAACAATGCTTCCCTTCCAACCAGTAAATCTCTCTTTGTTGCTTGTGATGTTAATTGAAGCAGTAATAAGCTTCCTGTCGTCTGGATTGGACCTCCATTTCTCTTATTCTTGAAGCCTCGCTGCATTAAAGGTTCAAATCTCAATCTTTGTCTTTTCTGGTCCTCACAAATATAAATAAGATGCTTGTAGGATGAAATAAGTTCCTCTGTATCCTCAATGAAGTCATCTTTTAGTGTATTTTGATTTGTAGAGTAGTCAGGTGTAATCTGAAAGTCACTTTTAAAATTTGAAGAAGAATCTCTGATTCTTAGTTCTGTGGTGATCTCTTTCATTGTAACAAATTCCTCTTTAGTTTCCTTTAATTCCTCTTCTGGTATGTTTTGGTTTATAGCATAAACAGATGTAATCTGAAGGTCAGTTTGAAAGTTTGGGGTAGCATTGATTCTTCGTTCTGTAGTAATCCTTTTCCTTATAGCACAAATTTCTTCAGAAACCTCATAAATCTTTTCCAGTATAAGCTTGCAATTTAAATGAGGGTGGAGTTTCTCCATTTTAAAAGTAATCAAAAAAGGGTATTTTCATTATTATTATTATTATTATTATTATTATTATTATTATTATTATTATTATTAATGAAGGCTGTAATTAAACAGTGTCCACCCCCTCAGTTCTCACAGCTGCACCAGCTTATCTCTTCTAGGAATATTTTGAAGGTCAGGTTTCTATCCAAAGAATAGTTGCAACATTAACTTTTCACCACTAGATGTCCTCAGTAAATAAAAAAGAAACTTTTCCAGACACCATTTTTTCCCTTTTTTCTCTCTTTTAAAGGAAAAGGTGGAGAAAGAAGTATATTAACTCTTAATAAAATTCAAAAAAGCGTTTTTTTCTATATCCCAAAATAAGTAAAAATAGAGTGTAGTCTTTAACAGGTTTTTATTCTCAACGCCTCTCTTCCCACGCATACAGAAGCCGCCCTTTCCAAATGGGGAAATAATTCCAACCCAAGTTTTTTCAGGCAAAAAAAAAACCAAGTAAGGGAAAGAGAGGGGCTAAAGAGGTCTCACTCAGATCCTCTGCAGTGGGTCTAATATCGCTTAGCTGTAATTGTGACTTCGGCTGGTGCAGCAGGATAATCGGCCATCTTGCAGGACGATCATTGCTCCGTCGGCCCTAAAGAAATAGCTGGAACCGCGGGAAAAGCTGCCGCTCTCCCTCAGCCACCAGCAAGCCTCCTTCTCAGTGGTTGCCCCTCCAGGGCAACTTTCGACCCACTGGGGGGTCAATCAACACAGAAAACACAGCCAGGCTGGAGACAAGTCGCCAGGCACGACCGGCGTTGCCGCGTACTGGAACCGGAAGTCGATTTTAGAAATATTTTTAAAGAAAAGTTTATAAAGAAAAGTTTACATTATAGATGTGAAAATAGTTTTTTCTCTTTAATTTTAAAGAATCTGAAAGAATATAGTTAATATATAGTTAATATATATTTGATGATAGTCTATAAAGATTAATAAGCGCACATAGCGACAGCAAGGAAAAAAGCAGAGATGGTTAAATTGATTGTTTTATTCAGAGAAAAGAACATAACTAATTTTGTTTTCATTTGGAAACTGTTTCTGGACTTTGTGCTTGTGATGAAAAAAATGGAAGTTTGATTTTGGTTTTGCTGATTAGATAGGTGTTATTATAGAAATGGCTAGTATACTACTGTGTACAAGTAAAAAGTTCAGGTTATAATAATCTACTGTGCTAAACAGTCAAATCATTTTTCTTTTCCCGCTTCTATCCCATCCTCTTTTTCCCCTTTTCCTCCTCTAATTTCCCATTATTTTTATTTTCCTTTATACTTTTTATTCTGATAAACTAATATAATTTTGAAGGGAAAAAAAATAGATTTTTAAAATAAATCCATCTGCCATGCAGTCCTCCCTGAACTTCTGAGTTTGTTTCCTTCTGTGGGAATAATCCAGAGAAATAAATATTTTGGGAAATATTAAAAAGGCAGAATATATTTCTCCAAAAGAATAATGAAGAAGATCTTTAAAAGGCAGAAACTTTTCCTTCCTCCCAGCCAGAAAACTCAGCAGAAACCATCTTTTAGAAATGCAGATGTAATAATCAATTCAGGAAGGTTGGGGCCAGGAAGCTAGAAGCTATGAGATTAGGAAAACAAGAACCTCTAAAATCTACATATCCCACCCAAACTCTAAAAGACATGACCTTCGGGGACATAATACGATTAACCCACCAATACCAAAAGGGCACACTCAGACTCAGGTCAAAGTACATGACATAGGAAATACAAAGCCTCAAACAGGAACAGGAAACAGTGGTGGGTGTAAAAACCCACCACTCCCAGCAACATGTGGTCAGCTTTCCCAGAACCACACTTCTGTCTGGCTTTGCTCTTCAATAAACTCCAAATTTCTTTCTAAAGCAGTCTCCATTTTTTTGATTCCCAGCTTGGACTGGACCCTGATGAAGATTTTTATTTCTACACTTCACAAGTATTTAACTTGTTTGATATTTGCTGAAATTTCTATTGACAAATCAAGCTATGTCAAATACCAAATTGAAGACTTTCGGGTATTCCTAGTGGGAATATGTATATTAGAAAGGATCAGTGCTTTTTTTTGTAAAAACAAAAGATGCCGGAACTCACACATGTCATACAACCCGCCTTGCCTACCCTACAAGGTTCCATCCAAAAAAGGTGTCAGAACTCCTTTCTGGGCATTCTATAACAAAAAAAAAGCCCTGGAAAGGATTAATGTAAATGTATTTATTAGAAAGTTAAAGGAATTGCATGGAAATGGCATCGATATTCCCAAAGGAAGCAAATATAAGGTTTCAAGCCTGTAGACTAGAGTGGGAAGGAAAAAAAGACACTAAAAAGAAAAAGAAAATGCAAGCTACTTGTTGCCAGAAATCACTAGAAGATTCACTTAAAGAAAACATCACCCTTCTTACAGCAACTAAATGCTTTTATTAAATCTTATCGCTTACTTGAATGCCAGCTTGATGTGGTTAAAGCACCAGGCTAGAAACCAGGCATTTTAGTCCCCACCTTAGCACAAATCCAGCTGGATGACCTTGGGCCAGTCACTCTCAGCCCTAGGGAAGCAGGCACAATATCTATATCTACCGTATCTTATTTTTCTCCCCTAATTTATTTGACTGAATGACTAGCATCCTCAATTCTCTACTCTGCTGGCTGGAAGCACTTGAAAAAGCCTAAATGGGTTTATTAGAGGTGAGACCTGCAAGAAAGCTTTATTTATATCTTGTCCCAACTATGGTATGCGTAGCCAATTATTTCACAATTGTGAAGCATCTTTTTTTCCCAGTTTAAATATATACATTTTTGGTAAGGCAAGTCATTGCCCATGACCTATTCCATTCTAGCAGAGTAATTTCTTGTAACTTGCCTGAAAGAATTTAAGTGGGAAAACATCTTTAAAGTGATCTTGTGGATGTGATCCTTCTACCTAATGTGGAAAGCCTTTTTTACTTGGCTCAAATTTTTCTGCTTATTCCTTGGTATAGCAATATTTATTGTTGAATTAAGTAGACTGCCATGAGAAAAAATTAATTCAGTATTGGAACATAAAATCCTATGTTCCATATTTGGTTTTGTAAACAACTTTAACTTAATCTGATCTTGGAAATAACATAAAGAACCCATTCTGTATTAAGAAAAAAAGTATTTATCCTTATATAAGTGAAAGTTTGAGACCTTTCTTTGTCAATTTCTCCACTCTTTCTGTTGACTTTATAAGAGAATCTCACAACAGAATCCCTGTTGACTTTATAAGAGAATCTCACTAAATGGTAGAATTTATAATGGTGTGTAAATTTATCCTTAGGTTTAAGGTTAAGAGATTATTCTGTCTAAAAATTAAGCTATTCAATTTTATCTTAGGGGAATCACTAGATATATTATCCACATATTTCACTTTATCGTAGGTGAGTAAATCAGGTCCTATTGGTATCATTAGATATAATTTAGAAATACAGCTTTATCTTCCAAAAATATACTCAAAACCTTACAGATCAAATGATAACAAGGACATATATAATTACTTCCTCAAACATGTATTCAATTTATTCATTAATTAAAATGTTGGAAATGTTTACAGTCCGTCTAAGTTTTACTTTTTATTATAGCAAAACTGCATAAAATACACCAGTATTAATAACATTGCAGATAACCTAGCATTTTAAGGACCAATTAATTTTCAGGGTTGGACTACAAATCTTTTTTCTTTTCTTTTCACATGTCTCACAGAGTACAATAGGTCTATTTTACAGACTATTTTAGACTATGTCTGGATTCAACTACTGTCCTCTCAACACAGTATAGTAATAATGAGGGAATGACAGTTTTCTTTGTAAAGGAGTTTGCAAAAACCTCCTGGGTTGCTTCAGGTGCAGCCTGACTGCTTTCCCGAGCAGCTGAAGAGCGCAGCTGAAAAGCATCGTGCCCCCCCCCCTCCCGAGGTGTCGGAGAAACGGTTGTCGGAAACAGATGTGGGAGAGGCCAGCTCTATGGAACCGTGGATGACACCACTGCAGGAGATTCTCAGCCAGGGAGCCAGGGAGAGCAGATGCCAACACAAATAGTGGCCAAGGCTGGGGAACCGGAAGATCCCTCCAAGGTACCACAGTCTCTGTCCCATAGCGCGCATCTGGAAGAGGCTGCCAGTTTGGCAAGGGTGTCACTCTTTCTGGATTCCCAGAAAGGGAGGCAGGCATAAAAATAGTATGGGGGGAGGATGAGTGCACATGCGTGTGCACTGGCCATCCCATCATGTGGCATAGTGTTCAAGTGGCTGCAGCCCAGTAGTGGGCCATGGCCCACAGGTTAGGGAACCCCTGTTCTGGAGGATGTTCTGCTTCATATCTTGGTGCGCAAACTTTCTGGGGGAGCCCTGAGCACCTGCTGGGGAGTGCGCAGGCATTTGCCTCCCTTTGCCACCCTGCCCTCTGTGGGGGGAGGGGGTGAAGTTTGGTGGAGTGGGCATGGCAGCGGCAGTAATGGTGGCTACTCAGCTCTTCTGAGGCAGGGCACTCCGTCGCCAGCACCTTCACAGTAATAAACTCTTTCCTACCTTTTGTCTGTCAAAAGGAGCTCTGCCCCCTCCCACCACTAAGGCTGAGGAGTAGGAGCCGGGGCACTTTAGTCAGCCCCCTTGGGAGGCGTGGCCTTCCGGTACCTCCTGGTCTCACCTCATGCCTCATTCTCTAGAAGTGATGAAGGGCATCCTGGTCCTGCATTGTCTGTGTTCTTTTGCACCTTCCTCTCCCATGCTGCCCTACTTGCACCCCCGGGAGAAGGAGGGAGGGCAACACACACACAAACACACACACACACACACACACAAAACCATGAGGCATCATATAAGTAACACCCCCTCCCCAAAGCACACACTCTGCTAGAGAGAAATTCCCTGAGGTGTATTAAAAAAGACCAACACAATATACACATACTGGTGTTATCCTCCCCTGGTTCCAATGTCATAGTAATGTATTCATTCCAATAATCAATTCAGCTTAGAACTAATCTGATTTCATACTTCAATTGATAAGTCAAGTTTTAAAAAGATGTTACCACATATACAGAAATTCTTCCAAATTGTCAAATTGGTTTGGAAGCATCTGCTTTGAAAAACTTACGTAGAAGTGTGATCAAGCCACCTGCCATAGAGATAAATTTTATGATTTCCACACTGTAAAAGACATATTCTGAAATACATTCTCTTTCTACTAAACAAAGTAATTAAAAAATTATATAGTGATTGACTTACCTTTTCTCTCCTTTTTCCTTCTTATATTTCATTTCTCAACATAGATTTTACACAAAAATGGATAGACATCCAGCATTAATGAAATCACCAAAGAGCATATAGAGCTCAGCTACAAACCAGAAGTGCTGAAAGAACAGCAAGCAGTTTGTACAGAAGAAGGTAAAGAGATGTTTATGGCTACAGAAAAGATTCCTTGGAATTCTGGAAAAGATCAAAGGAAGTTATGAGTTTTGATCTTTTTATACAAGATTGATTTTTGAGGAATGATTTTTTGGCAACAGTCCAGAAAATGCTGCATAGGTTTATTTAGTTCAAATGTTAAGGCCTGTAGATATTTAATTTTCTAACTTAGAAAATTAACTGCATTAACAGAGGGATAGAATCAAGATCATGTGAAATGTTAATATCACTTTACAATGCCTCGGTAAGGCTACACTTGGAATACTGCACCCAGTTTTGGTCACCACGATGTAAAAAAGATGTTGAGACTCTAGAAAGAGTACAGAGAACAAAGATGATTAGGGGATGAGGCTAAAACATATAAGGAATGGTTGCTGGAATTGGGTATGTCTAGTTTAATGAAGAGAAGGATGAGGGGGGACAAGATAGCAGTGTTCCAATATCTCAGGGGCTGCCACAAAGAAGAGGGAGTCAAGCTATTTTCCAAAGCGCCTGAAGGCAGGACAAGAAGCAACAGGTGGAAACTAATCAAGGAGAGAAGCAACCTAGAACTAAGAAGAAACTTCCTGATAGTTAGAACAATTAACCAGTGGAACAACCTGCCTCCAGAAAAGTTGAATGTTCCAACATTGGAAGTTTTTAAGAAGAGACTGGACAGCCATTTGTCCGAAATGGTATAGGGTTTCCTGCCTGAGCAGGGGGTTGGACTAGATGACCTCCAAGGTCCCTTCCAACTGTACTATTATTATTATTAGAATAAATTTAGAGTAATTTATGGTATTTTAGTTGTTACTAAGTTTTAGTAACTCCATTCACATGTCACTCTGGCCATGGCAAGGATTATGGGATTTGTGGATCAGCAATCCTAGACTGGAGTATAACTGGAATTTATACAAAAAAATTGCATACAATTTCTAAGATATTCATAATGTGTTCAATAAGTAGACATTCAAAAATTGTATTTCAAACACAATTTGAGCACTTTTGGACAATTACACAGTGAGTTAAAAGTGAGCTGTGCCACCAGCTTGCTTCTGACACTGCACAACTTCACAATCTCATTATCCACACAAAATAGAGCCCACTCCTACACACTAGGACAGTGTAGTCTTTGAAAAGACTCCTGCACAATCACCTCTCTGTTGTTTGTTAAATCACACCATCTTTTTTCCACATAAGCCTGAAAAGAAGCATTTCAATTCCTTTAAGAATTATATCATGACTTGACCTTACTTGCACTACTTCTGAAGCACTTATTTGGAACCATTTTTGAAATGTGCATAATCATAACACATAGCTTGCATTAAAATTCATGGAAATTATCATTAAAATATCTCCTTAAAATTCAGAATAAGGATGAAGAAACTTGAGAAGATACAATTTATTTATATTTCCAATTATTTTTATTTACACTTCCCACATTATTAATTATAATGGCATTTCTAATTTTTTATCAACTTTGAATATCTTTTACAGTTGGTGAAACAAAGGCTGCAGATTTAATTCTGGAAGAGGAATCTACTGAAGATATCAAGACCAGCCCAGAGGAATTAAATGCCAAATTAAATGAAGATGAGGTACAGAAAGACACAGAAGATGCTAATAAACAGCTGGCATCAGAAGAAAAAGAAGATCAGCCTGGTGTATCTCCATCAAATGATGTTGGATTTAAAAAGGTTTTTAAATTAGTTGGATTCAAATTTACAGTTAAAAAGGATAAAACAGAGAAAGCTGAACCTGTTCAGCTATTGGATGTAAAGCCAGAGGTTGCAGAAGGGTCAAGTGACGTAGTTGGAGACTATAAACAACTCATGACAGAGACAGTGGGAGAAGCCACACAAAGTGAAATCACTGCCTCTGTAGACAAGACTGAGGAAGAAACTCAGGCTGAGGAGATGAAAGGAGAAACCTCTGAGAAAGTAACAGAAAGCCCTGTGGAAGCAGAAAGCAAAGAGCCAGAAATCAAAAACAATGGGATTAAATCTCCAGATTCTCCAGTAAGCCCATCAACTGCTGAAACTGCATCACCTCTGAGAAAGTTTTTTACTCAGAGTTGGGCTGGGTTTAGAAAAAGGACAAGCTTCAGAAAGCCTAAAGAAGAAGTGCAATCTGAGAAAGAAAAACAAGAACAAGAAATGGAGAAAGAAGTGACAACAGAAGGAATAATTGTTGAAGAAGAATTAGAAAAAGAAAAACTGACACCAGAAAAAGATGGGACAGAAGATATTAAAGGAAATGAAGAGGAACAAAAAATAGAAAAGAGTGCAAATGAGCGTAAGAAAAAAGTTGATACTTCTGCATCAAGGGAAGCCTTAATTTTTGTAGAAAAAGTAGAAAATATTTACAGGTAATCCCCAAGTTGCGAGCGTTCACTAGTGCTTATGAACAAGTCCTGAAATTACGAATATTACAGCATCATAGCAGTCATTCACCCTTACAAGAGTGACCACAGAGGCTCTGCAACATTCACCCTGGTTATTCCCACCACCGGCCTGAGTCTCCCTAGGCATCAGACCTTCAATACTCACCCTGTGAAGATCGAGATCCTTCACTTTTTTGACTGCTCCAGGCTTTCGAAGCATTCACAGAGAATGGAGGCCTAAAGTAACGCAAGATCATGCGATGTAAGTGGGGCGAGATCTCACTCTACTGATCTCATGTGATCTCATGGTACTTTAGGCCTCTGTTGTCTGCAACAGAGAATGGAACCGAAGCCGAGGGGATGCTTCCATGTGCCTCCAGAGGCTGGATTGGGACATCAGAGGCCTTTTCCAGGCCACTGCCACCTGGATCTGAGGCTGGGGACGCTTCCGTGTACCTCCAGAGACTGGATTGGAGTATTGGAGGCCTTTTCCAGGCCACCGCCGCCCGATCTGAGGCCGGGGAATGCTTCTACGGCCCTCCGGCAGCCTGATGTGGGTGCTGGACACCTTTTCCAGGCTGCCGCCTGGATCTGAGGCTGGGGATACTCTTGTGGCCTTCTGGCAGCCCTATCCCGGTGCTGGATGCCTTCCCTGGGCTGCTGCTGCCCAGATCTGAGGCTGGGGGACACTTCTGCGGGCCTCTGGCAGCCCATTTCTGGGCGGCCTTCGACACCCGGATCCACAAAAGGTTTATTATGTACAGCCCACTTCAAAGTAAAATTTAAGTGCCACTTTAATTTGCCATCATTTTAACAGCTAATGGGAAACCAATTATTTAAATAAACTATAATCTGCTTGTGGAAAACCATATTGCAAAAGCTCCAACAAGTGAAATAATAATACAAAATACAATGGTGGCATGACCTATGTAATCCTGGATTTTATCTTTATATCTCCCTTTATAGCTCTAAGGTTGTTAATAGTTGTGTAAAGTTAAACATTTAAATAAAATCTGGTGATAACAATATAGTTACTGACTAGAAGTTGTGGAACAAGTGCTTGATTTGGGAAGTTTTTTTTTAAAAAGATACTATGGCCTTTCTAAGCAATGCCAAGAGCATATATCATATAACCAGCCATTCTTCTTGCAACTGATGGTCTCAAAATAAAAAACAAGGCAACTGAAGAATTTTTTGTCATGGTACAGGGAACATGTTTCCATTCACAGATATTGCTTTGATACAGTGAGGAACAAGACCAGTTGCCACAAAACCTGATCCCACCAAATACAATCAATGTGCGATGCAATTCTCTGCATACTTAAGACACATGGAACTATCCTGCTAAATTCAAATTAACATTTGGAAACATTTTCAAATCTTGTCATACAGTCAGATCCTGGTTTATAGGTGCAGGTTTTTAACAACTTTGCCAGAGATCCTGCTTAGTAAATAGTATACTATACTCAAACAGCCCATCCTGGCATGTTGGTTTTTGCTGCGTGATAGATTGTGTTAAACTTGTTGTTAGGACCAATGGCTTTAACATCTCAAGTCTCTAACAAGCATAAGACAGGGACCAGCAAAAGGTTTGCCTTCTATCTGCTACTTGGTCTGTCCATGAGCTTTTCTCAGAGCTATTTATTTTATCAAATTTACATAGTTGCCTATCTCACCAAAAGCAACCCTGAGTGGCACACAATAAAATTATGTAAAAACACAGATATCAAATATAAAACTTCACATGAATAAATATAATTTTAAAAAATCAAAGATACAAGCCCTAGACAACCAGAGGGATAAAATTGGTCATCTCAACAATAGAGCCATCTCAGCAAGCTCTCTCAGCTCTGCAGGAAAAACTGACATAATTACCAGCTGGCATGAAGGAAATTAAAAACAGAGCTACTGTATTACTGGTGTGAATTTGTAGGCCACTGGGAATTCCACTCTTATCACATCTCTGAACAACCCAGAAGGGGATGGATCATGTACGGTCTTCCATATGATGTACTTCAATTCCAGATACATCTGACCAACATAGATAAGGTGAAGATCATGGAAGTTGCTGGCTCACAATTTATGGAGCACTATGTGTTGTTTGTCCTCAGCCTATGCAGATGGCAATGATTTGATGAAGGTGTGGGGAAGTGAAATAGTTCCATTTATTTAAGAAGTAAACTGAACCCTGCTAATGTACTGCATACTTTTCTATTGATCTATCTTATTGCCACATGGTAGGGCAGCTGTATTTCACATGCCCATTATTAGAATTAAATTTCCAAATGAATTGCAGAAATACAGGCTTAAGACGGGCACAAGTATTCAAGGGCAACCCAGGTATTATTAAACATCCAGTTGTGTACTGCTCCTGAGATGCACAAGGTTTGCTTCTCCAGCACCAATTGCTATTGCTGCTTCAGCACAGAATTAGCTACCAGGATCAGTGCAACAGATCACTTTTTTTTGCCGTGTTGGAAATCCTTAGGTCAAAAGTCTGACCATATGTGCAGTAATGGAATATGATAAATCAGTTCTGACTTGACAAAAATTAAAATTATTTTCATACCATTTTTATTCTGTGAAATAAAGTATAAAAACTTACAAACTGGAGAACATAGCTAGACACAAAAAAGATGATACTTAAAACAAAACATGTATACAAGAGCAGAGTTAATTACTGCTCCCTTTTCTCCCCCATCAAAATACTTACCTGCATTTCAGTGGGATTTTAGAAAACACTTGTCAATTTAGTTTTTTAGGCTATTGGAGAATATCCATTTATTTATATATTAAAAGATAAAAATCAACAACTTGATTTTGAATGGCGGATAGACGGTCCATAGCAAAGTGACTGTACAATGCATCCTCTTTATTTGTTGCATATTTTGCCAGACTGGAACCTACGAAAATGTAATACAAAGAACAGAGAGGATGCCGCTCAAAGTTCCACTTTAACCTGAAAACCAGCCATGATATAATTTGGTCATTCTTCTATTTTGCTCTGTTATAAAATGATGCTAGTAATTAAAAATTAAGATCTGATTCCCTTGCTCGTAATTTTCACTTATTAATCAGGTAAATTCAGACAATTGCTTTGATTGTTTTTCTTCTTTTCTGTATTTCAAAAACAGGCTGAAAATTGTTACTCCCATAGGGAGGGAGGTACAAGGACTACTTTGTAGAGTTCTTCTAATTCACTTCCTTCAGGTTTTGAGCCATAATAGGCTTCAACATTATTCATTTTAATTCAGCTATAAATATTCATATGGTCAGTGTAATTTAAATACGCTTCTGAAAAGAGTATTTTTACTGATATTAAAAACTGTTTTCAAAAAAGTGGTCAATTTGAAAAGGGTGCATGCAGTACATACATGCCTGAAGTAAATACATTTGTGCACGCACACAGGCACACACATTATGCATATAAAATGATTGCCATCACATTATTACTGCTACTTTAATGAAATATGATCCTGAGCACATTTTGCTTAGAAGTTTGAGCCCCATGGATAGGATCTACCACCAACTCAAGTGTGCTTAGGATCATATTCTTATTCTTTGTGAATGGATATAATATCAGTGGACTGATCTGAACTTAAACATTTGTCAAAAATTGTGTAGATTAAAAAAAATGGATTGCTTCTATTAAAGGAATTTCTTTGTAAAATGACTAATAGACACAGCTATAGGCATTTCATTTAGGAATCAATTTCCTTAACTAATCTTCTTCTAACAAGTAATCAGGTTTGAGAATAAACAATTGAAACTTGACCAACATAGTTTTCTTCTCACCTTCTCAGTGCATTCAAGAGTATAATTAAACAATTTTTCAAATTGTTTACAGTCCTGTCATTGAGCAATTTATCACTGTAACATAGTTTCCAAGATAAGGAATTTACTCCTACATATTTTCTTTCTTATCATTAAAATCAATAGTTATAATTTGATATAATACCCTTTATTAATGTTAGGCTTTTACTGGGAATAGAGCCAGACTTCCTTTCATGTCAGTGAAGTTATAGTGGGGAGTGGGGAGGAAGATAAGTTTAATAAAAAATATGAATAAACAAACATAACCTTTTGTTACAAACCCACCCCCCTCAAGTTTCACAATCAATCTAACAATACTGCTTCCTGTTCTTTTTTGATAGAGTCTAAAACTGAATGATCGCTCTCTGTGGTTTCAGCATCTCCCCCGCTGAGTAGAATGGATCTTTCCTCTTCTAAAGTAAAGACGGAGTTCTGACTTTGGCAAGAATGTTTGACAACTTCATTAGGCGTGGAGAACGTCTTGTCACACAAGTTGCACTTATAGGGTTTGTTGGCCTGTACTAACATGTTGTCCATCTGGTTGCCTTCCTCAAAGGTACAGAGCTCCAGAGTCTGCTTGTCTACCACGGTGTAGGTATCCATGCTTTGGTTGAGACATACATGCCTAGCAGCTTGATTGGCCCGGCAGAAACTTTTGTCACAAGTACTGCACTTGAAAGGCTTGCCGGTATGTATGTACATGTGCTCTCTCCAGTGGCTTTTCTGAATGAACTTGCGTCCACAAATGGAGCATTCGTATTTCCGCCTTTTCACTTCTCTTTCTTGATCTGCCTGCTCCAAATTGTCAATATCAGCAATATCCGAGGGTGGAGGGGTTTCTGATTGCTGCTGCCCGTCAATTATGGGTGAATCTGAGATCTGCTGCAGCTCGCTGTCACTGATCATTCCGGCCTCGGTCGCATCCATAGCATCTTTTTCAGGAGCATTATTACAAAGAGACAAGGGAATGCTACTTTCCCCGTGTTGGTTGGATGCGAAGGGCACCCCTGTATGAATCTGGAGATGCTCACGCAAGCTACTTCGCAAATTGAAACGTCGACCACAGAGGTGGCAGGCATAGTATTTGGGAAAGCTTCCATTTTTTTTCATAATGCTTGGTTTGACATGTGCTATGGTGAGAGAGGCAGGTTGATCGTCTGAGGAAGAGGCTTCCATGTTGGTTTCATCTCCAGGTGAAGGGTGAGAAGGAGCTGATACTAACTCAGGAGACAGTGAAGACTGCAGTGGGTCAGGGGGAACCATATTTGTTGGGGGCACTTGAGGCAAACTTGGTGGTGGTATCTGGGATAGTTGGGAGGGTTCGTGCACCTGATCTTGGTTCACTCTCGAGAGCTGGGGCCGTGCTTCTCGCAAAGGCTTGTCAGGTGCCGTCACTGCCTTTGTGGGATTTCTGGCTTGGTGATCTGCAATTTGAATGCCATACAATGATGATGCCAATGGGAAAACTTGCTCTGGGTGTGCAAAGTTTCCTTGACTGGCAAGACTGGCCTCCTGGATCAATGGGAATGCATGCAAGAACTTTATCCCTTGCTCGAGTCGAACAGGATCTATGAGCTGAGGTGCCATCTTTCCAGTATACATCAAATGCAAGAGGTAACTGAAAATATCTGGTTGTATGTCAGCAGCCTTCAAGCGGACACATTCACTGCAAAAAAAAGTTACAGTATTAATGAAGAAAAAGGGGAAAAAGAAGTATTATAGTATTTATTCAGGGCAGCAGTATCTCCCCTAAACACCAGGAATGATTAGATTTAGGGCCCGAAAGCACAGGCATTCCTCCTGTTTACACGTGTCTGTACAGAAAAGTTGCCTCCCTCTGCTACTGCTCACTCTCACTACGTTTTTGCAGCTACTAAAATACAGGAATTTCATCCATGGAAATACTTTTGCAACATCAACATTGGCAAACCATGAGGGAGATGGGCGGTTAACTAATATGAAATATAAATAAATGAATAAAACAAGATGGTAGGGTGTTTAGAAGCTGCCCCCAGGTCTTCCAACAAAAAGGATCACAAGAAATCTGTGAGGCATCCACCCCTTTAATACATATTGATACGGAAACACAGGTAGTCCTCAACTTATGACCATTATTTATTTATTTATTTATGAGACTTATATACCGCTTTAAGTGCAAGCACTCTCTAAGCGGTGTACACCAGTAAGCAATGTATATATATATTTACATTGCCCCCAACAATCTGGGTCCTCATTTTACCTACCCGGAAGGATGGAAGGCTGAGTCAACCTTGAGCCGGTGAGATTTGAACCGCTGACCTGCTGAACACAGTCAGCTAAAGTGGCCTGCAGTACTGCACTCTAACTGCTGCGCCACCTCGGCTCTTGAGCCCGTGCTTTCAGTTGTAAGTGGTGTTGGCCATAAAGTGTGTCACCTATGTGTCCAGACCAGATTTGATGACTTTGGGGCAGTCTTACACGAACCCATTGTTTGTTTTGGGAGGAGGGGTTGCCAGAAGCTGGAATTAAACGCCATTCCCCTGGAAAAATGTCATAAAGCAGTTACGTGACCATAGAGCATTGAAAACAGCAGTAAATATGGGCTGGTTGCCAAGGGCCCAAAATGCAGCCACCTGATGCAGCAGGGGCTCCTGGATGTCAGAACTTCAAATCCAGGTTGTAAGTAGCTTTTGGGGGGTCCATCATAACTTCAAATGCCCATTAGCCAAGGACTGGCCATTAGCAAGGACTGGCCATTAGCCAAGGACTACCTGTAAGTCTCACTAACCTTAGTGATTTTCTTCTGAAGTTAGGCATAGGAAGGCTCTACAATTTTAAAGGTAGTCACTTAAAGAATATTGTGTATTTATTGCAATAGTTCTTTAAGTAATATGACTCAGGGCTGCTTTTGCTGTCCCTTCAGATCTCAATGTGAAGGAATAAAAGATAATTTGTACTTAGTCAGTTTTAGAGAAATAACGTCATAACACATACCTGATTTTAAATAAAAGTTATTTGGTTCAAGAAGTACAACTGAATACAGTAGCTTATACCGTAGTACCACACAAATACTTAAGAATCAAAAATGAAATACAAAACTTCCTATATTTTGACAATTTGGGATTTATTTGCCACTTTACTTGATTGCTGAGGAATCAGCTGAGGTGTTCCATTCTCAAAGATACATCCATATACTACTAAAACACTTGTGTCTGTAATCTCTAACACAGACATGTCAAACACAAGGCCCGGGGGCCAGATGCGGCCCGCGAAGTGGTTTCATGTGGCCTGCGAAGTCATCCTGGAAACAGTGAGGGAACGGCCCTTGCTGCCTTGGCCCCAGCCCAGGCCAGCAGGGAGCCAATGTACAATTTTGTGGTGGCCAGCTATGCTGAAATGCATTCAATCTTAGCTCCACAAGCCCCCCCCCCCTGCATGGCCTGAGAGGAACAGTAAGGCTCCTCCAGTGGACCATGCCTTGGCACTTACCCTGGTCCCATTCCCTTCTGCCAGAGACCCTCAGATCTGTCCCACTCCTGCCCAGGCCCCCACAGGCACCCTTAATGCAAACGATGTAGAGCTGGCCACACCCACCCAATAGGCCACACCCACTCCATCCACACCCACCGAGTAGGCCGCACACATCCTGGCCACACCTACCCGCCCCCCTGAGGGCATCCGCAATGCTGATGTGGCCCTCAATGAAATTGAGTTTGACACCCCTGCTCTAACTGGTTGAAACAGTGCATCGTAGGGCAAAATCTTTTGAGCCAAGGTTTCTCAAATAAGCTAACTTACAGAATGTGTTCAAAATCTTGGACCAGTGACTCACATGGAATTCAATTTTGGAAATTTTATAAAACATTTTATGACATAAAAATTATCCTAAAGCATTTTGGCATAATACAAAATATCATAAAATATTTTCTGTGGTCGACTTCTGATGTTTTGACTGTGCTATACAGCTCAACCTGAGCTATTTTCAAGGCAGATACTTCTCTGAATATCTCCCTTAACTTTTCATGCAGATAAATAGATATAGATAGATAGATATAGATAACCTTTATTGTCATTTTTACTGTGGGCACAATGGCACACATTAAAAATGAAATTGAGTTGCTTGCTCTCAAAGTGTACACATACATAACACACATTTAAACATACTATACACAACATATGTATAGACCCTTACATATAAATAACATATAAATATTAATCACTGTCCATCCTGAATACATAACGGAAGGAGGAGGCTTTAGAGTTCACAAAGTTAATACTTTATGGAACAAAACTGTGACTCAATCTGGATGTTCTGCTTCGGATACCACGAAGCCTCCTCCCAGAAGGTAACATTAGAAGCTCTGCCATTTGAAAGAGCTGAGGAATCTGGCAAGAAAATATCTCTGAAAAAATGACCCAAGGGGTCACAGGCTGCCTATTAATTTGTTTAATAATGAGGATCTGTGTCCCTACAGCCAATTTTTCAGCAAATGTCTATATTTAGCAGCAGAACCTTTGCATATATTGCAGAACCTATACCTTTGCTTAATGGAGTATAGAAGTATGTTAACAGCTTATCTTTAAAAATAAAATGTCAATAACTTCTTGAAGAATTCAAAATTTTCAGCTGCCATGAATAAACAAGGCAAATGGAACCCAATTCCCAATTCTTAATCTTTTAATAGTAAAGACTTAATATGAAGAATACTGATGTATGGGAAGCAAAATGTATCATATACATCTGTTCATCTTATCGCAAATATTTGTAATCTCAACTGCTGTGAATAAAGACAGTGATTAAATTTATTTTTTTTTCATCTCCCATGCTTTTATTTCATTTCAGACAATAATTACTTCTTAAAGTGATTCATAAGCACTAAACCAGAAGGCAGACCAACCCTCAGGCTTACTATTTAAAAAGGCAAGGCATACAAGAGAAGAGAATGAAAAATGCAGATGGCAAACAGTTCCGCAAGCCCATTCTGACATCTGTAACCACTTCAGGCCAGACTGACCTCTTCTTTCTAGTTATTTTCTTTGAATAGCAATTCACAGTCCTAAATTCTCTTGGCTGATTCCACACTGTGTTGCCTTCCAACACTATCTCACTGGAAAGGATAAACAAAGCTCTTATCCTTTCTCCTATGGCCAATATAAAGGGAAAGCTAGGTTCTTCCTGGGATGGATGGGTAGGGACTCCCCTCATTAACCTTTGGTTCCCTGCTACTTAGGAAATTGTAATTTACACCAAAAGAACTCTTCAGGATTACAGTGGTGGAGCCTGGGTCATGAATCAGGTATTTGAGTTAGCAAGGCTTAAATTCTAATTGTTTTAAATGATCTGCAGCTTGCACTGCATGTTACTTATTAAGGTAGATAAAGTAACTCTATACCAGTGGTTCTCAACCTGTGGGTCGGGACCCCATTTGGGGTCGAGCGATCATTTCACGGGGGTCGCCATTCCCCCCCCTTTTCCTTAGCTGTGCTACTCCCTTTTATTCTATTGGCTTTTGAAAGCCAATAGAATAGACTCTCTCTTGAATAGAGTCTAATTCTATTGGCTTTCAAAAGCCAATAAGAATTGTCCAGGCTGTCTCTGCCCTGCTGAGCCCGCCAAAAGTCCCATTCTGCAAACGGTGCTGCACCAGTTGAGTAGTCCTCGACTTACGACTGGTTGGGGGTTGCGGCATTAAAAAGGTTGAGAACCACTGCTCTATACTAAATGTTTGACAATATCTTCCGGCTACTTTAACTCAACTAGCTGAAAAGTTTACAATAATTTTTAAATATATATATATATATATATTACAGATATATATGTATATATTACCTGCTTTGATGAACAAACAACATCTTGAAGTAGTTGGAAAAAGAGGCAAGGACGGATTTGTGCGCCTTAAAGTACACATCACCAATAGCAACTGTGCAGTCACACAGGAAACCAAACTCCCTCTGAGCATTAAGCTGCTGTAGAAGAATAAGTCCATGGTTGGCCAAATCCATCTTTTAAAATCTGTAAAGTAGAAAAAATTCTTGAAAATACATTTCTTTAAAGATTCTGTCATATGCTCAAAGAACATGACATTTGGAAGGGTACAATTCATAGGTACTAAAACCATTTATTTATTTGATTTTCATAGCCACCTAATTTTTACTTATTGTAACTAAGCAAGAAACATATAAGCAGTCCCCACTTAACCCAAACTGGGACTAGAATTTCCATCACAAGCACATGCTCATTAGATAAAACAAGGAGGGCCAATAGCTGCCTTGGCTGGGTAGGCCTCACCAGCAGTGGGAGGAAAAAGCAAAGATCAGCTGAAGATCTTTGGTGAAGAGACCAAAAGGGCAAAGACAGTGGGGGGAGTTAAAGTGCATACTGTGGTTGAAAATGTGAATGGGCTGCCAAGCACCCAAATTTCAATCAAATGACTACTGTCTAGAAGATTAAAATCAACAAAGGAAATAAAAGCAAGAATAGATAACATAATAAATAGCACAATAATGCTCATTATGTTTGCTAGCAATGTACCAATATATATTTCAGACAACTGAAAAAAATCAAATTTATTTAAAGCCATCACATTCATAATACTTCAGTTTGTAGACAGCTTGAAATACAATAAAAATTTGAGAGCAAATAGATGAGGATTTTGTGTTGAAATATACATGTATAGTTTTACAATATTAAAAAAAATGGAAATGCTGCATAGGATCAAGAGAATTAAACCAAACGTAATTCTAAAACTCTTGATCCCTCACAGCATTTTGAAATATTTGTAGGAGTCCTGAGTATATTCAGTACTAGCATTTGGTATTAGTACTGAATTCTCTCAATTAGTTTTTCAGCTGTTTTGATATTTCATTTTATATTTTACGTCTGTTTAATAAATGCTTTGCACAACAAATTCAACTATTCAGGAAAACTTGCAGCAAACGGGAAAATGGATTAGATAAAAAAAAATCACAGCATTCATTTGAGGTTAAATTAAAAATAAAACCAAACAAATCTTGTTTTCTAGATTATACGTAAATTCACAATTGTTCGATTTTATAGGCAGCTTCTAACATTAAATAAAGGCGAAATCTCTCTGGATACTTGTGAGAACATCACTGCTTCCCTGCCCAGAAAAAACAGCGTCCAGAAGAAGGGTGGGATCAACATTCGAAAGCCTCTTCCGCCCCAGGAAAAAAAAGCAGAACATCTTCCGAGAGGCTGTCCCTCCCTTTGGAGAGAGGAACTTCTCGCCAAGCGCCGGCAATAAAAAGCCTGGAGGTAACCACTCAGGAGGCAGCAAAGCCTCGCAGACGCCAACGGGGCGGGCAAAAACAGCAGCCTACAGCGGTGGAGGACCGCAAGCTTTCTTCACCCACCCCCCCCGCCCCCGCCGTGAATCACACTGTGACAGCCCGCCAGCGTTCCCTATTGGCTGCCTGCGGAGCAAAAGGGGCAGGCAACCGAGGCCAGCGCGCGCCACCGCCTCGGCCCCGCCTTCTCCCCTGCGCAGGCGACGCGAAGCCGCCGCGTGCGCGCACACGCAACGCACGGAGGCGGCGGGGCGTACGGACGGCGGCGCGAGACGACGTAAGCAGCGCGAGCGAGCGGGCTGGGGCGCCTAGGCGCGCGAGAGACGGGAACCGCCGCTGTCGCCAGGGCCGCCTAGGCTGCTGAGGAGACGCAGACGGAGCCGCCCACCCTCACCCCCTCCTTTCCTCTCTCTCTCTCTGCCTCCCTCCCTCCCTTTCCCGCTCCGCGCGGCTGCCTCGGCGCCTGCCCCTCCCCCTTCCTCCTAGGCCGGGCTGCTGCCGCCGCGGGTGAGAGAAAAAGGGGAAAGGCCGCTACCCAGCTCGGCGAGGGCGTTCAGGGCCGGGCCGGGCCGGGCCAAGCCAAGCCCGGATCAGACCAGGTTCTGCCAGGGCAGGAGTTTCTTTAGCAGCCTCAACCGGGCGACCTCTCCTTCCCCTCCCCGTGGCAGCCGCCTCCACCGGCGCCATTTCGGGGTCTCGGCTGAGAAAGCTCCCTCCGGGCCCGGGGAGTCCCCAGCCTTTTCTCCGGGTCTGAACCTGGCCTACCCGACCGCCAATACAATAGTGGGGGGGGGGAGGAGAGCAAAGGGCCTCTGCTGCCTCGCCGCCACGCGCCCCCTCCCCTCTTTCCCTCCCGGCCACCCGCCCCTCTCCCGCGCCTTCTCGGAGGATGGAGTGGGGGGGTCAGGCGGCGCTCACCTGGCTCGCGCTTTCGGCGGCGGCGGGGGGGGCGCGGACTCCGCCAGCCCAGGAGCAGCAGCAGCGCCAACAACGGAGTCAGCGCGGCGGCGGCGGCTTTTCCTGTCCGGTTACGTTAGGGTCACATGACCGAGAGCGGAGCAGAGAGGCTGTAGCGAGGAGCCCCCGCCGGGGAGAGACGGGGGGGAGGCGGCGACGAGCGCTGTGGCGGCAACAGCAGCAGGAGCCTCCCCTCCCCCGCTTTCCTCCTTCGCCGCCTGCTTGGCTGGCTGGCTTTGCCTGTTGGCGCGCGCCGCTTGCAGGGAGCGGGACGCAGGCCTCACCGGCTGGGCTGAACCATCGCGGGCGCCTGGCTTTGGCGGCGGCGGCGGGGCGACGGAAAGAGGGCCATTCTGCGCGCTTTGTTTTTGTAAAACTTCGCCCCGTTCTCCCTTTTTTAATGTCTTCCGTTGCTCTGATACAGGAGGGAGAGAAGTGGTGGCCAGAACTGAAGTAAGGTGCACTTGGTTAGGAAGGAGGGAGAGGGATAATTTTGCCATCTGCGGGTGGTCCTTACCTTGATTTGGCTTTTTATGACACTGCCATATGACAAGTTTTAAAAATGATAGGCATCCGGGTATTTCTAAAGTATACGTTTAAGTTTAATACTAAATCCCACTTCTCAGTGCAGAGGTCAGATAACATGGATTTGAACTTACTAAACTTATTTGAACTTTATCCTTTTCAGCAGTACATGACTTAATGGTAAGAAATGTGTTGATTTTTTAAGAAGCTCAATACATTTATCTCTTGCTTAGTGGAAAGAATATTCCATTAATAATAACAGGTTGTTTAGATTTCTAAGGGCAGAATTGCATGCTTTTAACTGTTGAACTTACTTATTTGATGGATAGCAGTAATCCTGTAGCTTGAAATAAAGTAATATTGTACGGTTTTATAGCAAGAAATATGAAATGCATAAAACTGCTGATGTTCAATTTCTTACAAAAAACCCTGAACCTTAAGCAAAGTGGAAGTGAGGATTAATGGTTATAAATGTGATGTATTAATGGAATGATCTGCACCAAAGTAAACAAGAAGTTTGCCTCTGAAGTTAAAAATAATTTATGCAGCAGCAATTTTTTATTAGGTTTGCTAAAGAGAGTCTCTCCTTTATTTTAGTAAGGCTCAACAATACCAATACGATTGTGATTCTGGAGTATAATTTGATGTCCTTTGCCAGAAAAAAAAGTGGGAAATTGGTTCTAAGCATTTCTAAATCACTGAACTTGCTTTGATTGTCAATTGCTTTCTGTTATTGCTTAAGCAGCTATTTCTGTTTTTTTACTAGGCTGTGATTACATTTCATTTTTTGTTCTATTTACTTTATAGATATGTAAAGAGGTCTTCTCTTTTGTATATAATTACACTGAGGAAAGATTTGCATGTGATTCTACATACATTGCTCAGAAATGAATCCTTTTGAGTTTAGTAAGTTACAGTGAGGTTAGCATGTATAAGAGTACAGAATTCATTTCTTAATAAACATTAACACAAACTTTGTTTGTTTGTTTGGTCTGAATTGGCTTTTCTGGTGGGAACCTGTAACTTTAAAGTTGGGAAAAGGTTCTTTTGCAAGAGTTGTATACTTTAATATCTAAGATTGTTATGTGTGTTCAGTTTTTGTTTCAGGTAGTTGTCTTTTATCAGTTATTAGCAAAGAACTAAAAAAAGGGGGAAGGAATGGATTATTGAAATTTAGTCGGATTTACAGATCTAATCAACATGATTTTCCCTGGATCAGTACTATTGATTTCATTACAAATGCAGAGGGTCTATGAAAGTTTAAATACTTTGCTCTGACTTATGCATTGAATTTTAATATTTTTGTAATTAAGATTCATATACCAGTAAAATAGTTACAAATTTGTGTCTAAACTTAATTTTTGGCTAGTTTTAACCTCTATTAACAGCTTTTTCCTAGCCCTTCATTTTCCATTTCCCTGTGGATCTTTCAGTTTAAAGCAATATAAATAAAACATTATCAGAGCAAAAGAATGGCACCAGAGGTAATTTCTCCAGGACAATAAAAAACTTACATTACAATAATTAGTCATAGATTGCTTCAAAGTGCATGAATCCAGTTTGGTAGTCTTGGTCTAGGAAGGATATGGTGCAGTTAATGAAATGTACAGCCTAGTTTGCTAATAAACTGGATTTTAGAATCACATTTTGGTGCTTTGAAGAGTGCAAGCCATCTAAACTGGGCTGAATACTTTGCAAAGAAATCCACAGAGTATTCCAAGGATTGAATTTCAATTTACTGGCTCCCACACAGTCCATCACGGAAGTTCAGTGATTGATAATTGGATTCCAAATAACATTTTCATATTAATATAAGAAGCAATCCAGTTTCTTAAAAAGGGCAACTGAAAGATTTTCAAATAAATTAGTAGTAGATTTTATATAATGAAATAAAAACCTTTGCATTGAAAAATAGTACAGTAGTCAGACATGGATAACATCATCATCACAGTAGTTTTTGTTTAGTAACTGCCTTGAGTAGTGACTGCAATTATGAAGTGATGAAAAAGTAACTTTGCAACCAATCTTTGCATTTATGACCTTTGCAGATTTGTAAAGCAAAGGAAAGCTGAAGTAGGATCATAAACACACTTGCAGTTTCACTTTACTTGAAGACTGAATTGCTGGTATCAGTTGTGGTCACTAAATGAAGGCTGCCTATATATCTCCAGGTGGTTCATTGATGTATCATTTGTATTGGCTTACTGAATTCCCTGGGTTCATATGGTCCTCTGAGCTATAAACTGGCCCAGTTTATAGTTTTAGTTTAGTGTGCTATTTAAGTCCAATGATCTGATGAAAACTCATAGCTTTGTTCCCTGCTTGTGAGCATTTAAGCATAAACTAATGTTTATGACTTTTGATCTACTATAGTAAATCTACTGCTAGCAGAGGACTGCATTTTAATTAGGATTAGCATTTTTATGTAGCATTGAAGTTTAAGTTTGCATTAAAATTTAAATCGGCATTAACATTTAAATCTGAACAGTGAATTATATACTGCTCTTTTGTACTGAACCATAAAAAACCTTCCCGGATAACAGATTTTCAATTTTTTACCTGTCTGGGTATTATAATGTAATTTACAAATGTAAAAATAAATCAGTATCTGAATTGCCTATTGTGTGATTTATTGTATCTGTTTTATCCAGGTTTTGTGGGGAGCCCTTGTATTGTACAAAACGTATACTATCTTTTGTAAACCAGGGATTGGCAGAACAGATTAGTATTTGTTGATAGATTGATGATTCCTAACTCCTAATTGTTAAATAAAAACAAATCCTATCTGCAAGTTAGGCTACTGAAGAAAAGGAAGTGGGAGGGAATATTTCTAGGCTGAAATGTATTAGGAGTGTCCTGTTCCTTAGTTCAAAGCTTGTCTATCTCAGTAATTGTTTACTCAGATGCTTGTTGGATTCCCTCCAGTTAGCTGAGCAGTAAATAGTATAGTAAGTCATTTTTTGCAGTGAAAGCTGCTTTCTAATAATGAGGTACAATATTCCATTTGCAAAAACTGATCTTATTAATTTAAATAACAATGCTTTTGCTGGATTTAGACCTGAGAAATTGTAAAAGCATTCAAATTTAATCTCATTTTTGCCTCTAATTATAATAGTATTTGTTTTTATACTATTTGGGCATAAATGTGCTGTCCCCATGTACTTTTTGCACATTTCCAAAAGTGTTAATTTCAAATAACCAGATTTACATACACATTTGTTAACAATATATGTATCTAACACATTCTTTAGTGCTTTTAATCTGAATAATAGAACATACAATTTGAAGGGAGTGTGAAGATCTCCTTATCCAATCCCCTGCCTGGAGCATGGATCCATTACTACAACATCCTAACAGATGGCAACCCAGCTGCTGTTTAAGTATTTTTTCCTGAAGATTGACCTCCTCCCCAGATAGTCTTTTCCATTGTTTATTTTTATCAGGATTTTTTTCCCTTGCTGTCCAAAATTTACCACCTTGTAATTTAACCTCATTGCTTCTTGCTTATCTTCTGGAACAACTTTGAAGAATAATGCCGAGTTCTGCATTATCACCCATTATATATTTGATAACTGCTATTGTGTCTTTCAACAATCATAGGCAGATCATACTCGCACTTCCATTTTTTTCTGATAAGTTTTTCTTTCCAGGTCCATTATAATTGTGATTATTTCTTTCTGGGCATTCTTCAGTTTGTCAGTATCCTTCCTAAAATGTGCAAAGAACTGGATGCCATACATCAGGTACAGTCTGGTCCATGTTGCTGCTGCCTCTGATTCATTTGAGTTTTTGCCCATGTATCACATGGTTTCATATTTGGATTGTAATGCTTCAAGCACTTAAGATTCCACAACAGCAGTGTATGTACTACTGTTCAGCATGGTCCCCCCCCCCATTCCATAGCTTTACATTTGTGATTTCCTGTAACAGGGTGTCAAACTCAATTTCATTGAGGGCTTCATCAGCACTGCGGTTGCCCTTGGCAGGGGCAGCCTACTGGGTGGGCATGGCCAGCTGTACATCGTTTGTGTCAAAGATGCCTGTGGGGGCCTGGGCAGGAGTGGGACAGATCTGAGGGTCTCTGGCAGAAGGGGGTGGGACTGGGGCAAGCGCCAAGGCATGGTCCATTTCTTCATTCCTCACAAAGGGTGACACCTCCCCAGCATGCACCCAGTGGGCAGGGCCAACACGGCAGGGGCTGGTTCCTCACTGTTTCTAGACAGTCTTGTGGAGCTAAGACTAAATGTTTCAGCATAGATGGCCACCACAAAATTGTACATTGGCTTCCGGCCGGCCAGGGCTAAGGCAGCGGGGGCCGTTCCCTCACTGTTTCCAGGATGGCTTCGTGGGCCACATGAAACCACTTCGCAGGCTGCATCTGGCCCCCGGGCCTTGTGTTTGACATGTCTGCCCTATAATCTAGATATAAGATTATGCATTTGCTGTTGAAATTCATCTTGGCTGTTTTTTTCCATTGTTCCAGCTTGACAAAATCCTTTTGAATGGTGTTCACCAACCCCCAACTTTGACATCCTCAAATTTGATAATAATTTTTTAATGCCTCACTCAGGTAATTGATGAACATGTTGAACAGCACAGAGTTGAATAGGACCCCATGATATGTGTTTTAACATGTTCAGTTTGCTGTTGTGCTATTGATGTACATTTATTGAATAGAGATAGTCCTTGATTTATAATAGTTCATTTAGTGGCCATTCAAAGTTATAATGCACTGAAAAAAGTGAGTTATGACTGTTTTCCTCACTTAACTGTTGCAGCATCCCAATGGTCACATGATAAAAATTCAGATTTTGGCAATGACTCATATTTAGGATGGTTGCAGTATCCTGGGGTCATGTGATCACCTTTTGTGAGCTTCTGACAAGTCAATGGGGAAGCCAGATTCACTTAATTATGTTACTAAGTTAACAACTGCTGTGATTCAGTTAACAATTGTGGCAAGAAAGGTCATAAAATGGGGCAAACTCAATGTCTCACTTAGCAACAGAAATTTTAGGCTCAATTGTGGCAAATCAAGGACTAACTGAACAGTTCTGAACCAGTTCTGTATCCATGTAATATAGCATAGCCATCTTTTTTAGATTCTCAAGAGGAATATTATTGAATGCTTTTCTGAATTAAACCTATTTCCAGTGCATTCTTGAGGTCATACTAGAAGCACAGCTGTTATGGAATCAGTCAAGTTTGTGAAATGGGGCAGGTGAGATCCTGAATAGGTGTGTCTCACTACAAAACAGAACCTCTAAGCTAGGAAAATGAAAAGAAAGAGTTAAACTTAGTTCTAGTTGGGAAATGGAAGTAACTCTTCACTCCATTTTACATTTAAGAGGGTGTGTCAGTGATTTTCTCAAATACATTCCATACAAACTAGCAACCTTAATATTAATTTTCACAAACAAGATATACTAACTGTTCTGCCAGAGATAAAATAATCAGCCAGAGTCTATGAGGCTTTGCTAATGTTCTGATCCAGCATTATGTGATACTTCTGAATAAGATTACAATAATGCATTATTTCCAAATTGAAATATGTTCTAATCTAAAACAAACTCATGTTTATGAACACTGCATTTTTCAGACTTGATTATTTAACTCAGTGGTTCTCAACCTTTTTAATGCCGTGACCCCCAACCGGTCGTAAGTCGAGGACCACCCAACCGGTTGTAAATCAAGGACTATCCAACCGGTCATAAGTCGAGGACTTTCCCTGCCTGGGAGTGCCGTGCATGCGTGGTGCCGCCCCCTGAGCCGGCCGAGGCATAGCTGGCAAGCGGCAGAGACGGTGCAGGCTGACCACCGGCTGGGCCACCAGCTGGCCCAGCCCAAGGGAGTTAAGGCACCCGCCGTGCCCCGTGCCCACCGGCCTCCCACCTCCCACCCCTGGCCCTCTTTTACTTACATTTTTAGTAGTTGCTCAGCAGGGAGGGGTGGAAACTTCCAGACAGCTCACCTTCGCTGCAGACAACTTGCAGAATGGGACTTTTGGCAGGCTCAGCAGGGCAGAGACAGCCTGGACAATTCCTATTGGCTTTTGAAAGCCAATAGAATTAGACTCTATTCAAGAGAGTCTATTCTATTGGTTTTCAAAAGCCAATAGAATAAAAGGGAGTAGTACAGCTAAGGAAAAGGGAAAAATGGTGGACAGCGTTGTTTGGCGACCCCCGTGAAATGGTTGTTCGATCCCAAATGGGGTCCCGACCCACAGGTTGAGAACCGCTGATTTAACTCAATGGAAGAATGATAGCTAAACAAATAGAGGCTTCTCTCTCTCTCCTTTATGCAATATTTGACGTTCATTTTTCTTGTTACCGTTGCAAAATTTGAATGCCACAAATTCTGTTAATGAAATTGTATAATAAATACAGGAAACCCTCAACTTGTGGCTGTAATTGAGCCCAAAGTTTCTATTGTTTAGTGAGGCATTTGTTAAGTGAATTTTGTCCCATTTTATGAGCTTTCTTGCCATAGTTATTTAGTGAATCACTGCAGTTGTTAAGTTAGTAACATGCCTTTTAAGTGAATCTGGCTTCTCCATTGACTTTGCTTAAGGTCACAAAAATGGATCGCATGACCCTGGAACTCTGCATAAATATAACTGTTGCCCAGCATCTGAATTTTGATCATATGTCCATAGAGATGTTGCAATGGTTGTAAGTGAAAAATAGTTATAAGTAACCTTTTTCAGTGCTGTTGTAACTTTTAATGGTCACTAAACGAACTGTTATATGTTGAGGACTACCTGTATAATAAAGCAATGGGAAAGGTTTGACACAATACAATTTTGATAGAAATGATGTCTTGAATATCTGCTTCTCAAATTTATATAATATTTTTATTTCATTTCAACTGTTTAGCCATTTAAAGTGGGGCTTAAAGGCTTGTGAACCCTTCTAAATTTAATATTTCTGCATAAACGTGACCTCAATTAAACAAATGAATCAAAAACAGGCTTATTCATTTGAAGGAAATGATTAAAAAATATTTGTGGAAAAAAAAGTGAACATTTCAGTAATTGGTGTTGCTGACTATTCGGTGCGATAGCATTTCTGATAACTATTGATGAACACTTCATGTTGGCTTGGAGGAATTTTAACTACTCTTCCTTACCAAACAGCTTCAACTCCAGGATATTGGTGGGCTTCCCTGCTTGATGAACTGGTCTTTAGTTCCATGGATGTTACTGTGGGATTTTTAGAAACCTCTCAAGAGTATTATAGGCTTTGCTGTTGGTGTGATCTTGGTTGGTCAACCTCTCTTGCAAGGATAAAAGGATGTTGAATTGCCTTCATTTGTACACAATCTACCTAACAGTAGACTGGTGGAATCAAAATTCTTTGAAAATAGTTATATAATTTTTTCCAACCTGGTGAGTATTAACAAGTTTTTCAGACGTCCTCAGAAATCTCTTTTGTTTAAATCCTGACACACTTTCATCTACTATGCTGTGAAGACAGACATTGATAAGAATACTCAGAATTCTGTTAGGCAGGACCTTATCACTGAAATATCTGATTAATTTCCCCTTCAAATGAACTAATAATCCTAGAGGTTTGTATATTTTTGTCACACACATGTAGCTTTGGATCATGCTCCTTAATAAATGATCAAGTATATTGACTAATTTGTTTAATTGGATTCTCTAGTTTTAGAACGTGTGAATAGTATCACATTTTAAGTCATATTTATGTAGAAATATTAAAAATTCAGAAATGTTTAAGCCCCACTGTCTCAAGAATCGCAAGTATGCTATTACTGTGTATAATGTGTGCTGTCGTTACTGAGGACATGATAGAGAAGTGATGCAAAGTTGAAAAAATAAATGATAAAATGTACCTTCCTCACAAATGCTTTGAGCTTGTTATTTTATAAACTTGTGCAGTATAAAATACAGAAAATTATGAACAGAGCTTTCTATCAGGTATATTTTCTGTTTCCCATGATAAAATTTCAGCAGTAGGTTCGATTACAAAAGTTCTTCCCATTTTCTTTAACCAAAGAGCAAATTTCTTTTAAATTCTTATAAAAATCTGACAACTGTAACATTCATGATAAATTTTGGAAAGCTAGTTGAGAACCAGATCCTGGGTACAAATGTAAAGCTTTCACGAGTTTTCTGATATAGCTAGTCAAAATATTTTGACTACCTATATCAGAACTTAATCTTGCTTCTTTGAAGAAATGTATTAATTTCTTTGAAGCAAAATTAAGGTCTCTCAAATCCAAACTATTTTGACTAGATACTAGTCATTTTACTAGATATTAGATTGTTTAATTTATTTTATTTCACAGCTTTTCAGTTGGTGTTCATAGGTGTATAATGGTTACTGAGGAAAATTTGCCTAAAGCAATATAGTCAAAGACATTAAACATGTCTTGCTTCATGAAGAATCCAGTCTGAATTTATAAAATCTCTGTGATTAAACAGTTCGAAAGAGTTTTTAGCTGAAGAGAATTTTTGATTTTAACTCTTCCTTTATAAATGAACTATATTAGGATTTTCTATGCATTGGCTCCCCATATACATAATGACATATTATATACATATTTTCCTTAATTCTATTGAATATATTGTGAGAAAATGTACAGCTTATATACAGAAAACTGCTGAATGTAGTACATACTGTATATCCTTTTCCTGTAATGTAACAGATAATCTGCATCCATTAAGATAGAAAACCAGCCTCACAATGTTTTTACACTATGAATTCCAAGGAACATAGTAACTGATGAAATATGAAATTAAATGCACTGACTCCCATCATTTTGTAGCAAATGTCCATAAATTTATCATGACATTTGCTCACTTTCCAAAATGAATAAAGCTGAAGTCCAATAAACCTGTTGCTCGGACAGCGACTAGTTTCATAAAATGTCTGTTGCAATGTACTCCTGGTATCAGAAAAACATTCTTCCAAGTTCAAACATGACCTGCAATACAAAACAGAATTTTGCTAGCTTTTATGCTTATTTGGCTGACTTCTATTTTTAGCATTCACACAAAGTGCTCTATGCGAAGGCAAAAGCACAAAAGATTTTTTTTTGGGGGGGGGACTGAAGGAAACCCCAAAATAGCAGAATGAATACTGAATTCTACACAGTGGTCACAGAATGGGAACAAATGGGGAGGGGTGTATGGAAAAGAGAAGTATTATAAGATGAATGGGGACCTGTATAAAGAGTACACTTGCTACACTTTTGCAAGATTATTGAATTTCAATTTATTCCCTATATTATTGTTTTGAAATCCAGCCCTTCAAACTTTCTAACTATCTGGCACCTGTTAACTATGGCTGTATTAGGACAGAGGGCCATTTGATTTATAATAGTAACCAGGGAATTTATTATTTATTAAATATATGCCACCCATCTCATGGTTTGAGGCGACTCTGGGCGGCTTACAATGTAATAAAACAGATATAAAAACATTAAAAATGATAAAAGATTTAAGAACTAAATAATGGCAGATTTCAAGCAGAGCAACAGTGGTGCCTTCTCTGTTACTGCATCAACCACTTCCAGCCTATGCTTTTCCTTCGGGGGGGCCCATGCAAACCAACCCTCTGCCATTAGAGAGGGGGCAGATCTCATCTCTGGTGGCAAGATGTTCCAAAGGATGGGGTATGTGTAGCAATAAAGGTCATCCCCTGAATCCCACCAGCTGAAATTCCTTGATTAATGGAATCCTCAGTAGGCTCCTTTTGCTAGAATGAGTGGAGTAGGCTGATCCCATTGGGGGAAGATCGTTTCTCAGATATCCAGGACTCATGCCATGGATAGTTTTAAAGGCTTTAAATAACCAATTCCTTGAATTGGACCCGAAAGAAAATCAGCATCCAGTAGAACTTGTGTTAACAGTGATGTTACATGTGCCATCCCAGGAGCTTCTAAAACTGCACTGCCACATTCTGGACCAATTGTAGCTCTTCAAGTACTCTTCAAAGATAGCCCCATATAGAGTGCATTGCAATAATCCAAATGAGAGATGGCCAGGACATAAGTGATTGAGTGCATGGCCTCACGATTCAGAAAAGGGCGCAATTGGTGTACACCACAAAGTTATGCAAAGGCTCTCCTAGCCACAACTGTCACCTGCTCTTTGAGCTAGAGTCTCAAGTTTAGGAGAACTTCTGTGTTGCACATCAGATCTGTCTGGCAGTTCCACCTTCTCCAGAACTAAAGATGATAAATCTACAAATTTATTCTTCAGTAGCCACCTTTGCTTTGGTGTCATTTGTTGCTAGGAAGGCCTGGATAGGCGAGATTTACCCTTTTCTATTGCTCCCTTCTATCTCTATCCACCGTCTGCCTGCATATGAAATAGTTTTTGGGGGATGGGTAGTTATTCTTGCCTATGTTCAGAAATTGTATTTGTTGAAGGCTTTAGCAATTAGTCTACTAGCTGAGTTTAGCACTAGGATAGGGATTTACAACTTTTTTCCCCCCCAGAGAGCAGCATTTAGCCTTTCAGTTGGGGAGCCAGAAACAAAAGATAAATGTTATTTAATTAAACATAATTACTATGATTACTCCACATGTATTCAATACATTCACATCCTTTCCCTTTGCAATGTAAATTTGGAGAAACTCATGGCCATTCCTTTGACTTTGGGGTACTGCAGCATGAGTAAATTTCTCTCTGGTGTGGATACCACACTATCCAGGAAAGGTTCCGAGAGCTTGGAGTGGTCTCAGTGAAAGAATGACATGCGATAATATAGTACTTAAAATCTAGTCACCAATTCAATAGAGTGGATATTCAGCTATAAGGTTCTTGCCTTGCTCCTAACAAATGGTCTCCACTATGTTGAGACAAAGACTATACCTTTAGTTAGTAAGAATTTCAAGACTGGAGGATGGAATTTCCAGCCCTTGCTGAACAAGTAATATCAAATAAAGAACACATTACTCTAATGACAATGGAGGAGGAAGTTGCCATTGTATTTTTAATGTACTATCTTGCATCATACATTTTATAAATAGTACTGTTGGCAACTCAGAAAGAAACTGTCAGTAGAATATTCAATATATGTATACAGCATGTAAAACATTAAATTACCATTAAACCTTTGTTCAGCCTACATACTTTGCACAACTCATGGAATATTCAGTATGCACTGTAATAAACTTACCAGTTGCTCATTTTGATTTATATGGTTATAAAATAAGGCTGTGGGTATATAGTAAAGTAAAATAGAATAGTAAAATTGACTCACTATTATTGTACTAACCTAATTTGTCTCTTTTTAAATAGGTTCATGGAAACTATTTTCAAATCATTTGGAAACTTGTACCTTATGTAAGGCAGGGCTTTTCAACCTTTTCACCCATTGTACCACTTTTAGGATATGGCAACATTCAAGTACCACCAGTCGCCTAGCAAGGTGTCAAAAACTTGATGACCCAAAAAAAGAAGGAAAAAAGTGATAAAGTACAGGTAGTCCTCGATTTACAACAGTTCACTTAGTGACTGTTCGAAGTTACAATGGCACTGAAAAAAGTGCCCCCCAAGCCACAGCCGAGCAAGACACCTGCCTGCCTGCCTGCCCGGCGGCATTCTTCCTCCTGTCCAAGGTTTTTATTGTTGTGAGCATTTCTGTTGAGGATTGGCAGCAGGGGTGGTTTGGGGGGTGTTTGATTTTTATTTCCCCTGTCTGCTGGATGGTTGTAGCAGGTTTTGGTCACTTCACATGACTCTGGGACACGGTGACCGTCATAAATATGAATTGGTTGCCAAGCATTTGAATGTAAATCACAAGACCCTGGAGATGCTGCAACATTCCAGCTGATTGGCGCTTCTTCTGGGCTCAGCGGAAGCACCAGGATCAGCGCATGGTGATCCTGGAGCCTGGCACTGATACTGGTGCTTCCACTGAGCCCTGACAGCCACGAAGAAGTGCCAATCAGCTGGAAAGCGGCACTGATCCTGGTGCTTCTGCTGAGCCCCGACAGCCCTGCAGCTCCAGCCGTCTCTCGCTAAGGCTTGTGCGTTGCTGCCACCGGTTCAGCTCATTCCCCTCCCCTGCTACCACTTTTCTAGGATGGTCACGTACCACCTGCCAGGTGCCAATGTACCACAGGTGGTACCGTACCACTAGTTGAAAAGCCCTGATGTAAGGAAACAATTTTTAAATACTCTTCAGTGAACTTGTCAACATTCTGGGCATGTTCTAGGAAACAATTTTAGTAAACCAACCTCTATAGTGATGAGTATTACTATCATCCATTCCAAGCGCAGAGCATGTTTTTCATTCAAATGATTTCTCATCAGATCTGTCAGTTCTGTGCACTGCTGGAGCTTTTCATTTACTACCTTCAGTAGTAAGGATAGAAAAGTTGATGTTTCAGAAAACCTTGAATAAACAATTTCTTAATACGTTACTTCCAGAGGTGAATTTTTGGAAATCATAAATATGGAGAATTACTTTACAATATTTCTATAAACTGAATATACTAGAGTAACTAAGACTGAGCACTCAGAGCAGTTCTTAGTCTTGGGAGATGTGATTTTTCAGCATTCACACAATAGATTGCAATGTGTAGATCGCTCACATAATCCCAGGCTTTAATTTCCTTTCTCCACTTGCATGCATTTATAATCTTTAAATGGAAATAGATTTTTTTATTGAGCATTTCTTGTGATGAACCTAACACAATATTTAGAGGTCAGCCCTCATCACAATTGCCCTCTGAAGCATTTAGTTAAATTGTGTAAGATATCTATCATAGCCTAATATACTTCACCAAATAATAATGAAGGGGTAAGTGTGGTTTAGCAAAACTCAGCTAACAATGCAATAGGGTTAAATATGCCCAAACCTTTAATAAAATTTACAGCAGAGAATTTCAACACAAAGTTAGAAGCAAATCCTGAAATAAAGCTGAATGTAAAACAGTTCAGTTTGGCAGTGTGAATACATATCTATTTTTATATATTCACACAGATTACTTAATTGCAGCATTTTACTCCTGAAAAGCCACAGCTGAAGGTTATAGAATATAGGGGAGCAGGAAAAGCTTCCTGTGCTCTTTTACTTGCTGCCTGAAAAAAAATACTTAAATTAAAAAAAATTTTTTTTAGATACATAGGGCACAAATGTATCAGAGTTCACTATGAAATTGTAGTTAAAATGCTGCAGAATCTAATCCATAAAGTAACTTTTATGTATGTATCAAAGTTACCTTATTATTAGATTACTACTAGTACTTACTCCATGCAGGCATTATGTAGCTTGTAGCCCAAGCTACATAATGGATCTATAAATAATGTGAATTCTATAAAAAGTCTATTTTTTTAAAAAAAATCCATAGTTTCTCAAATGAAATTGTCAATTTCATTTCTTATTGGACTGCAAAGATTTTGTGAACTTTAAAAAAAAAAGGCAGACTTTTTTATCCATGTGCATTAATTTAAAGACAGTAGTGAGGTTGTTTTATTCCTGAATCCTGTTGTTCATACACAGGCACAACAGTGCCTGGAAGTTCTTTCAAGTGTTTCATTAGTCAGAACCATGACATCATGGCAGCAATCACGTCTTAGAAAGCAAATTTATAAATCTTCTTAGTTAATTTCATTTCAAACAACTGGGTTATTTCAAGGGCAGCCAAAAACAACCTGTTCAATCTGTTACTGAATTAAAATATATTTGCATACTAATAACTATATACTAATAACTATGTAACTATAGTCCAGAGTTCACTAAGAATGTGTGGAGTCTAGAGAAAGTTTCATGAATATTGTTACAGATTGCTATCCTAGTCAGCTGGTTCAGCCTAAATGATGCTGCTCTGTAAAGCCAAACTGATCCCTGCAACACTATCATACATCAAAACCATTTCAGAAACAATCAACAGACAATTACAACCATGTGGTATCACTGTAGTACACTAATCAACTGAAGCCCTCCAAACCATGTTATGTAAACCGAATGACTTAGTAGCCCAAGAAGAAAGAACAAGAGTCATCTATAACACGAAGTGTAAGGACTATAACAGCTAGTATGTAGGACAGACAGGCAGAAGATAGCAGAGTGCATCCATGAACACCATTTAGCAACTGGAAGGTACAATGAAAACTCATAGCATGTAGAAAGACTGAACTATAATTTCAATTGGAAAACTGTTGTCCTAGACCAGCGGTTCTCAATCTGTGGGTCGCGACCCCATTTGGGGTCGAACGACCATTTCATGGGGGTCGCCAAATAACGCAGTCCGCCATTTTTTCCCCCTTTTCCTTAGCTGTGCTACTCCCTTTTATTCTATTGGATTTTAAAAGCCAATAGAATAGACTCTCTTGAATAGAGTCTAATTCTATTGGCTTTCAAAAGCCAATAGGAATTGTCCAGGCTGTCTCTGCCCTGCTGAGCCCGCCAAAAGTCCCATTCTGCAAACGGTGCTGCAAGTTGTCTGCAGCGAAGGCGAGCTGTCCGGAAACTTCCACCCCTCCCTGCTGAGCAACTAGTAAAAATGTAAGTAAAAGAGGGCCAGGGGTGGGAGGCCGGCGGGCACAGGGAGGGTTGCTGGCACGTGTGGGGCCCGGCGGGTGCCTTACCTCCTTTGGGCTGGGCCAGCTGGTGGCCCAGCCGGTGGTCGCCCTGCGCCATCGCTGCCCCTTGCCAGCTACACCTCAGCCGGCGCAGGGGGCGGCACCACGCATGCGCGGCGCTCCCGGGCAGGGAAAGACTTCGACTTACAACCGGTTGGGTAGTCTTCAACTTATGACCGGTTGGGTAGTCCTCAACTTACGACCGGTTGGGTAGTCCTCGACTTACGACCGGTTGGGTAGTCCTCGACTTACGACCGGTTGGGGTCGCGGCATTAAAAAGGTTGAGAACCACTGTCCTAGACGAAGCTAAATCCAAAAACTATGGAATTCCTGGAAGCTTAGCTTTCAGACAAGTCATCCATTAATAGACAAATAGAGATAGACCACATTTACACACCATTCAAAAGATACAATAAAAAAGCTAAGAAAAACAAAAAGACCAGATAATCAGGGATTAACACCAGACAAACAAGCAAAAAGCAATACTTTAGTCAAGGAACTACAAAAAAAAAAAAAAAAGTTACACTTTCACCAACAGAGGGAAAGCAAGCTACTGTATATAAAGAGAGAGCAAGTCCCACACTCACAGCACTGTTGATGTTACTTTGTCAATAATGAAACATCTGCAAGCAAACAACCAAGCTTAGAGAACACCAATGACTCTACAGTTAGACCCTGACCTACTTATGTTCTTTTCTATTGAAAAGTAACAGATTTGTGGAAAGTACTACTTTATGTTCACAAGTTCTTGACTGCATTTCTAAACCTTTCCTTGACTAGGATTTCTAAACATTTCTTGTTGCCATCTAACGATCACCAAGATATATTTTTCTAATATCCCCATAGTAATATATTGTACATATTTTAAGAAAAATCATCTAAGTAATTTTTAGAGTCAACCATTAATTATAAACTACTCTAAAAAAAAAAAAACAGCAGAAAACCTGAAAAAGCAAGTTTCTGTGTAATATTCCACTTGCTAAATTGTTGGTGACAATTGTTCCTCCACCCATTAGAATTACATGAATTTAAGAAAAAGCGTAAACTTATCATAAATCTCCCCAAAAGTTATAGAATGTATTGATTATGTTTGCATAAAACAATAAAGCTACAATCTGACTTATTCATAATAACCTGTTGAAACCCACTACTTGATTATGCCTAAACCATTCCTCCTGGTAGTGGGAACAGCTATACTAAATCACAAGAAAGAAGCGTCTCAGAGGTAGCATTCTAACTTGTCCTGAACAAACCAGGAATACTGTTCATACACGTTGCTAAACATTTTATAATTGGCCTACCATTTTATGCAAATAGAAAATAATATTTGTAGATTGTTCCTAAAATAAATAGTGCAGCTGGCAAAATAACAATATTTGTCCAAAAACAATGAGGATGAAAACAGAGAAATTAGATTTGTTAAGAGAAGCGACTGATAAAAAAAAAAATCTCCAAGCTGAGAGAGAAACAGTAAAATAATACCTTAACTCTGCGATCAATACTGAGAAACCGATACATTTTATCATACAGTTGTTCAAGATGTTCTCTGTCCCAGTAGAAATCTGGGGCAATCAACAGATCAGAACTCAGATTTATACGATGCCTGAGGAAGAGAAGATAGATAAATTCTTATTTAAAAGCCAGTTAATGAATTGTATTTTGCATACTGCATTGTTATAATTTGAGACAAACAAATACTCTTTGGACAAACACTCTTCATGTAGCAAAAAAACTTTTACATTCCCACAGCTACAGATTTTATGGTTAGTTTTCCATCTCCAAATAAGCCTTCTATTCTTTTAGAACTTGATTTAAGCTTTAGAGACATGTTATTATCTTTTATTTAGGGTGATATATAATATGTATTACGTGAAACTTAGGTTATCAAGGAGTTGAAGAAAATACAGAATTTATCAAGTTTACAATTTAATGGCATAAGCATTATCGTTTCCAGTTTTTAATACATTTATATCACATCTCAACAAAACCCTTGCATGGTGATTTTGCATCATTCCATGGTGCATTTTCTTCTAATTATTCAAACAATCTGACATTTTAATGGCATGTGACTTAGGCTTAGCTGTAATGAGCCTTTCTATTGTATTTAAGACTGTTTCCTATTTAAGTTTTTGTTCCTTACAAGGGTTTACATGGTCCCTCATAGTGAATTGGTTTTTTAAAGAGTAAACATTACTTTTCACTCTAAACATAAAACATTTTAAAAGACTATGCTAGATTTATAAGTAGAAATATAAGTATCACTACAGAAAAAAAACTACTGGTATTAAATATATATATATCTAAAATTTGGATTGCTAGCAAAGAATTAAGGGAGAACTGGAATAGCTATTTTGAACTCTTTAGCTCTTTTCAACCAGACATACCCTTCTGAGATTCGAACCTGGGCTGTCTGCATGTTAGACAGCTGTATTAACCTCTAGGCCACAGGCTCTGTCTCACTTTTGCCAGCTGTGTTGGGGAGTGAAGAAACAGGGGAGGAGTTATCTAGAATGCTGTATGTTACACCCTGTTGCCCAAATATGGGAGAGAGAAATCTTTTGCCTTGTATCAGCTCAAACTAGAGCCAGAGACAGAGCCTGTGGCCTAGAGATTAATACAGCTGCCTACCATGCAGACATTGCTCCTCGAAGCACGAAGCTGAAAACACCAGCCTGAAGATGATGAATGGGACTTCGTCGAAACGTCGCCAAGACACTTCCAATTTTACGCGGGAGAAAACCCGAACAACCAAAGACCTACATACAAACACCCGCAAAAACCTCAGAAAACATAGATAGATAGATAGATAGATAGATAGATAGATAGATAGATAGATAGATAGATAGATAGATACTGTCATGGTATTTTTTTTTTGTTAAAGATTGCTTTTAAAACTGATTCTAAAATGCAATCTATTTGCTTGTCTTTAATTCAGATACCTCAAGGCAAACAGTTCCCCAATTTTCTGCATAACATCAGCATGAGAGAGTTTCAGTTTCTTTCTTAATTTAAGCATCTATAAGAAGAAAGTAATAAACCAGTAAGAACATTGATATTTTTTAGATGTACAATATTACCCACCCCGATGCCAACTGCACTCTTTACTTGAACTGGCAGAAGCAATCCTGATGACAATAAAGATCTACCCTGATTTTCATATTAGTTTTGGGAGGTGGGGATAGGCAGTCTTGCCATAGATGGTTTGTGATAACCCTATTGTCATGGCCCGAGAACTTCCTGATAAAGTTTAGGTTCTAGGTTAAGATCTATCCTACAGGACAGAGAGATCAATTAAAATGCTCCATTCACAAAGACTTATGTTATCTGATGAATATCTCAGCATTCTACAAGCATTTCCAGGAGACGAGGATGAATCCTCAAGTAGCTATGCAGCAAGCTTTTCCATATCACAAAATCTATAGTACCATGTTATCTATCTTGAAGGAATGTAAATCAGGCCTTGGGAATGGGGACAAAGTGAGTCAACCGCTGAGGGGAGACTTTTCCAAATAAACTTGCTTTGATTTTGCTTCATGTAAAATGGGGCAGAGAGAAACTTTGACAGGTTTTCAAGATTCAGTCATTCTATCTACAGTGATCACTGCTGTGCCTGTTTCTTGATCCTGCTTGATCTAAAGGGTTGATACTATCCTAATAAATGCACTCAGAATCCTACTGTGATAGGTTTGAATGGCACCTTAAGAACAGAATACTTCACACTAATATAAAAACATTGTTCCAGGTCCAAATTCCTTGTCTTCTCCAGTTTAATAGAATCCTTTTCAGACTGAAAATGTAGACCACAAGGAAGTGATGGTTCATCCTATTGTTCTCTTGACCCTTGACCATCATGGCTAATTAGCCAACCAATCAAGGGAGAATTGTCCAGGTGGATAAATATTGAATGTATTTTATCCTAAATGGAAGATCTCTGGTGCTCTTAGACTATTTAACACTGTTTTCCCCCAAAAGAAATCTTGCAGAGCACACAACATTATTAGAAGTGCCTTTGAAAAAAGAAAATTTTCCACAACACATTGATCAAGCTGGAGGTGTGAGTCTGGGAGCACCTCCAGATTGTGCACAGGTTCTGTCTGAGGCAAACCAGCCCATCCAGAAACAAAGGTGACAAATCCCCAGGATTTATTTAAAGTAATTAGTTATTCTCTAATCATGTTTTTATAAGACTCAACCATTCAAGTCCTTATGTTTTGCTGTTCAATATTACCTGGGGAACACAATATTTTGCCACCTTCAATACACAACTGCTACAATGATGCTTTTTTCTTTTACTTTGAACATATCTAAATAACTTTCTTCTATTCTTAGTATAATAGACCAACCATTCTGGATTTTAGCTTTCCTGATACCTTTTCTAAAGTTCTAAGCTGTCTATATTTTTTTATTGGTGGCCTATTCCTCTTTCTTTTCCTATATTTAACTTTGTTATAGATTCCCATTCCCTAACAAAAGGATCAACTTTAGCATATTAAATCATTTTCAAAGTGATAGATTTTAAAATTTCATAGTAAGAAACATTTCTAAGTTTCATTAACTGTGAGAAGTTAACTTTTTCTATTTCAAAATTGCATTCTTGGCATCCTATATATTGAAGCTTATTGACATGAGGATTCATAATTAAACATGATGTCAATCTACATTCAAGCAAATAGTTGCCCACAACAAACATAATAGGTATAATTAAAACAACAGGATCCCCCTTAGACACATGAGTTTAATTAAGCATTTTGTAAAGTCATTGAAGTTAACTTGAAAGTGTTTCATATCTAACTGTTCAAATTTAATAGAGTTTCACTGAAATTTTGATGGCAAACAAATCCCAATTCATTTCTTATGCCCAAGAATAAATGGTAAATACAACAATCCAAATTCATTCACCTATGGTGTCAAAAATCTGCAAATTTCCCAGACTTAATTTTATGGAAAAATGAAAAAAATAGCACATACCTCAGGTATTGATTGGATAGATTCTACAAAATTATCCAGTGATGCTTCCCAAATGGCCAGTTTTACTACAATAGAGAAAAGCATAAAAGACTTATTATTCTTATGTGGTACACTTTCAAGTTTTATCACAAAATAAAATCTTTAAATTTTTACTGCCCAATGCTTGAGAAATGATGGTATGTTGATTATTGCTTTCAGACTTTAAAATAGATACAAGTTTCTGATTTTGACTGAGGGCCAGGCATTTGTTCTCTGTTAACCTGGTATGTTCTTTTGACATAGTGTAATGTACAGTAAAAACCCACCTAGCATGATACATACAGAAAGGGAAAAAAATATTTGGATCCCCTGCTGATTTTGTACGTTTGCCCACTGACAAAGAGCTGATCAGCCTATAATTTTAATGTTAAGTTTATTTTAACAGTGAGAGATAGAATAACAACAAAAAAATCCAGGAAAGTGCATTTCAAAAAAGTTATAAATTGATTTGCATTTTAATGAGTGAAATAAGTACTTGATCCCCTATTAATCAGCAAGATTTCTGGCTCTCAAGTGACTTTTATACAGGTAACAAGCTGAGATTAGGAGCACTCTCTTAAAAGGAATGCTCCTAATCTCAGCTTGTTATCCTTTACAAGACACCTATCCACAGAAGCAATCAATCAATCAGATTCCAAACTCTCCACCATGGCCAAGACCAAAGAGCTGTCCAAGGATGTAAGGGGCAAGATTGTAGACCTACACAAGGCTGGAATGGGCTACAAGACTATCACCAAGCAGCTTAACGAGAAGGTGACAACAGTTGGTGCAATTATTCACAAATGGAAGAAACACAAAATAACTGTCAATCTCCCTCGGTCTGGGGCTCCATGCAAGATCTCACCGCGTGGAGTTTCAATGATCATGAGAATGGTGAGGAATCATCCCAGAACTACACAGGAGGATCTTGTCAATGATCTCAAGGCAGCTGGGACCATAGTCACAAAGAAAACAATTGGTAGCACACTATGCTATGAAAGACTGAAATCCTGCAGCGCCTGCAAGGCCCCCCTGCTCAAGAAAGCACATGTACAGGCCTGTCTGAAGTTTGCCAATGAACATCTGAATGATTCAGAGGAGAACTGGGTGAAAGTATTGTGGTCAGATGAGACCAAAATTGAGCTCTTTGGCATCAACTCAACTCACTGTGTTTGGAAGAGGAGCAATGCTGCCTATGACTCCAAGAACACCACCCCCACTGTCAAACATGGAGATGGAAACGTTATGCTTTGAGGGTGTTTTTCTACTAAGGGGACAGGACAACTTCACTGCATCAAAGGGATGATGGACAGGGCAATGTACTGTCAAATCTTGAGTGAGAACTTCCTTCCCTCAGCCAGGGCATTGAAAATGGGTATTCCAGCATGGCAATGACCCAAAACATATGGCCAAGGAAACAAAGGAATGGCTCAAAAAGCACATTAAGGTCCTAGAGTGGCCTAGCGAGTCTCCACACCTTAATCCCATAGAAAATCTGTGGAGGGAGCTGACGGTTCGAGCTGCCAAACATCAGCCTGGAAACCTTAATGACTTGGAGAGGCTCTGCAAAGAGGAGTGGGACAAAATCCCTTCTGAGATGTGTGCAAACCTGGTGGCCAAGTACATAAAGTGTCTGACCTCTGTGATTGTCACCAAGGGTTTTGCCACCAAGTACTAAGAAAGGGTCAAATACTTATTTTACTCATTAAAATGCAAATCAATTTGTAACATTTTTGAAATGTCTTTTTCTGGATTTTTTTGTTGTTATTCTGTTTGTCACTGTTAAAATAAACCTGCCATTAAAATTATAGACCGATCATTTGTCAGTGGGTAAACGGACAAAATCAGCAGGGGATCAAATAATTTTTCTCCTCATTGTATAATTTGCAAATCAAGTCAAAATTGCTTTTTCAAGTATTTTTTTAAATCCTGGCATACTGTTTCATATGAACCATTTTACCATTTTATATGAACCTACCCATTATTTCTCTGCTCTAAGTAGCAACGAAGATGGTTAAAAGCCTGGAGACAAAAGCATATGAAGAACGGTTGCAGGAATTAGGTATGGCTAGTCTAGAGAAAAGAAGGACTAGAGGTGACATGATAGCAATATTCCAGTATTTGAGGGAGTCAACTTATTTTCCAAAGCACTAGAATGGAAGACAAGAAACAATGGATGGAAACTAATCAAGGAGAGAAGCAACTTGGAATTAAGGAGAAACTTCCTAACAGCGAGAATAATTAACCACTGGAACAACTTGCCTTCAGAGGTTGTGGGTGCTTTATCATTGGAGGTTTTCAGCCACCTGTCTGAAATCATATAAGATCTCCCGCCTGAGCAGGGGTTGGACTAGAAGACCTCCAAGGTCCCTTCCAGCTCTACTCTGATTGATAATACCCTTCCCACTAAAAAAAGGTAAAATTTCTGTTGCCCCTATTCAAATCAAAATACTCTAATCCCAATTCACATAAGGTTCAATCATAAACCTCCCATTTCATGTTCCTTTCAGCCCAAAGGGAAACATTATTTTACAATATTATTTTCTACAAAGTAGGAATGCTTAAATTTTATGCAGTCTACACACCGTTTCTTCTGTTTCTCAGAAGTAGTTTGACATTGCCTCCTTCCTAGGGCTGAGAGAAAGTGACTAGCCCAAGGTCACCCAACTGCCTTTGTGCCTAAAGCAGGACTAGTATCAACAATACCAGCCTGATGCTTTACCCTCTTCATCAAACTGGCTCTCAAAGAATCACAAATCTACAGTGTAACATAAAATGATCTGCAATGGCATAATCTATGTAGTATTAAAATTTTTCTCTATGAAGATTCTCAGTCATCTCGGTCATAGCTGTATCAAAAGTGGGTTTTTATTTCTGAAAAGTCCAGTTGTCTTTTCAAAGATAAAAGCCACTTTTGATACTAAAACATTTGTTGCATGACTTTAAACTAGGTGAAACACTATATCATAGGGTAATTTTTGAACCAAGGTTGGACACCCGCTGTTGGACACCCAACAGCGGGTGTCCAAAATCTGGCATCATGACTCCCTGAAGGAATGAAATTTGGGAAAGTTGTGGCTGCTTCAGTGCTACTGGCTGTATTGCGGTTACATGAATTTTATTTTGTGACAGTTTGCCTGTTACTCTCACAATCCCTTGCTCCCTCTCCCACCCAGAAACAGCCACTTACCTGCCTATCGGAGGGGGAAGAGAGAAAGGAAGGGAATGAGATTTCTGGTGTTCCCTGCCAAATTTCCACAAGGAAACACAATGGAGAAGCCAGCAGGAAATCGGTTCCTACTCCCATTGTTTTTTTGCCCACTCTTGGTCATTCTGTTTCCCTGTTTAGGTAAGGGAATATCTTTGAAACAATGAGCAACAGGGCACAAGTTGTCTGATTTTCTTTCTTTCTTTCATTCTTTCATTCTTTCTTTCTTTTTCTTTTTCCTTCCTTCCTTCCTTCCTTCCTTCCTTTCTTTCTTCTGAGAAAATTGTTCACAATAGTTGTAACTATAGATGTAACTATTTAAGTAGAGTATCTGGTGAGAGTGCCTTATATATTATAAATGCATTCATGAATTCCATTTCCTCCCAGATTTCAAGTAATAATACAAATCATTAAATGAAATTATACGATGGACAGCTTACCAGAAAGGCACAGAGCATTGGAAAAAGCAAACTTCTCTAAAACGATGTCATCCATTTCTGTATCTGAATTTATCAAGATTTCTCCTCTATGAAGCTTTGATTGCCCTCTATGAAAAAAGATATGAATGGATTACATTAGGTTTGAGCAACTTTGTGCTCCCTATCAGTCCCAGCCGCATTACCATTGGTCTAATAGTGAATCAAATGAGTATTAGAAGAAGAGGTGGGACTGTGTAACAAAACATGAGCAGGTATCCTTCAGTCTGTTCCAAAGAATACGAAAAAATAAACTTTAGAGTACTTGACATAACATATGTCTTATTCCACATATGAATTTTTCTTTTATTGTATATGTGAATTTCTGTTTCTTTCATTCTATCTTTTATCAGTTAAAACTTAAAAAGTGTATATTCAATCTGCATAAAAGTGTTAATATTTTGTACATAGCTGAGTGCATTGGCCTTGAAGATGCTCAAACAGAACAGTGATAATTTGTGGCAATGTAATAAGGGTCAGTCTTAATAACTGAAATGTTAAAGCTGTCCTCAACTTACAACAACAATTGGGATCAGAATCTGAATCATTGAGTGAAGTGGTCATTAAGTGAGATGTTCATGTAACTGCTTTGCTCAACAACTGCAACCCAGCATTCCCAATTCCAGCTGTTAAGCGATCTCCTAGGTCAGGGGTAGGCAACCTTGGCTCGTTTATGACTTGTGGGCTTCAACTCCCAGAATTCCTGAGCCAGCCATGCTGACTCAGGAATTCTGAGAGTTGAAGTCCATGAGTCATAAAAGAGCCAAGGTTGCCTACCCGTCTTAGGTCATTAAGCAGATGGAATGAAAGAGCTGCCTGTGTGATGGAATGTGCAAATGGAGAAGGAGATGGAGGAAATGTCAGCAACAGCATAGCAGCTTCCCCGAAACATCATTAGTTTCTTATTTTACAATGGAATTATCAATCTTTTTCATGAAGAAGTTTATGAAATGCCAAGATACTATAATACAACTTATATCTGAATATATGTTCTGGAAATAATTATTTGTCAAAATGTCTACCCTTATTAGCCTGTGGCTTAAATGGAAAACTTCATGAGTTCATGACATTCACATACTTACTCTCCTCTTCTATAGCTGATCTCCTCATTTTCCCAGTGAACTAATGCAATTTCATAAGGCTGGACCTCATGTTTTTCCAGCTTTTGAAAAATATTCTTTATCTGGGAAATAGATTATAAATTAAAGTTGCTAACAAGTTCTGAAGAAGAATTAGATACAGTTCGACTATTGACCAAAGTGCCCTCATTCTCTTGTGAGAAGAAAACTATGTCAACAAGAAATCACAAGGAAAACAAAATAATTCCATATTCCAGTTTTTTTCTCACAACTTTTTGCTCAAGATAGAGAAGTGTTTACAAGGAACAATTGGTTAAAGGTTGTAAATTTGTGCCTATAAATACCCTCATGCATTTCTTTATAACTCAGATTATAAGAGCCACGGGTGACACAGTGGTTAGAATGCAGTATTATAGGCTAATTCTGCTGACTGCTAGGAATTTGATCCTGATCGACTCAAGGTTGAGTCAACCTTCCAAGGTCAGTAAAATGAGGACCCAGATGGTTGGGGACAATATGCTCTGTAAAACACTTAGAGAGGGCTATAAAACACCATGAAGTGGTATATAAGTCTAAGTGCTATTGCTATTGCTATTATAATTCTGAAAGCAGCCTTTTAGAAAAAAATAGGAAGAATTTGTTAAAGAAAATGTAAAAACATGTAAAAAACAAGAAAAAAGTGAAGGAAATGATTGGTCCATTAGTGGATGAAAGTGGCAAGAAGATGACAAGCAACAGGGAGAAAGCAGAACTATTTAACTTGTTTTTTGCATCTGTCTTTACACAAAGGGAAAACACAGACCAACCTATCAAAAATAGTGCCATAAAAAACAGAATAGAAACACAAGTTAAGATAGGCAAGAAAATGGTAAGGGAGCACCTGTCCAGCCTAGATGAGTTCAAATCGCCAGGACCAGATGGATTACACCCCAAGGTTCTCAAGGAACTGGCAAATGCGATCTCAGAACCACTGAACTATATTTTTCAAAGGTCCTGGAGCACAGGGGAACTACCAGAGGATGGGAAAAGAGCTGATGTAGTTCCCATCTACAAAAAAGGAAAAAAAAATGGACCCAGGAAATTACAGACCTATCAGCCTGACCTCAATACCTGGGAAGACCCTGGAAAAGATAATCAAACAACGAATAAGCGAACACCTAGAGGCAAACAAAATCATTACTAAAAGCCAACATGGGTTTGTCAAAAATAGATCATGCCAGACAAATCTTATTGCATTCTTTGACCAAGTGACAAAATTAGTGGATCAGAGGAATGCTGTGGACATAATTTACTTGGACTTTAGTAAGGCATTTGATAAACTAGATCACAACCTACTACTTGACAAGATAGAAAAATGTGGGGTAGACAACACCACCACCAGATGGATCTGTAGCTAGCTGACCGGCCGTACTCAGCGAGTGGTCCTCAATGGAACTGCATCTACATGGAGGGAAGTGTGTAGTGGGGTGCCCCAGGGCTCTGTTCTGGGCCCAGTGCTCTTCAACTTCTTTATCAACGATTTGGACGAGGGGATAGATGGGGAACTCATCAAATTTGCAGACGACACCAAGCTGGCAGGAATAGCCAACACTCCAGAAGACAGGCTTAAGATATAGAAGGATCTGGACAGACTTGAATACTGGGCGCTATCTAACAAAATGAAATTCAATGTTGAAAAAAGCAAGGTTCTACATTTAGGCAAGAAAAACCAAATGCACAGATATAGTATAGGGGGTACCTTGCTCAATAGTAACTGTGAGAGGGATCTCGGAGTCCTAGTGGACAATCACCTAAATATGAGCCAGTAGTGTGCTGCAGCTGCCAAAAAGGCCAACACAGTGCTAGGCTGCATTAACAGAGGGACAGAATCAAGATTACGTGAAGTGGTAACACCACTTTACAATACCTTGGAATACTGCATCCAGTTTTGGTCACCGCGATGTAAAAAAGATGTTGAGACTCTAGAAAGAGTACAGAGAACAGCAACAAAGATGATTAGGGGACTGGAGGCTAAAGCATATAAGGAACGGTTGTTGGAATTGGGTATGTCTAGTTTAATGAAGAGAAGGACGTGGGGGGACATGTTAGCAGTGTTCCAATATCTCAGGGGCTGCCACAAAGAAGAGGGTGTCAAGCTATTTTCCAAGGCTACTGAAGGCAGGACAAGAAGCAACGGACGGAAACTAATCAAGGAGAGAAGCAACCTAGAACTAAGGAGAAACTTCCTGACAGTTAGAACAATTAACCAGTGGAACAACCCGCCTCCAGAAGTGGTGAATGCTGGAGGTTTTTAAGAAGAGACTGGACAGCCATTTGTCCGAAATGGTATAGAGTTTCCTTCCTGAGCAGGGGGTTGGACTAGATGACCTCCAAGGTCCCTTCCAACTTTACTATTATTACTGTTGTTGTTGTTATTATTATTATTATTATTATTATAAAATTAGCAAAATCACAGAAATTAAAAACTTTACTTTCTAGATATTTTCTTCCTACAAATGCCATCTGATCCAGCATTCATGTTACTTTGATGAAGGTAAATTTGGAAATACTTGTTTCTGAAAACAATGTACGTCTCCTTCTAGAATCTGACTATTTCTGCATTTCTACCACCCACTCTATATACCATTCCTGATTATTTTACCATGATGAATATAAAAAAAGCCTTTAATATATTCTCAAAAAAAAAAAAAATCTGCAGCTAGGTATAAACCACTATGAAATAGTTGGGAAATTATGTAATTTGAATCCTTTGGAAGACATGGCATCACAAAGAACAGTACTAATAAAGGAGATTGGAAAGTGAAATATAAAAATGGTTAATAACACTTGCTAAATGTTTTGCAGAAATAGCATTTCCAAATGCAAGAAAAAGATCAGGGTAAGCCACAAAAATCCAACAATGAATAAAATCCCAAATCAAATACGAACTACTAATCTATAAGAGAAATCTGTATCTTTATTTCTTCCCTTTGTTGTTATGCTGAATATAACGAAGGCTTTCCTCCTTTACGTGTGTGTTACAAGTTCTGTGCCAACATATTGATTGAATTAACCCTTATTTTTTTATTATAAACTAACTGTGAGACCCGAGTCAGATAGTTTCTTTTGACAGCATACAATCTGCTCTTAGTTAATAAAGCCATTTCTCTTTTTCTTTAGAAAGCAGATTGAAATAGACAAGTATGACAGAATTAATCATTAACAGGGGAAAACTGTCTTTCATTTTAGATGTCATCTTAGTATTTACATGGTTTTGCAAGGATGTTTTTTTACAAATATGTTAACTCAGATTTTTTCAAATGACTTTTAGAAAGTTAATGTTACAGTGATTAACTATGTTACAGTGTCTATTTCATAAAGTCCAAATAAATATTACTTTAGTTAAGAGACATGACTTATTCATCTGTTTCCTTCTGAATTAGAATAAAGTTTCCAAAAAATGTAGGCCAATTTCACTTCAATCAACATTTTCTGATTTGTGTTCAGATTAATTAGCTAATTTGCTCTTTTATTTCACTCTCTGGAAGGCTGTAAACCTCTTTCATGTCAACATACTATATGGTATTTCCTATAGCTGGATCCTCTTCAAGCAGGTGTAACTACATCTTCTATTTCTCAATATAGTCAAGGAAGGAGATGCCATTTTCTATGTTTGTATCATATTACAGCGTTTTAAAAATCAAATTAATATTCTAATAAAACAGGTTATGTCAGAAATATTATAGTTAACCCTTATCCCATCTCAGAAGGTAATTTATACATAATTTATTAATATGTTAATTACCCTCATTCATACACCAAGAATAGTTTACCTCCAGAAACCTGCTTTCCACTTACTGTTTTTTCTTCAACATTCCAAAACACAGCAGACCCTTCCCTAAAAAAAAAAATTACAAATTAACGTTAGACTAATGGGGTGTATTTCAAACTTCAAAAATGCAATTCCTAGCAAGAAGCAATTCCCTTTTCATACTTGCTTGCCTTTAAAAGTGGAACCATTACCCTCTTATTACAGTATCCAAGTGATATTTGTTTTAGGGATCTTTAGAACAAGGGGCAATGCAAAGAATTTTAGTGATACCAAGAATTTTAAAGATTAATATTCAACTGAAATCAATTGAATCAGAAACCAGAAATCAGAGAGACAACTAGAAAAGAGTTATGGAAGATTATTTTTGTACATGATAATCCACAGCAAGATTATTATATTCCCCAAAGTCAAAAGACTCTGAATTACCTATAATGGAGCAATGTTGGTGAAGATAACAGAATTTGCAGACAGGGCAAAATTGATTTGTTTGGTTAGGGACAATCATATTTGTCAGTGACTGGAAACCCCTTATGGACTTTTGCTGAAAACAGAAAAAATGAACATGATTTCTGGGTTTGATGATTAGAAAGGATAGAATATGGGAAGAAGGGAGCCACAATGTAACTATAATGAGAGGGAATAAAATATAAATGCATTTATAACTGCTGTAAACAAGATTGGAAGCCACTTCTTTATGTATATATTTTTCCTGTCTTACTTAGTTATCATTTTTCCTTGCTTTTCTTTTTCTTAATTAATTTTGTCTAGCAGAATTGATTATTTCTGAGGATGACACAGATGAAACAGCAATCTTTTTTCTGGCTATGGATACTTGTTTTGTCTTAGTTTCTGCACTACGCATAATTCTCAGCTTATCACCACAACCAAGTCCCAAATTTCCAGGGCCGAGTCAGTCAGTTAAGTCAGTTTTGTCCCATTTTACAACCGTTTTTGCCACAATTGTTAAGTGAATCACTGTAGTTGTTAAGCGAACCATGCAGTCATTAAGCAAATCTGCCTTCCCCAATTGATTTGCTTGTCAGAAGTTAACTGGGAAAGTTATAAATGGTGATGACATGATCCTGGGACAGTGCAACTGTTATAAATACATGCCAGTTGCCAGGCGCTCAAATTTGATCACGTGACCATGGAGATATTGCAACAATCATAAGTGCAAAAACTGGCAACAAGTGGCTTTTTTCTTTAGTGCCACTGTAACTTCAAATGACCACTAAATGGATGGTTGTGAGAACCACTTGTAGTTATTGGTAGGCTTCTTGGCTCAATTCCATCTACTGGTCATTACCCTTAAAGCCCTAAAGAACATGGCATCAAGACTGATCAGGGACCAACTTACCAAACAAGATTCTGCCTGTTTGATCCAAATACTAAAAGTGGGATTGCTGGAAGCCCTACCTCCACCTGAAGTAGGAGAGGTATGGGTTAGAAGGCAGGTATTCTCAATAAAAGCTGCTACAGAAAGTTCCAAATTTATTTAGCACCAAATCTCCTTGTGTTCTGGAAAGCTCTGAAAACAATTTCTATGTAATGATTTTTGAGTCATAGGGTAACTATGGCCAATCATTTGACTGCATGTTGTCGCTTATAGTATTTCTGTATGTTTTAATAAAGTTGATCTTTTCTCTTTCTTGTAAATGCCCCAAGACTGCTTGACTGGGGAGTTCTACAAATATTGTAAATCAGTGGTTCTCAACCTGTGGGTCGGGACCCCATTTGGGGTCGAACGACCATTTCACGGGGGTCGCCAAACAAGGCTGTCCGCCATTTTTTCCCCCTTTTCTTTGGCCACGTCCCTGGCACCCAGTGATGTATAAGTGGTTGGGGGTCACCACAACATGGGGAACTGTATTATGGGGTCATGGCATTAGATAGGTCGAGAACCACTGTTGTAAATAAATAAACATCACTAAAATTCTGAATGACATTGAAGGAATAAATATGTAATTTTCTTTTAGGTGGAAATGAAAACTTTAGGTCGCATATGCTACATTATCGATCTTTACTTACTTGAAGAAAAATATGATCCCCAAATCATGCTCTTTGGCTGTTTTTTCCGTGCCAACCACCAAAACGTTTGCTGCATCTAGTTTTCAAAAAAACCTTATGTGAAATTATATTGTAAAAAATAGAAACAATCACAACATTTAGCATGCACCCTATATGTCATTCCCAAGATATTTTTTATTAAGTGTTTCTCTTTCAAATCTAGCTGAGCTCCTAGTGACAATCAATGTGTATGCTTTTTTCTTGGTAAAAATGGCATTCTTCCAGGATATTTTATTTACCCATCTACCTTATGGTCCTCCCTGGTGGAATCCCATCAAAATATTAAGATGGAACAATCCAGTTTACTTTCTGAACCCAGACAAGATTAGATAAAAGCTGCTATCTGGTAAGGTTCTGTGGGGTTTACAACTTATAAATATGAATAAAATTGTGCTGTGTGTCACATGCAGTGCAAGCATATATCTATCAGAGCACTCTGACAATTCCAGTAGTTTCTCAGCTATAGACTATCAGAATAGAAGTGAAGATGAAGAGACATTTGCAATTCTCATATTCTAAATTAATCTACAATTTAACATCAGCTGTGGTGGTGCAGTGGTCAGAATGCAGTATTGCAGGCTAACTCTACCCATAGCCAGGAGTTTGATCCAGGCCGACTCAAGATTGATTCAGCTTTCCATCCTTCTAAGGTCGATAAAATGAGGACCCAGATGGTTGGGGGCAATATGGTGACTCTGTAAACTCCTTATAGAGTGCTATAAAGGACTATGGGGTCATGGATAAGTCTAAGTGCTATTGCTATTGCTACAACATGATTGTTTATAATAAAACTGAATTGATTTGTATTGATTTTCCAGCATTAACATAATAAATTATACACAAAGTTAATTAGTGACATTTATTATTCAAATTATCATTTCTCATGTTTTTTAAATCAAGCTTTAATTTTTACTAAAATACATTAAGGGCGATCCATTACAGCTTCAAAAGGAATTTGATTAATTTTAAAATTTATTTATATAGAAAGCAATCATTATTTTCAGATATTGGGACAAACTACTGAATGTGTTATTATCTCTTTTCCCCTTAACACTGAAGAATTCCCTTTGTAAAAAAGGATATAAAGTATAATAATGCTAAAAATACATACTGGGTAGCTACTAATTATGGATCGGGACAGGAATCAGCATGCTCAAAAGGCATACAAGGACTACATGTAGAGGGACACAATAACAATATCTGTCAATATTTTTGACTGAAAGCTGCTCTTGAAATTTACTCCAATGGTAGACAACCTAGCTCCCTCTATATGTTTTAGCACTAAGAATGTGCTCACTGGCAAGGGATTCTGAGAGTTGTAGTTTAAATATACGGAAGTAGAATTTTTTTAAAGAAGTCAATGCTTCATATGGTCTGGATTCTTTATTTTTTACTTATCTTATTAACTTTTCTTTACATCTACCATTAAATTTTCTTTTGATTCTTTTTTGGTCACATCATATTAATTTAAATTCAGGAGCTACAGCATAGAATAAACTTGTTTAGCTCAATTTTAAAGATGTAAAGCTTACTTCTATACACATTTTAATAGTGGAAATAAAATCCTGAAACAATCAACTGGCATGCTTATTACATTCTTTTCAATGTTTATTGTAGCCTTCTGAGGATACGTGCAGTCTTTCATTTTATTCAGTTGCATTTTGCTATGCTATACAATGAAAAAAATGATAGTGGCCTGCAAACAGGAAGAATTGCTATTAAAGCCTTCACAAAGCCTTAATGATAGGTAAACAAATTACTGGCAAAAAGAGTTTCTCCAACTCTTTATAGCCCTGTTATTCATCTGTCAGCTCTGTTCACTCTTCCCATCTCTACAATTTGAATGAGGCAAATTTCATAAATTTGGTGACCTCAAGATTCTCTTTAGAAATTACATAGTAATACAGACTATCATCTGAAAAGGAATGTTTAAGCTAAAAAGTGGTTTTTCTTTGCAGTAAAAATCATTAGGAGTTGTCAAATTGCACAATTAAAGGTTTTCATGTATTAATGGTATTAAATACATTATATGCAATAAGTCATTATTTCATGGGTGTGCTTTGTGTGGTCCTATGTTAGCTCCTTTCCTAGCTTATTAATCCAAAGGTATTAATGCATGTATGATATAGAGTTACTTTATAATGTGTGACCGCCACATGATATCCTTAAACAGTTTTCGTTTAAACTCCATGCACTTTTTAATTCCTTAAGCCAGAAAATTAAGAGCCCAAATTTGGGAAGAAAGATGGCCTTACAGCAGACCATGCACAAACACTTCTGTAGATGTACTTCTACACCAATTATTCACTTATTTATTTGAAGTAAAAGTTAGTACCTACTTAAGTGTTAAGCAACATTTCTATAAAGAAAGCATTTGTACAAAAGCTGTCTGATGATGTATATCTGAAAAAGCATCAATAAAGAATAAATGATCTACTTGAAATAATTGTTCAGAGCTCTACCTCTAGGTAATGTGATTTCAACATATCCAGATGAGACCAGGTCAAGGCACAGATTACCAAGATGATAGGCATCTGCTGTTGCAAAGGCTATACACTGCATTACATCCTATGCCAAAAAGAACAGAAGTTCCTTTAGAAAACAGTTGCCTCACTAGAATTGCTAGAGTGCTACATAAACTCATTGTTAGCATTTGCCACTAGGTGGCTAAAATTCTGCATAGAACTATAGTTGTTGTTTTTCAAAAGTCTTACACTTGAAAAGTTTCAAACTTGCTTCACTGATATAAAGAATAGACAAATATCTCCTCTGGATCTGCTAAGCAAGTTCAAAAACTAGTTCTTTGGAAGATTATATATCTTATATATTCATTACAGGCTTCACACTACTACACTATCCATGCAAATGTAGTTTGGCTAACTGCTCTGAGTTTAGTTCCAACATCTATCTTTGACATTGAGATGTTTTGTTAAAGGCCAATACTCAAGATGTGATCCTGTTTGGCCTCTTATTCCCTAAAACAGGAGTCCCAAACCCCCCAGTCGCAGTCCCGATCCAGTCAGCAGCCTGTGGGAACCAGGTTGCGCAAACAGGTGCATACACAAGCGTGCAAACCTCTATTTGTGCAAGCAGCAGATGCACATGAGAAACCATCCCCTCTCCCTTCTCCTGTTGCCAGGAAAGGTTGGGAACCACAGCCCTAAAAGACAAAAGACTCATGTTCAAAAAGAGGTTAAATTCTCCTTATTTCACATAATAGTAGACATTGAACTTTATATTCCCCAGAGATTTTTTTAAAAACTCTCCCTAGTGTGAGATCTTAGATTTGTATTTTATTTTCTAGAGTGTCCCTAAAGATCAACTCTTGCCTTTGCAAAAATAACACTTTTCCCCCAGGCACTCTTGATTTCCAGCAGGTGGTGCTCCTCTTCAGTAAAAAGAATAAATTTATGTTTCAAATCGCACATGTTTTATTTTAAGTCAATGTACTTATCAGGCAAAAGATTTTTCCATGTGGCAATTTTTACTCAAAATAACTTTTATTCTTTCAACCCTGAAATTTATATTATTAATATGGGGGGGGGGGAAGCCCTCACAGCAAAATTATACCTACAAAAGCTTTTCCCTCCTAAGTTTCAGTGTTTTTCTAAATGCAATGTATTTTCTTTATTAGCATCACTGCACTGTTAATCGTGCAGAGAAATGTAGAAATAATTTCCCATGTAACAATTGTGAAAGCATCCCTCAATAGTTTCATTCTTAATATGAGACTGTAGTATAAATATAAACAGAGCAAGCCATTGGAGAGAGTTATATTAGTTATTGGCATAATACACCCTACAATATATACATTATTTAACCTTAAAGGGATAGAGAATGGGAAAGCTTTCAGTGTTAAAACCTTTCAGTGTGAAAACCTATTCACTTATAATACAGGAAGTCCTCAACTCTAAGCTATGTAAACATAAATGGATTATTTGTATCAGTCAAGAATTTTCTTTGGATTATTCCTGTTCAAGTATACCAGAGAGATAATATTTGTACTAATATATATAACTGTCTTTTAACTCAATGACAACTTTAAGAACATTATTCTGGAATTATTAGTAAGATTACAGTACTTTTAGCGCGTAATACAGTTCAGTTACTGGTACAAAAAAATTATTTCATCAATGAAGAATAAAAAGATTCTGAAAAAGCCACTAAAACAGACAAAACACACAATTCAACTTAATCATTATTTTGCAATGATTAACATATAGAATTAGAAAAATCAGATTCTTTCCCTAAATATATCCTAAAATTTTGGAACACTGCTAGTGAAACAAATACTTATATTTTTGTCTCCAAATTCACCATTAGCTCTATTTATAGTTTCCCACTGCAAATCTAATAATCTTCATTATGACCATAGATTAGTATAGCTCATTGCATTTATTCAAATCCTCATCTCAAATTATATCTAAGAGTAGGGACAAGAAGCGTATTTCTAAAATAATCAAGAATGGCAGCAAGGACTGTGATGTGGAGGCTATTGTACATCTTGGCACTAATGATCTGTCCCAAAAAGATGTACTCTCTGTGCAGAATGATTTCCAGAGCTTGGGGAAGGAACTTAGCAGAATAGGCTGTAGGCTTACTTTCTCAGAGGTTTTACCAGTGTATAAGGAGCAAAACGGAAAAGGCCAGCGCATAGCACAATTCAATATGTGGCTAAAGGAGTGGTGTAAAGGGGAAGGCTTCGGATATATTAGTCACGATGTCAGTAGCTGGTCCAATCAAAAGATGTACAAAAGAGATGGTTTGCATCCATCAAAAAAAGGGACTGAGTTACTCGGCTATAAATTCACAGATTTTCTGGAGGGAAATTTAAACTAAACAGCGGGGACAGGGAGTTAATTGATACGGAACAACCCTGTCCCCGGCAATTTAAAAACTATAGGGCTATCAGTGCATGTAGCATAGATGTGTGTGTGGACAAGAATACCAACCTTGCTACCAATCAAAATGAAGCCTCTAATAGCGAGTGCCACATAAAGTGCACTAACCAAATAGGTGGTAAGACAATAGGGGAACTCAGGCACCACACAGGTTATGTAGAAAGGAAACACAGGGCCACCCACAAAGGACTCAAATGTTTATACACCAATGCACAGAGTATGAACAGCAAACAGGGTGAACTAGAAATTCAGGTTAACGAGGGCAGATACGATATTGTTGCCATTACGGAAACATGGTGGGATGAAACTCACACATGGAACACACAGCTAGAGGGATTTAAATTATTTAAAAGAAACAGACCAAATAAAAGAGGAGGTGGAGTTGCTCTCTATATAAGAAATAACTACATCTCCACAGAAATAGAGTACAACAATGATAAAAACTGTCTTGAATGCATTTGGGTCAATATAAAAGGGGGGGAAATGACATTGCCATAGGTGTATACTACAGACCACCCAACCAAACAGAGGAAATAGATGAACTTTTTGCTAGTCAGCTAACTAAGGTATGTAGGAAGCACACCACAATAGTAATGGGGGACTTTAACTACCCTGACATCAACTGGGAGACAAACTCCGCACCAAGTGGAAGATCAAACAGGTTCCTGGCAAACCTAGCAGACAACTTTGTCTCCCAAAAAGTAGAGAAGGGAACTAGGGGATTAGCCATTTTGGATCTAATTCTCACTAACAGAGATGAAATGATAGACGGTGTTGAAGCCATAGGAACCCTGGGAGGAAGTGATCATGCAATATTAGAATTCAACATTATAGAAGCACAACCAATAGAACACAGTCAAACTAGAGTCTTGGACTTCAAGAGAGCTAATTTCAATAAACTTAGAGAGGGCTTGGGAAGGATTCCATGGATGAGAATCCTCAAGGGGAAAACAACTCAAGAAGCTTGGGAAATTTTGAAAAATGAGATAATAAAAGCACAGTCTAGCACAATACCAACAAAGAGGAAAAATAACAGCTCTCAAAAGAAACCAGCATGGCTGCATAAAGAACTCTCTGACAAATTGAAAGATAAAAAGGACAAGTACAGAAAGTGGAAAGAGGGGAACATAACTAAGTCAGAATATCAGCAAATAGCCCGAGCCTGCAAAGATGAAGTGAAGAAAGCCAAGGCTCAAAATGAACTAAGGCTTGCGACCAAAGTCAAAAATAACAAAAAAAGCTTCTTTCAACATGTAAAAAACAAGAAAAAAGTGAAGGAAATGATTGGTCCATTAGTGGGTGGAAGTGGCAAGAAGGTGACAAGCAACAGGGAGAAAGCAGAACTATTTAACTCATTTTTTGCATCTGTCTTTACACAAAGGGAAAAAACAGACCAACCTATCAAAAATAGTGCCATAAAAAACAAAACAGAAACACAAGTTAAGATAGGCAAGAAAATGGTTAGGGAGCACCTGTCCAGCCTAGATGAGTTCAAATCGCCAGGACCAGATGGATTACACCCCAGAGTTCTCAAGGAACTGGCAGATGTGATATCGGAGCCACTGAACTATATTTTTCAAAGATCCTGGAACACAGGGGAACTACCAGAGGACTGGAAAAGAGCTGATGTAGTTCCCATCCTCAAAAAAGGAAAAAAAATGGATCCAGGAAATTACAGACCTATCAGCCTGACCTCAATACCTGGGAAGATCCTGGAAAAGATAATCAAACAACGAATCAACGAACACCTAGAGGCAAACAAAGTCATTACTAAAAGCCAACATGGGTTTGTCAAAAATAGATCATGCCAGACAAATCTTATTGCATTCTTTGACCAAGTGACAAAATTAGTGGATCAGAGGAATGCTGTGGACATAATTTACTTGGACTTCAGTAAGGCATTTGATAAAGTAGATCACAACCTACTACTTGACAAGATAGAAAAATGTGGGGTAGACAGAACCACCACCAGATGGATCCGTAGCTGGCTGACCGGCCGTACTCAGCGAGTGGTCCTCAATGGAACTGCATCTATATGGAGGGAAGTGTGTAGTGGGGTGCCCCAGGGCTCTGTTCTGGGCCCAGTACTCTTCAACATCTTCATCAACGATTTGGATGAAGGGATAGATGGGGAACTCATCAAATTTGCAGATGACACCAAGCTGGCAGGAATAGCCAACACTCCAGAAGACAGGCTTCAGGTACAGAAGGATCTGGACAGACTTGAACACTGGGCACTAACTAACAAAATGAAATTCAATGGTGAAAAAAGCAAGGTTCTACATTTAGGCAAGAAAAACCAAATGCACAAGTACAGCATAGGTGGCACCATGCTCAATAGTAGTAACTGTGAGAGGGACCTCGGAGTCCTAGTAGACAATCACCTAAATATGAGCCAGCAGTGTGCTGCAGCTGCCAAAAAGGCCAACACAGTGCTAGGCTGCATTAACAGAGGGATAGAATCAAGATCACGTGAAGTATTAATACCACTTTACAATGCCTTGGTAAGGCCACACTTGGAATACTGCATCCAGTTTTGGTCACCACGATGTAAAAAAGATGTTGAGACTCTAGAAAGAGTACAGAGAAGAGCAACAAAGATGATTAGGGGACTGGAGGCTAAAACATATAAGGAACGGTTGCGAGAATTGGGTATGTCTAGTTTAACGAAGAGAAGGACAAGGGGGGACATGATAGCAGTATTCCAATATCTCAGGGGCTGCCATAAAGAAGAGGGAATTAAGCTATTTTTCCAAAGCACCTGAAGGCAGGACAAGAAGCAACGGGTGGAAACTAATCAAGGAGAGAAGCAACCTAGAACTAAGGAGAAACTTCCTGACAGTGAGAACAATTAATCAGTGGAACAGCTTGCCTCCAGAAGCAGTAAATGCTCCAACACTGGAAGTTTTTAAGAAGAGACTGGACAGCCATTTGTCCGAAATGGTGTAGGGTTTCCTGCCCGAGCAGGGGGTTGGACTAGATGACCTCCAAGGTCCCTTCCAACTTTACTATAATTATTATTATAGTTATCCTTCTGTTCAGAAACAAATGACCTGAACTCTCTCCATCAAAAAATAAAACAGAAATAACAGCATGGAGAACCAGTTTAGTGTAGTGGTTAAGGCACTTGGCTAGAAATTGGGAGATTGTGAGTTCCAGTCCCACTTTTAGTCCCAAGTCAGCTGGGTGACCATGATCAATTCTCTTATTTTCAGCCCAGAAAGGAGACAATGGCAAACCACTGAAATTTGCCAAGAAAACTGCAGGGACTTGTCTAGGCCAGAGGTCTCCAACTTTTCCGGGCTCGAGGACCGGAGGGAAGGAGAGCAGCTCCAAAATTGGTGTGCATGCGCGCACACATGGGGCCATGCACATTGGCGTGGCACTAGCAGCCCCGTTCACACATGCAGCATGTGCTGGTGCCGTGTGCATGCGCGAACAGCTGTGCATCCCCCATGGCAGCTAGTGGCCCGTTCCCGCAGGTGCGAACGGGCTGCGCAAACTGGCTGGGCTAGCAGTGCATGAGCAAACAGGCTGCGGACACCAGCCCCGCCCCGCACTAGCATGCCTGCGCACATTTGCAAACAGGACCGCAGGGGAAATGCATGCCCATGTGTGCGCGCACCAGCCGTTTCTGTGGCCTGCTGGCCAAGAGCCCACAGCCCGGTCTCGGGCCGCGGACCATAGTTTGGGGACCCCTGGTCTAGGTAGCCTCCAGGAGTCAACACTGTCGCAAAGGGACAAAAAAAAAACAACAAGCAAACAAAACATCTAGCATGAGGCACAAGGAGCTTATTAAAAAGAATCAAGCCTCATCACTGTGACAAAAACAATAGCATCTTTTAGTAGTTCAAAGCATAATGTATTCAGTGTAGCATAAAGGCTTGTGGATTACAGGCTATTTCATTAGGTGCATAAAATGCCTTCCTGAATTCAGATTACCTTAGCTTCAGATGGTAGTGGCAGATTAGCTCTTGATGGCTGCTTTGTCCTTGATGCTTTTGGTAGACGCTTAACTGGTACAATATCTGGTTTCAGTTGAATTTTGCTAGGTGATGAAACTGAGTAATGTCTATTTAGTATTTCAGTAGGTGTTCTTCTATGTTTTAATTTGTGCTTAAAAATTGAAGCTTTAAGAGGATGAAGTTCTCTGGATGAAGGACAAGCATCCGTGGTCAAGTAATTGATAATTTTTGCTGCAGCACTAATAGTAGTTTGTGGACTAAACCAGTTTGAAATGTCCATGCAATTGCTAGTAAAATTAGAAGAAGTTGCCTCTGGGATGTGTTGCCTGAGATATTTATTTACTGATAGTAAGTTGTTGCTTGATGCTAAATATCCATATGTAGGGAAGCATTGGCACTGGCTTATTATATGTGAAGATCTAGCCAGGAATCCCAATAGTTTCACTGCCATCTTTTCATTGAGACCTAAAGAAGAGAGTTACAGGACATTAATTTTCTAAAAAGGAAAAAAAATATTAAAAGTTTACAAAAGAAGTGGGCAGAGCATCTTACAAAAAATAATTATTATAGTCAGTTTGTATTTGTAATCTCAGTTTTAAAGAAGCCAGCAAGGAAACTAATTAAGGAGAGAAGCAACCTAGAACTAAGAAAAAAATTCCTGACAGTTAGAATAATTAATCAGTGGGAACAACCTGCCTCCAGAAGCAGTGAATGCTCCAACACTGGAAGTTTTTAAGAAGAGACTGGACAGCCATTTGTCCGAAATGGTATAGGGGGTTGGACTAAATGACCTCCAAGGTCCCTTCTAATTATTATTATTATTATTATTATTATTATTATTGAAGTATGTAGTGGGGTGCCCCAGGGCTCTATTCTGGGTCCAGTGCTCTTCAACATCTTCATCAATGATTTGGATGAGGGGATAGATGGGGAACTCATCAAATTTGCAGATGATACCAAGCTGGCAGGAATAGCCAACACTCCAGAAGATAGGATTACGATACAGAAGGATCTTGACAGACTTGAACATTGGGCACTATCTAACAAAATGAAATTCAGTGGTGAAAAAAGTAAAGTTCTACATTTAGGCAAGAAAAACTAAATCCATAGATATAGCATAGGTCAGGGGCAGGCAACCCAAAACACTCAAAGAGCCACTTGGACCCGTTTCCCACCAAAAACAAAACACCGGGAGCCGCAAAATCCTTTTGATATCTAAAATTAAGATAACACTGCATATATCCTTTTTTACCTTTATTATAGGTGTGTGTGTGTGTGTTTGTGTGTATGTATGTATATATATATATGTATATATTTGTTTTCTGACCTACATATGTATGTATGTATGTATGTGTGTGTGTGTGTGTATGTGTATGTATGTATGTATACACACACACACACACACACACACACACATGCACACACACATTAAAAATAAAAATATGACTTTTGGGAATATCCATACTATTAAAACAATGATCACCAAGAGAATGCTTTAAGAGAATAAAATTACATACACACACAGGTAAAAAAAGGATATTTGCAGTGTTATCTTCATTTTAGATGTCAAAAGGGTCTCTCTCTCTGTGTGTGTCTCTCTCTCTCCCTCCCTCTCTATCTGCCCTTGGTCTGCCACTCCTCTCCCCCCACTCTTTCTTTCTCTCTCTCTCTCCCTCCCTCTCTCTTTCCCCCCCCCCTCCTATCTGCTGCTCACCTGGCAAGCTTCAAGCTGTTGTCCAACAACTCAGGGGTAGGCAACCTCGTTTCTTTTATGACTCATGGACTTCAACTCCCAGAATTCCTGAGTCAGCCTAACTGGGCTAGCCAGCTCTCTCCTGCCCTTCCTGCTTCCTGCTTCCTGCAGAGACGCAGCAAAAGGAGGAGCTCCGCCCAGTAAGTTTTTCAGATCCTTGGAGAACACTGTGAGTGCATTCTCTTTTACACCTACACACACAAACACACACACACACAGTGAGTGAGTGAGTGAGTGAGAGTGAGAGAGAGAGAGAGAGAGAGAGAGAAGCAGGGAAGCGCAATTGCCTCTCTCTGTCTCTGTCTCTCTCTGCAAAGGCAGAGGAGGCTGGGAGCCACAGGGGAAGGCTCAAAGAGCTGTATGCGGCTCCGGAGCCGCAGGTTGCCGACCTGTGGTATAGGTGGTACCTTGCTCAATAATAGCAACTGTGAGAGGGATCCTGGAGTCCTAGTGGACAATCACTTAAATATGAGCCAACACAGTGCTAGGCTGCATTAGCAGAGGGATAGAATCAAGATCATGTGAAGTGTTAATACCACTTTACAATGCCTTGGTAAGGCCACACTTGAAATACTGTATCCAGTTTTGGTCACCACGATGTAAAAAAGATGTTAAGACTCTATAAAGAGTACAGAGAAGAGCAACAAAGATGATTAGGGGACTAATCATATAAGGAACAGTTGCTGGAATTGGGTCTGTCTAGTTCAGTGGTTCTCAATCTTTTTAATGCCGCGACCCCCAACCGGTCGTAAGTCGAGGACTACTCAACCGGTCGTAAGTCGAGGACTACTCAACTGGTGCAGCACCGTTTGCAGAATGGGACTTTTGGCGGGCTCAGCAGGGCAGAGACAGCCTGGACAATTCCTATTGGCTTTTGAAAGCCAATAGAATTAGACTCTATTCAAGAGAGTCTATTCTATTGGCTTTCAAAAGCCAATAGAATAGAAGGGAGTAGCACAGCTAAGGAAAAGGGGAAAAAAATGGCGGACTGCGTTGTTTGGCGACCCCCGTGAAATGGTCGTTCGACCCCAAATGGGGTCCCGACCCACAGGTTGAGAACCACTGGTCTAGTTTAATGAAGAGAAGGGCGTGGGGGGACATGATAGCAGTATTCCAATATCTCAGGGGCTGCCGCAAAGAAGAGGGAGTCAAGCTATTCTCCAAAGCACCTGAAGGCAGTACAAGAAGCAACGGATGGAAACCAACCAAAATTAGTTCCCAACTTATGACCATAATTGAACCCATAGTTTTGATCGTAAGTCGCATTGATTGTAAAGCGGGCCACTATGTAACCACACCTAATTTTATCTTTTTTGCAGTGATTGTTAAGCAAAAGCTATGGTCATAAAGCAAATGCCGCTGTCATTAAGTGAATCCATTGTTCTATATAGGATCGCTTTTGCCAGAAACTGGAAATAAAACCAGTTTCCAGTAAAAGCGATGTAAATCATGATCACATGACCACGGGGAACTGCAAATAGCTGTAATAACCATAGATGCTGTTTAAGGCTGTTTAAAAATAGCTGCTTAGAAAATGTCTATTTCTTCCAAATGTAGATTAAACACAAGTCTATTCAAATATACACATGGTAAACAATATCATGTATAATAAAATGTATAATATAAAGTTATTATAATATACTATAAATACAAAAGAATGTATGGGAGTACTAATGATAAAATGATAGAGTTATAATATAAAGTTATATAAAATAATATAAAGGAGTGCTAACAATATACAAAAAAGTAATATTGGAATGAGCGCTTTAAATGTTAGCACCAAGGAAGGAAATTATAAGAATGAAATTACATTTATGAGAATGTTAAAAAAAATCAAGTTTTTAAGCATAGTATACATCAAAGGTCCCTAACCTTTGGGGCACCAATTCTGTGGAGAGAGGTTTTTCCACGGACCGGATGGAGTATGGTTTTGTGTGCTGCCTGCATCCGGCAGATGGGGTTTTGCTTGTTTGTGCGGACCGGTTGCTGGTATGCCATGACCCAGTACTGGCCCACCGACCGGGGGTTGGGGACCCATGATATACATGGTTTAGCTGGCAAAAAATTTAAATATGGCCATTATGTAACTTGTTTGCGGCATAATAACTGTATAGAGGAATAGTAATAGCATTCTTCCAAAGGGAAAAGTAGGAAGAATTGATGCAAAAACTATAAACAAAATTGTTATGTAATACTGGAAAGTAATACTTGCAGAATTCCAAATGAAAGGGTACAGGAAATGACAATGAGCAATATTTTCAAGAACAGTCTGAATATGCTCCTCAGTAGGTTAATGAGAAAAGAAGTTTACTACATATTTACTGTTTTAAAGACAACATAGTCAGGTGACCAATCTTGAACTGTGAAATATTTTGCAAAAATGTCCCTAGAATGTAAACTGCTAAATCAGGTGAGATTGATGTATCATTCATTCATTCATCCATTCATTCTATATGCTCCATCTCACCTGAATAACACACAATAAATAAAAAACCAAGACTCTAATAAAAACTAGTTAAAAACAAATATACAGCATATAAAGCCATCAATAATCACTTAAAAATAACCATGGTGAGCAGCAATCCATCCTTGTGTCAGTTTAACACAGGCACTGTAAACATTCCCCACCATTACTGGAATACTAAGCACAGTAGAAAAGTCATATCTTCATGGCCTTCCTAAAGGCTGGAGGTGGGGGGTCTGGGCCAATCTAAGTTTTGGGGGAATGGTATTCCAAAGGACAGGTACCCCAGCAGAAATGCTTCGTCCTGTTTCTGCTAGATGATATTATTTCATACCTACTAGATTATACTCTTTCATAGATGGCACCTGTACCATGTTTCTCCTGTCAATCCTGAGATGATGGCTAGATATAACCATGAAGAGACAGTCCCTCAAACGAGGAAGTAAAACCTTTTTAGCTGTTTGATTTATTTGTGAACAAATATATAGTATAAGGGATACTTGAAGCCAGAAGTGTGTTAGTGGAGATATCTATGTATATGCACCTATCCATAGATGATGCCATGTTGTTGGCTGAAAACCTATCTTACACAAACTGCAATATCTTATAATAGGTTTAGGTTAAAAGATGCTGCATCTTTCTGAGGTTAAACGCCAATAGTGTTATACCATCTTAATTCAACGGAATCCATTCCCTTTAACCCATGTTCAGGACCAACATGACCCAAAATATTTCCTTGTATAAAAATTTAATCTCCTCTCCCTATAGTACTACTGGTACTTGTCCATATACTTAGATTTGTCAAATGTAGTTATCTTGTTGGTCCTGAGTATGGTACAAAAATTATTCCAGAGAAAGTTATCTCATAAGCCACAGCTTTCAATCTCCTATTTAGAAAATTCATTTTGCATATTTCTTCCTATCTCTAAAGCACTTCATCAGTATTTTCTTGATTTAAGGTATCTGCAGTCTTCAGTTATGACAGATACTTCATCATGTGGACTACATATCCATAACAAACCCAACTATCCATTTTTCTAATGAGTACTTGGAGCAAAGTAGTCATTTTTGGATTATCTGGACCTGTGGTAGTCTGGATTCCGGCCTCGACATAGAATGGAAACACCACTAGTTGTACTCACAGTTAACTTTTGTAGGACTTGTAGGGAGGAGCGTGACCGTCCTTGTACTGCTGGACCTCACAGCAGCCTTCAGTCCCGTTACCCATGCTTATTCTTTGTTTTCTTTCTTTCCTGAGTTGAGCCAATCAGTGTAGGGAAAGAGAGGCTGGACTCTTGGTCTCTGTTATAAAACAGAGTTTTATTCTTTATCCTATCCTGCTTAATATATACATGAAACTGCTGAGGAAGTCATCATTAATTTCATGATAAGAGATCATCAATAGATAGATGAAGTCTGTTATGTATCTCCATCTCCAACCCACAGCCAGATGTTCTCATTTGATGTCTGGATGGGAAAAGATGAGCTCAGGCTCAACCCAAAGAAGATGGAGGAGCTGTTGATTTAGAAACCTACTAATTGCAAGACAATACTAACCATGACCCTAAAAGGGTTTAGTACAGAGAGAAATACTTGCAGTCTTGGGTCCTTCTGGACTTTCAGTTCTTACTAAAAGAGCAGATGGTCAGGAGGGCCTCAGCTCATTGCACTGCAAACAATTTCTCATGCCCTTTGTTGCAGAGATTATTGTAATTGACTTTACATGGAGCTGCCCTTAAAGACAGCTCAGAAACTTCAACTAGTGTAAAAACAGCACTCCATATGCTTACTAGGCAATCACATTACTAGCATATTACATCACTGCTGTGAAGCTACTTGTTATTCATACACTTCTGGATGTAAATCAAGGTGCCAATTTCCACTTTTGCAAGTTCATTGGTGCATTTCTGGGAGATATTGAAGATGCTGTGGGAATTCCCCCCCCAACAACCTCCCCAAGGATAACTCCCAGTGTCATGACCTTTGTATAAAGAGGTCACTTTTCTAGAGGATTTTTGGAAGTTTTAGTATTATTGCCTGTAGTACGGTAGCACCTGTACACAGCGATAGTCAGAACCAATGCAGTAGATAAAATGCACAATTAAATAAGTTAATTGAATTATTCTACACCCAAATGAACTACTCTCATTCTGGATCAAAGTTTGGAAGCAGTAAAGAACTGAATAAATGTTAAATGAATCTCAACAATACTGAAGTCCTATAAGTGGCTTGTTCTCAGGTACAGGGATTGGCTAATCATATTGTTTTGAATAGCGTTGCCCTAACAGTTTGAGGCTAATTATCCAAAAGAATATTTTACAAAAAAACTGAGCATGTTCTTAAAATTAGGCTTTTTTGCTGTTCCATTAATAGAAGAATGCATTGAATAAGGCCATAAAATAGATTTTTCTCAGTTGAGCAATCCACAAAGTTGAATGTTCTATCTAAAAACATTCTGTTGCCAAGTCACAGATCATTCAGTAAAAAGTGTAACTTTTATTAGATCTGAGGATCTACTTTAAGAATCTATGGTATGGGGGGTGTCCAATATTACAGGGATATATTTAATCTGTCACATGTTTTCATAAACAATAGATCCACATGAAAGTAAACCAATAGTTTAGCGTCATCAAAAATAGATCCACATGAAAGTAAACCAATAGTTTAACGCCTGCATTCTGAAAGAGTTTCAAGAACTGTTCAATGCAGACCTTATGGGAGTAACACAGTGGTTCTCAACCTGTGGGTCGGGACCCCATTTGGGGTCGAACGACCATTTCACGGAGGTCGCCAAACAACGCAGTCTGCCATTTTTTTCCCCTTTTCCTTAGCTGTGCTACTCCCTTTTATTCTATTGGCTTTTGAAAGCCAATACAATAGACTCTCTTGAATAGAGTCTAATTCTATTGGCTTTCAAAAGCCAATAGAAATTGTCCAGGCTGTCTCTGCCCTGCTGAGCCCACCAAAATTCTGCACCAGTTGAGTAGCCCTTGACTTACGACCGGTTGAGTAGTCCTCGACTTACGACCGGTTGGGGGTCGCGGCATTAAAAAGGTTGAGAGCCACTGGAGTAACATAACCTACAAAACATAGTGGGCTGTACTATATTAATGGCTACAACTAGTATACCGAACAGTGTGTCATCTTATCCTCTCTGAGCTCACATTTTAAAGGAAGCTTGATTAAGTCCCATCCAAACCTCTGCCCAAACCATCCAACTGGGTTCCCATTTAGTTCAACAGGCAAAGAATTTAGAATCACAATTTGATGTTCGAAACTGTATTGCTCACAATGCCTTGTCAACTGCAGGTAGAAAGTCAAACCTCAAAACAGCAGGGCACGAGCTTGCCTACTACCGATCTAGCTTTGTTTCGTCCGTCAGTTTGCTGACGCTATAATTAAACCTCACAGCTCTTGAATACCTCCTGGCCGAAAGGTATTGAAAAGGGAGGCCAACTCAACCCCGAAAACCTTTGCAGGCAGATATTTATAGGGAGGAAGAAACTTCGTAAATGTTATTTTCTGAAAATTCATCTCCTTGGGAAGCGCAGACCCACTAGCAAACGGTGCAATTGACTCGACCATGTCCGATTAAATAAAATCTAAAGCTCTTCCCGATTCTAATCGTGAGAGGGAAGCAGCCACGGCTCGGGGTGGGGGGCGCGGGGAATCATCCCCCTTCCATTTTAGCCATATATTGATCCCAACAGAAAAAGAGAAGCTAAGCAGCCCATCAGAAAAAAGGCGTTTCCTTCATATATATCTCCGGGCTCCAGCTCCGTTACCTGTCCGCCAATCCCGCTCTCGCCTCTTAAGATCGGCGAAACGCCACACCGATTTCGTCCCCGTCCGCCACGCGCTCGCTTCGTCCAATCATGTTCTCCGCCTCGCCTCTGTTTGGATCCACCCCCACCCAAGAGCGCGGAAGAAAGCTCGCGCTTCGCCGTCAGGTGACCTCACGTAGCTTTTCCGCCTGGCTTCCCTCCACTCGCCCGCAGCCTCCCCGTGTCTCTCTCTCTTTTTTTTTTAACCAGTATATACGCACCGAGCCACCGACCAATAGGAAGGAGAGTTTGGCTTGGGAAGTTGCGCAACCGGACTCTGCGGGGCTGAGGTCATAATGATTAAAATGGCGACGCCGCAGTTGGTGGGGTTACCGGCTTCTCTTGCGGGCAAGATCAAGGGGTGCGTTTCTTCTTCTCGCCGGCTCCTTGTAATTTGGAAAGGGGAAGGAGGGGGGAGAGAAGAGGCAGGAATAAAGCATTGGGATTGAGAAGGTTGAATTGTAGAGTGCCACAATACGAGGAGTTTCTGCCCGAGTGTTTTTTTTTTTTTTTTGAAATCCTCTTTCCTGCTCTGCTTTGCGGCTGCTTGTTTGAATTGCGAAGGCTTCCAGGAGTCCTAAAGCGTTGGGAAAGCATCAGGTTGCGGAAGACTGCGCCACTTTGCTATTTTCGGCTATATTCCGGTGACATGCTTAACTTACCCATGCTTAACCGAACAGGGTTCAATTTTTGTGGGTTTGCACGAGGCACTAAACCATAAACGAAACCCAGCAATTTGGGCCAATGCTACGAACTTTGCCTGATTTTAAAAGTGGCTACGTATAAATTTATCAGCTGTGTTTATGTTGTTCATTAAATTACTGGTGCTAAAATCGAGCAAATGTCATTATTGATCTTTTGCAGAAATTATAAAAATGCGACCCTGATATAGATAATAGCTTGGTCTCCATAATGTTCCCAATGTTATATTTGTATTTATTGAAAGTGTCAGGAATTTCATTATTCCAGTCAGCCAGTTCATTTTTCAAAGAGTTGCTTTGGTGTAATAATTAAATGTGAAAGGCTAGAAACACTCTTATAGTTCTACGTATCATAGATGCAAAACCAACTGGGGGACTTAGGGCAAATCATTCTCTCTGAAAACCTTGCTGAGAAAATTGCAGACACATATATATGACCTGTTCAGATTGAAGAAGATATATAGTGCATAATAAGCCCATAAAAGTAGTTATTTTTTTATTTTGAAAGTTTGGACCCTTGAAGGGTCTAAAATTAGTGTACAATTAAGACCAAACAATCAGTTCATAGTATCAGAGTCTTCCAGCTTTATTAGGCGCCCTTATTTTTAAAGCTGGAAGGCTCTGACACTGAATAATTGGTTAGACTTAAATTGTACACTAATTTCAAGCTTTTCAAGGACTCAAGCTTTAAAAATAAAATTGACATTCTAATTCATGTTGAATATTTGGTAATATTCAAGCTATTTACAAGCCTCAAATATTGTTTTTTATAGATCTTTTGCATATAATACAATTAAAGACAGGCTGCCTCTTATCCTGACTCGTGTTGTTGATACTTTACATCGACATAAACATGAATTCTTTGAAGAACATGGAGAAGTAAGAAACTCCCTTTCTGTTTTATTCGTGTATGAATACAAATGTTGACTTTGCTTACTGCTTTCTATAGTTCTGCATAACTGAGACATAACTTTCCTGTTTAAAATGTGAAGGATGTACTGGATTGGCCAAGGTTTGTCTTGTTGAGCATCATCTTCTCATTTATTTTTGAAATCTTTTAAAGTCTTCTAAACTAATCAACTCTCAGAATCTTGTGTAGGCCATTGTGCATAAACATGTAAGTGCCTTTTATGATCTATAATCCTTACTAATTAATTTAATTAAATGAACCTGAACACTAGAATCATTAGAAGAAGAAAATGTTTTTCTTTTCTTTCGGTGAATGCTGAACAATGCTATTATTTTAGAATAATAATTTAGAAGTAGGAAATACAAATTAAAATAAATTATCTTACTGGGTTATGCCTCTTTGCCAGCTTCTTCAAAATTAAAAAAAAATCAAACCCCTCTTTTCTATCTGTCTTTGGGATAGACAGCATCACCACTAGATGGATTTGTAACTGGCTAACAAACTATACTCAAAAGAGTAGTCCTTAATGGTACTACATCTATATCAGTGATTCTCAACCTTTCTAATGCCGTGACCCCATAATACAGTTCCCCATGTTGTGGTGACCTCCAAGTGGGTGTGGCCACCAATAAGAGGGAGTAGGACAGCTAGGGAAAAGAGAAAAAAATGGCAGACAGCATGGTTTGGTGACCCCCGTGAAATGGTCATTCGACCCAAATGGGGTCCTGACCCACAGGTTGAGAACCACTGATCTATATGGAGGGAAGTAAGCAGTGGGATACCACAAGGTTCTCTCTTAGGCCTAGTACTCTTTAATATCTTAATAAATGACTTAGATCAAAGAATAGAAGGAGAACTCATCAAATTTGCAGATGACGCTAAGCTGGCAGGAATAACCAACACCCCAGAAGACAAGCTCAGAATCCAAAAAGATCTTGACAGACATGAACAATGGGCCCTATCCAACAAAATGAAATTTAATGAGAACAGGAAGGTTTTATACTCGGGCCAGAAAAACCAAAGGTACAAGTACAGATTAGGCGAAACCTGGCTCAAAAACTAACTCTGAGAGGAACCTTGTGGACGATCACTTAAGCGTGAGCCAGCTGTGAGTGGCAGCAACCAAAAAAGCTAATACAATCCTTGGTTGTATAAATAGAGGCACAGAATCAAAATCACGTGAAGTATTAGTGCCGCTTTATAAAGCCTTAATAAGATCACATCTGGAATACTGTATTCAGTTTTGGTCTCAAAAAAGATGTTGAGACTTTGGAAAGAGTACAGAGAAGAGCAACTAAGATGACCAGAGACAAAAACATGAAGAATGGTTGGAGGATTTGAGTTTGGCTAGTCTAGAGAAAAGAAGGAATAGGGGGGACATGATAGCAGTATTCCATTATTTGAGAAGCTGCCACAAGAGGAGGGGGTCAATTTATTTTCCAAAGCACCAGAGGGCAGGACGAGAAACAATGGATGGAAACTAATTAAGGAGAGCAGCAACCTGGAATTAAGGAGAAACTTCCTAACAGTGAGGATAATTAACCAGTAGAACAGGTTGCCTTCAGATGTTGTGAGTGTTTCATCACTGGAGATTTTTAAGAAGAGACTGGACAGTCACTTGTCTGAAATGGTATAGGATATCCCGCTTGAGCAGGGGGCTGGGAACTCCCGAGGACCCTTTCTGTTCTGTTTCTGATTTTTCCTAGGAAAAGTCATTCCTTCATATACCAGTTTCATTAGGTTACATGCCATATATCCAATAACTCTTTATTGCTCAATGATCAGTACTTTATAAACCATTCTAAAATGTAAAGCTTGGAAGGAATCTTCGAAATAATTTAGTCCAACCTATCTGGCAGATATCCACTACTACAGCATCTTCAAGAGGTCACCAGTACCTACATCCTGTATTTTCCTTTAGTTTTCCCTATCCATAGGTGATACTTTGCATTGTCCTCATTAATATTCACATTGGCTGATCTTTAGTCAGTCACTCAGCTTCTAGATCCTCTTGAATTTTGGTGGAAGTTTTATGCAGGTGTTCGCTATCCCCCATCTTTGTCATTTGCAAATGTGATAATCCTATGTTCTGATTCCCTCATCCAAGTCAGTTATATATATGTTGAACAGCACGGGCCTCCAATAGTGGCCTGCAATACAGGTAGTCCTCAACTTATGACACTAATGGAGTCTGCCCATTACAGTTGCAAATCATTACTTTGGTTAAGCGAGGTGCCCATGTGATCACCTCACTTAATGACACCAATCACTGCTCTCCCCATTGTGATAATTAAGCGGAGCGCAGAGTATCTTGGGTGGGGAAGGCCCTGGGAGGTTTAATACAGACCCATGCCCAAACTGCAGCATCTTGCCAGTTCACATGCCTCAGTTCTCCCAGGATACTCCCCCAACTCTAAGGCTCCACTGGTTCCACTCCACTTCCGATCCCACTGGGTCCCTTCAGATCTTGGACCTGCTTTCCCACCCCACTGGGTCCTAAGTCTAATGCAGTGGTTCTCAACCTTTCTAATGCCGTGACCCCATAATACAGTTCCCCATGTTGTGGTGACCCCCAAGTGGGTGTGGCCACCAAAAAGAGGGAGTAGGACAGCTAGGGAAAAGGTAACAAAATGGTGGACAGCATGGTTTGGCGACCCCCATGAAATGGTCGTTCAACCCCAAATGGGGTCCCGACCCACAGGTTGAGAACCACTGGTCTAATGTCTTCCATATTTTGTCTAGCTCTGGCATAATTTTTCTGCCAAGCAGTAAATGTCTTTTTATTTCATGGCTACTATGATCTCCATTGTGCAGTTTTGAATCTAGGAAGGTCAACTCTGTTACCACTTCCATTTTTTTCCTATGTCTATTTGCACTAGTTTGTCTTTCCCTGTTGACATAATCTGTCCCTTCTCTTTGTTATGGAATAGCAGGCTGGCTTTTGCACCCCTTTTCCCCCTTCAAGAAGATATACAGTATCTTAAGCATTCAGCATTTCATTTCCTTTAATTATTTTCAATAAAACATCAGGCAGTCATTTCATCTTTTTACATTTTGAGGGAGTTTTGTTTGCTTCATCTTTAATGATGTTACATTAACGACATCTAAAGGTATTCTAATTATTAAAACCATTAAACCTATTCTTAGTTTCCCCCTAAAAGGATGTGGTGGAACATTGCGGAGATTGGGTCCTGTTGGTCAGGCAATTTTCTTTTGTCTAGTAGAGAAGGAGTCTGTGGCACCTCAGTTACAGACACCACTAGGTTTTGCTTTTGCTGATTTAATGGAGCGTCTCCAACTTTACTTTCAGAGTATATAGTTTATATTGGTGTGCTCCATTTAATGATGTCTATACATAATCTTTTTGGTTATTGGAAGAAGATATTTGTTATAAATAATGGAATCTTCTTAAAACACATGTTGGTTTCTCCCACTCTGTTTCATATTTTTTCTTTCTTCTTGTAATCCCAAATTTTAGTATTTCAATAACCTGGTACTTCCTCTTCGTTTCTGACTGAGCATAGATTTGAATCACTAT